GCCCGTGCAGATGGGCTGGTCTCTCTCCTCCGCCCAGTGCCCGGAGGCCACACTTTCTATCAGTCTGGCTCCTCCATCTGGCAAGGTTCTCTGGATGAGTGGAGTGCTGGCCTGGGGTCCATCTCTCCGACTTCCTTTTAATATTACATCGAAAGAGAGGTGTGGGTGGAAGTGATTGCAGCCCACCCGTGGTAGGGAGGGAGCTGAGCTGGCCACGGCCCAGGCATGTAGATGCGCAGGTTAAATTGGGACCAGGGCTGCTGGGGGCGGCCAGCGCCTCAGCACCTCTCTGGAGCCTGACTGTGTGGCCCTGGGCCAGGGTGGTGTCTGGAGCCTGCGGTGAGGGGGCCACTGTTTGCTGACCCAACTTAGAGCCACCTCCACTCTTGTGCCCTAGGCAGGGCGGGGACTCGGAGGCAGTGTGTGGAGCTGAGAGCATTCCCAGCAGCATCGAGGTGGTCGGGTGTCTGGCGGCAGCCCACAGTCCCCGAGAAGGGGCGTGGGCTGTGGCGTGGGGGTCTCGGGAGCTGTGGGTGCCTCCCATCTGCTGGTTCTTTCTGCTCCTTGGCCGTTCCAGCGGGGTGGCTGGCTGTTGACAGATGTGTGCTGGCCTGGGCCCTGGTGAGCCGGTCTCCGGTGATTCAGTATCCCCTGTAGCTTGGGCTCTGGTGCCACACACAGAGGCAGAGACCCAGATGTGGGTGGTGCCTTTGTCTTCTTGGCCCCATCGTGAGCATGGGCAGGCCATGCAGCTGTGGCTGCACCCCGAGTTGGGCTCAGAGCCAGGTGACCCTCATCCTCCCGGGGAGAGCTGGCACATGCCGGTCAGGGGACCTGACTCCCCCTCAGGGACTGCTAGGGCTTCCTGCGGGTGGTGTCTGTCCTGGGCCTGCCTGTGTGAGTGGTGGGCGCCATTCCTCTGGGCTCGGGTTAGTGTTACTGGGGTCCAGAGCCCTCTCACCTGCGCCCCCTTTCTCTGCTGCACCTCTGCTCTCAGCTTTTATCACAGAGGCCAGTGGTGGCCCTGATGCAGGAGGCCACACGTGGGCCTGTGTACTGCATGCCCGTTACTCATGGTGGCCCTGAGTCTGTGCAGCCCTGCTCCCTTGGCCTCTGCCGGCTGGCCTGGCCACTCACTGCCCTTTGGCCTGTGCCCTGTACCTCAGGGCTATGCTTGCCCTTCTTCCTGGTGACACTGTGATGGCTGCGCCTGCTTCTGTACCACCTGCCATCCGAAGTCACTTGTGCGCCCACCGAAAGCCTGCCCCGAGGGTGGGGACGGGGCTCTGTTACCTGTTACCTGTTCTGTGTCCTCGGTGTTGGTCACACAGTGAATGCCTCGATCCGGGGCCGGTGGGGTGTGAGGCCAGCAGGACAAGGTGTGGAGGGCCGGGCTCTGGAGTGGCCTGGGGTGGCTTCCAGCACGTGTCCCCATCCTCGAGTTTTACAGCTCACCAGGAAGCGCAGGCGAGGCACGTGTGCTGTGCCTCCTCGGCCAGGCTGCCAGGGTTCGGCCTTCGGTGCGGGCTCTGGGGACAGCACATGCAGGTGTGTGCAGCACCTGCCCAGGTGGAGCAGGCCTCCACTGGCCCTGTCCCCCTGGACCTGGCTGGGCTCCTTGGAAGCGGGGTCTTGCAGATAGGTGTTCTTGGTTACGATGGGGCCACTGGGCTGGCGGGTCCTGCACCTTGTAGGGCTGCCCTTGGGAGAGGAGAGGACGTGGAGGAGACTGCTGTGCGACAGCCCTGAGACTGCACAGGTGGGGTCTGGGGCAGTGCGGGTCTGTGCCGGCAGCACGAGACCCCACCATCAGGCAGGGGATCTCCCCTGCTGTGCAGATGCACTTTTGGGTCCGGCCTGTGCGGTGGGCGTGGAATGGTCTCTGCCCTGGGGTGCTGGGTCTGTGGGGTGCCGGGTCTCACTAGGGGCCCAGTGCACACCAGGGGGGCCGGTGGCCACTGCTGCCTTTTTGCCCAGTGGTGGCTGGTTGGTCAGGTTTGAAGCTCTGGGTTGCCCCTGCCGCAGAGCCTGGTTGGTGCCCATCCATTCCTGGGAGCTTTCGAGGTGTGATGCAGACCCCCCCCCCCCGCAGGAGCGCCCCCAGCACTGCATGTCTGTCCCCACACAGCAGCTCTGCTCCCAGCACCCTGCGGTCTGGGTCTGAACCTAGCTGTGGACTGTGCTCCTAAGGGACACCAGAGATGGGGCCTGGCCTTAGTGGCCCCCACAGTGCTGGACCTGGGGCCGTGGGCCTGGGGTCTTGGCTCCTGTGTGTGGAGGCCAGCCAGGCCTTGGGAGGTAGCCCTGCCTGCTGGGCTCAGCACATTCCTGGAGTACCACTGGGCCGAGCTGGTCCTGCAGGCCTCGACATGTGCCTATGGGAGCCCCTCTGGCTTGGGTTGTGTGGGCTGCAGCATGCCCTGGGGCCAGTGCTCCCCGAGGCCTGTAGCCATCTCCTCCTGGCCTTCACGCTGTCTGGCCTTTTCCTCTTCTTCGCCCCTGCTGCCCAATCTGGCCAGGGCCAGTCCTAACTTGGGCAGTGGACACCTGTCTCTCAGGTCATCCTTCAGGCCCTGCTGACTCAAGCACTGTCTGTGGCTCCTCATTACCCCCAGCACAAAATCCATCCCTCCCATGGCCTGGGGGCCCTGGAGTAGCCTCCCTTGCCCAGCTCAGTGGTCCCTGCTGGACCAGGCTCAGACTAGGCTCAGACCTTGCCCTCCTGCCCCTTTCCCTCCCTGAGTCTCCATCCCTGCCCCGGAAGTTGTTTTTGATGGTCCCCTTTTTCCCCATCCTCCTCTCTCTGAGGTCACTGGTGCAGCTGTGTGTTCCCTGCCCAACCCAGGGCATCTGGCATCAAGCCCCCAGCACTCAGCACCAAGCCCGCCTGTCATGGGGACACCAATGTGCCTGTCAGTGGTGTTGACCACCTAGTCCTGACCCCAGGGCAGCAGGGCCCTTGGAGAGAGTGCCAGGATCCCTGAGGTCCCCGGGTCCCTGGTGCCATCAGGCATTGTCTTTGAGGGAACCTAGTGAGGTTTCCCCCGTGTCCCCCCCGCACTCCCCACACCATCCCTGTGGGGTGACCATGCTGCCTGCTCCCTGCTTCCACTCAGCGGTCAGTGTAACACTGTCCCCGGCTGACACCCCAGCCCAGGGCTGCCTGTTGGACTCTGGGCACTGTGTGGCTCTGAGCTGGTTGGAGTCCAGCATCCACTCTCCGGGATCTGTGCCTAGGTATGGGCCCTATGGTCATAATCTTAGTTAAGATTTTTGAGGTTTGGCAGGGCTGAGATCGGGTTTGCTTGGCTCCTGTGGAAGCTCCTGCAGAACCCCTGGAGCCCTCACTCCAGGGTCACCCTGTGTGTTGGGCGCCAGCGGGGTCTGGTGGGGTGGCCTTTGGACGACTCAGCTGGGTCCATGGCTTCATGAGAGGAGGAGATGCAGGATGTGGCCAAGGACTCCGCAGGGGTGGCATCTTGGTGGTGACCCTGAGACATGGGGGCGCTAGCGTTCCACTAACCAAAGGTCAGGCTGAGGGTCACAGGGAGGTGTGCCCATGGCCGGATGGTGGGTGGAGCCTCGTCCTGCGTTTGCACAACTGCGTGTGCACTTGTCACTGTGACTGGGGTGGGCAGTGTGTCTGGTGTCCTGTGGTGAGTGTATGAAGTGGCCTGTGCTGAGCGACACCTGCTTCCTCCGTGTACCTTGGTGGATGGGCCGTGGGAAGAGTTCCGCAGGTGAACTCGGGAGGCTCCCGCGTGCCATCAGGCCGTGGCTGGCCACTCCTGTGCTCCATCCCTGCCGTCCTCCTGTGCATGTCGTTCTTGGGCATCTGCAACCCTGGGAGCTCCCGGCTTTCTGTCTGCAAGCTCCCAGTCCTGCAGGCCATACCTGGTCCCAGGTTTCTCCAGCCTAGGCCTGACTTTCGTTGGCTGGGAATGGATCACATGCATGCTCTTCAGCCAATCTCTAGCCCTGGGGATGCAGGAATCTGATTGGCCTGGCCTGGATCTTGGGGAGCAAAGTCAGGACCAGGTGGGATGGGTGTGGGGTATAGTCAGGGTCCCGCAGAGGTGTCTTGTTGGCGAGGGTATCTCTGCCCCTCTGTGGTTGCAGTGATCTTAATTTTCCTCCCAGTGATCTTCCCCCTCGGCCTGCCAGGGGCAGGTCACCAGGGTGCCCATGATGGCCGTGGAGGGCTCCAGGGCAGTTGGGTGCAGCGAGCTGGGCGTCTGTCCTTGTCCCCTTCTCATCCCAACCACTTGTGATGCGGTCTCAGCTCCCCATGGCCCCCTCCAGATGCGGGACCCTGAGACTCATGGGTGGGGCCTGGAGCACAGGGGAGCCTTGGTGACTGCAGGACCAGGGGCAGCAGCTGCGGGAAGCGGGCAGGGCCTGTAGGCGTCCCTGCATCTACAGGCGGAACGGCACTGTCAAGCCCCTTGACTTCTGCTTTCTGCATGCTGTGCCAGTCTTTCAAGCTTGGCCCCTCTCCAGGGACAGCACCACTGTCCTTTGTCCTGCCCTTGGTGTCCCCTGGCCCTGCGTGCCTCTCGGTAACCCTCACGTCATCTCATCCTGTGTCACAGCATTGTGGGCCAGGGAAGCCCAATGGCCTGGCCTTGTCAGTGTCACACTGTGTGTGACCTGTGGCCTGCCTGAGGTGACCGGGCCACTATGACCAGTTGCTTGTGTATGTCTCCCCATCTGGTGGCTTCCAGGGCTGGTCCGTCAACCAAGAGCTGTCCCTGCCAGGAACTTGTGGGGAACTTTGCCCCTGAGCCACAGAAAGTCTCGGGGGCTGGGAGAGAGGCTGCCTGTGGAGGGGGCCGTGGTGGGGACACAGTGAAACCTCTGCACTGGGGTGCCAGGCCTGCTGGGGGCCTGCTGTGCCCCGTCAGACTCTATGGCCCGTGGCTGCTCCTGGTCCTTTGCACTGGCAGGTGGCCAGGCTGGGCAGGGGATCTTACGTTTTCTCTCCCGCTGTTTCTCCACAGATGTCCCTGATGGGCGGCTCCTGAGTGAGTGACAGGAGCTTCCTGCTGACCCTCGGTGGTGATCAAGAGAGTTGCTCAGGGCCCTGAGCCCGCCTGGACCCCTGCTGCCATGTCGGGATCCACGCAGCCTGTGGCACAGACCTGGAGGGCTGCTGAGCCCCGCTACCCGCCCCATGGCATCTCCTACCCGGTGCAGATCACCCGGCCCCACACGGTAAGGGGCGCACGCTCTGGGCATTCCTGCCACCCATTCCTTCTCTGAGCTGGGCTAGCACGGCCACAGCACGGGGTACTTGACAGGTGGCGTCCTGGATCCTGGGCACTTGGGGAAATTCGCGGGTCCCATTTTAAAACTGGGAAGGTGAGCCGGGTGTTGGTGGTGACATCTGTAATCCCAGCTGCTCTGGAGGCTGAGGTGGGAGCTCGGCAAGCTGGAGGCTGGGCACTGTAGCAGCCTCGTGCGGACCTGTCCTGAAATACAAAGTCAGGGGCCTGGGCTGGGGTGGGGCTGCGCCACTGGGCCAGCCATGGAGTTTGCAGGCAAAGCGGGTGCCTGCTGTTTGCACCAGCCCCTCCCCTGCAGCTCCCTCGCTCCTCTTCCTGCTGCTGTGGGGAGTGTGGCCGAGGGTGCTCTGCTGGCCTCTTCTGGTCCTGCCACACTGCTGCTGTTTCCTCGTGGTTCAGTGAGGCTGTGAGGCTGGGCAGGCTTGGCAGGAGGGAGCCGACCTATGGCCCGTGTGTGTGTGTGTGTGTGTGTGTGTGTGTGTGTGTGTGTGTGTGAGTGAGAGAGAGAGAGAGAGAGAGAGAGAGAGAGAGGGAGCCGACCTATGGCCTGTGTGTGTGTGTCTGTGTCTGTGTATGTGTGTCTGTGTGTGTGTGTCTGTGTGTGTCTGTGTCTGTGTGTGTGTATGTGTGTGTCTGTGTGTGTGTGTGTGCGCGCGCGCGCGCATGTGTACCTCCCTGCTTGGCTCTCGGAGCCTCTCGGGCCTGGGAAGGCATTTCCACCTGGGTGGGACCTGGGTGCTTGGCTGGGCTCTCCGGCTCAACCTGGGGTCTCCTGGATGCAGTGGCTTCCACGGTTTTGGGCCCAGGATGTTCTTCCAAGAAGCCACCACGTGCCGATGCCTTCTGGTCACTGTGTTGGACTCCTCTTGAGTGGACTCTGGGAGCCGCTTCCCCACTGCCCTTTGTGCAGGCAAGGAGGCTTAGCAGGAACGTTCCGGCCCGGCCTCGTGTTAAGGTTCAGACAAGGCCCTGGTCTCAGCGCCTCTGTTTGTGAAACACCTGTGAGCACGCAGGGCTGAGGAACGTGCTGTCACATACGTCACTGTCACCTTTGTCACAACCCACTGCCACTAACAGGGGCTCTGTCACCACCACTCAGTCCCGAGTGGCTGCCCAGTGCTTTCTGTGCACAGTGTGCCAGGTCTCGTGTGGGCCGAGGCTTCGTAGCCGAGCCTGGCACAGCAGCCGACATGCTGTCATTGTCCCTTGTCACTGTCATGGCAGCTGTGCTGCCTCCCTGGTGTCTCCTTGTCTCATGTTGCGCTGCCCAGCTCTTCAGCTCCCCTTGCCGTGAGCCCAGCTTTGGGCTCTGGGCCCCTGCCCTTGCCCCACTGTGCCTTCTGGTCGTCCTGAGCCACGACCGCCCTGCTCTCCTGTTGGTCCATTGGTGGCCAGGACGTGTATGGGCAGGCCTGTGGGCAGTGCCCTTGTAGCTGCAGCTGTGCGGTCCTGTGGGCAGTGTCCCTTCCTGGGGCCCTCCCTGACCCCTGGCCTACCTGACTGCTGACACCATGTGTGGGTCCAGGCCCAGCTCCTTGCTGTGGTCTGCGTGGTGAGCACTGGGTTTCTGACTGGAAAGATGGAGGACTGAATTAGGGGAGCTGGGGCACGGCTCCTGAGGGGTGAGGTGCTGGCAGGTTCAGGTGGTTTCCGGGTGCACCTCCCGGCCTGAGGCCGCAGTGCTGCCCTGAAAACGGCTCCTCCTGCAGCCTCGGAGCCCTCGGGTCGGTGCTGAGTCCCCAGTGCTTCCCAGCTTGCTGCACGACGCCAGGTGGCTCCTCTAACGGGGCGGGGCTGTCTTGGTCTCCCACCTGCCCCTTCTGCTGGTGCTTTGCAGGAATTGGCCCCCGGCTGTGGGCATGCAATGCCCAGTGTGTTTGAGAGATGGATGTGGCGGGACAGTGCTAACTGGGGCTGGGCCCCAGACTGGAGAGCTCTCCCTGCCTCAGCCTCTCCTGGACATGGCTGTGTTGTACACTGCCCCCACCCCAGTCCAGCTGCACACCCTGCCTGGGCCCTGTTCTCTCCACCCTGCAGGACTGGCACCCTAAGTCTTTCCCTGAGTGTCTCCCTGGGGTGGGGGTTCAGTAATAAAACGCCCTTGGTACCCGGTGTCATGGTACACGCCTGTAATTCCAGCACTTGGGCGGCTGAGGCAGGAGGATCACTTTGAGTTCAAGGCCAGCCTGGACTTACAAGTGAGACCTTGTCTCAAAAAGACAAAAAACTCCAGTTTTGTTTTGCTGGAGGCTGGTGCACCTGCCCCTTTTCTGTGTCTCTCTCGGGCTCAGACCTGGCCTGATTCTGCCTCCCACCGTGTCCTCTGGGAACCCTGAGCCCTCCCTGGCTCCTCCTTGATGGTGCTGAAGGGATGTTTCCAGAGTGGGACATAGAGTTGGGTCCTGCCAGGTGGCCTCAGCATGTCACTTTACCCATGTTCATGGCACCATCCTGCCTGGGCGGTGTCCTAAGCCATTGGACGAAAGACCTTGCTGTTCCTGCAGTGCTTCAGGCTTCCCGGGCCATGCTTGTTCCCAGGGCATCTCAGCAGGGCCCCTGAGTGGCACGGCCCTGTGCCGGCAGCACCTGGAGCGGCCTCAGCCTGGGCCTTGGCCTTGGGCTCTGGTGCTGACTCTGACCCAGTGAGCGCCTCGGGTTCCAAGGAGGGACCTACTGGCTGGTTGCCACATCACCAGTGATGCGAGGTCCTGCTGCAGGCGCCAGAGCTGGTGCTGGCCGCCTGTGGTGCCCTTGCACACAGAGTGGATCTGCAGGGTCCCATCTGCACCTGCGACCTCGTGGAGTCCCACTGTCCAAGCCCCACGTCCAGCCCTAGGATGGAGACCTGTGTGCATGCCTGCAGCAGGGGCCCTGCCCCGCTCACAAACTGAGAAGCTGTGGCCAGAGCCTGCTCTGGGACTGAGCACCATGCATCGCTGTGCTGCTCAGGCCTCTAGATGTCTCTGCTGGCAGCAACAGGAGCGTCACCCATTCCCGCTTTGCTCATTTTGCTTTCGAGTGAGAGCGGCGGGGAGAGAGCTCCTGCTGGCAGCCGGCAGCCTGCTGCTTTCCTCTCGCAGCTCCACCGCCCGCTGCTGCGGAAGATCTGCCTGGCAGCCTCCCGCGTCCTGCTGCGTGTGCTAGACGCCGTGGGGCTCAGCCTCCGGGGACATGCGGCTATCGCAAGCCGAGAAGGCCGCTCCGTCTGTGCCAGGTGCCTGAGGTCCGAGAGCAGGGACCAGCAGGTGCCTGCCCCGCGGCCCTGTGGTTTTCTGTCCCCGCCTCCTGCTCACAAGTTCTGTTGGATCTGAAGCGAAGCCATTCTCTGCATATCTACCTGTCAGCTTGGTTCTCTCTGCAGAAATAACTTCTTCCAAATTAAAAGCCAGATGACAAAAGAGTGAAAAGAGATTTACAGTTGGGGAAATTATAGCTCTGAAAAACAGCCCAGACAACAGAGCACTAGGAAGTGGTGCCAAGAGGAAACTGAGTCACGGCCATCCTGCCGTCCGCAGCCGGCCTGTGGCAGACAGCACTGATTGCTTGCCCCACGCAGCAGCACTGAGTGTTCCCGGCAGACAGAACTAATCAGTTGGAGCTGGTACGCCTGGGAAGCCAGTGTTGTGTTCTTGTTGGGAGGTTTGTTTTTATCTTTGTGAAAGTATTCTTCATTCCTCAAAAAACTAAAAGTAGAGTTTCCATGGGACCCAGCTACGCCGTTTCTTGATGTCTTCCGGGAAGAACTGAAAGCATCACACCACAGCGACATGTGACACGGGTGTTGAGAGCAGCTCGGCTGTGTTAGCGAAGTCCTGGAAACAGCCCAGATGCCCCTCCATCGAAGGATGGGTGAAGGTGGGACTTTTTAGACGTGGAGTACAAAGAATGATATACCCGCGACATCTCTAGCTAAATGAGTGCACCTTGAGACCGTGCTCCTGAGAGACATCAATCAGACCCACACCTTCAAATATCACCTTGTTTCTGTGGTGTGGGAACCTGGGGGAAAGGAAGGAGGGGCCAAGAAAAAAAGATGAGAAGGAAAAAGTGGAAATGAAGCTTTTGTAAATGAGCAGGGGAGGGGGGCGGAAGGCGGGGAGGGAAGAGTGGGGGGTCGGCCTGTGCGGTGCAGACTCCCTGTGCGGAATATGCACCAATAAAAAATATCTAAAGACCTCCCAGGTACCATAAAATACGATGGAAAAGTTAAAGAAAACCAGTAACCATCTCCAAACCCTTGGTATCTCTCATGTCAGTGTTCACCTTCGGTCAGGGTTGCCTGCCGGGTCAGCGTTGGCCTTTGCCCAGGTGCCCAGGGGTGGGCTTGGGGCCGGCCGGTGCCCGCGTTAAAGCGTGAAGCCCTCGTGCTGGGCCATCGGGCTGGCTGTTGCTGCACCTCAGTGGTGAGCGTTTGAGCAGCATGCTCGAGGGCCTGGGTCCCAACTCCAGGGCCTGGGAGCGAGGGCCCTGGGGGAGCATTGCCACGCAGTTGCAGGCGCGTGGGGTTCTTGCTGCAGTGGGTGGGCGGCCCTGCCAGGGTGGCCAGAGCAGCCTTGTCCTGCGCTACGGGGCAGCCTGCCATGAGGTGGATGGAAGGGGATGGATGTTGGCACTGGGAAAGCCAGGCGTTTCCTCGCCACGGCAAGGGACGCCCAAGCTGCCCACACTGTCCAGGAACTTGACCCTTTGGATGGGGGAATCTCCTGAGCCCCCTTGCACACCTGCTTTCTCCCCAGGACGTGGGGCTGCTGGAGTACCAGCATCACCCCCGGGACTACACCTCGCACCTGTCGCCTGGCTCTATCATCCAGCCCCAGCGGCGCAGGCCCTCGCTGCTGTCCGAGTTCCAGCCCGGGAACGAAAGGTGAGGTGGCTGCGGTGTGGGCCGAGGGGGCAGCGTCTACAGACCCCACTTCACTCCCACTGCCCCTGCCTGTAGCTGGCCCAGGCCCCAGCAGCCTCGCTCCGTCATGCAGGACAGAGCAGGTCGAGCAGGAGCATGGGTGGACGCCTGGGGCTTCTCCTGCAGAGAAGAAGTCCCACAGCCAAGATGTGGGACTGTGTGGCCAGCTCTTTGTGGCTGGGACATAATGCCTGACACTTGCAGTTTGGAGAAGGAGAGGGTCCCCTGGTTCACTCATGGTGCCGGGGCTAGACTATGGTGTCTGTCTCCAAGGCAGGGATCATGGTGGAGGGACCTGGCAGAGCATTGCTGAGGCCAGGGGCCAGGCACTCTGAAGGGCTGGCGTGCCAGCCCGGACAAAGTCCTGTGACGGGGAAAGGCCTTGGGGCAGGGAGTGGGGCCAGAGAGCCGATGAGGGAGATGGACTCAACTCTGCGCAGAGGCTTCCTGGTTGGGGCGGGCCGGAGCCGGGGTGTGGGGGCCGTTCTGCTGTGCTGGGTGTGCAAGGCAAGGCCGCGCCCTCTCCAGGCTGGCTGGGGAGAGAGCAGGTCGGTGGGGTCAGCCTGGGCGCTCCAGGGCTGCCAGCTGAATGGGGCTGCACCAGGCCAGGTTTCACAGCCCGTGGGCAGTGCTTGGCTCGTGCCCTCTGCCCCGGGCAGCGGGCAGGAAACGGTGGCCCTGGGCTGTGTCTCTGGAGGTATGGCAGTTCTGCTGGGGTGGAGGCCCTGCCTTTCTCCTACCCGTCCCTGTGGTGCCCCTGCCAGCCCTGGCGCCCATCACCTTGTTGCTTGGGGCCGCTGTGGTGCTGGCAGACAACGCTGGAGGCCTTTCCTCCTGTGACACCGCCACGGGCCTGGCCTCCTGCAGGTCCCAGGAGCTGCACCTGAGGCCCGAGTCCCACTCCTACCTGCCCGAGCTGGGCAAGGCCGACCTGGAGTTCATGGAGAGCAAGCGGCCGCGCTTGGAGCTAATGTCTGACCCTTTGCTGCGCCCGTCACCCCTACTGGCCACTGGCCAGCCCTGCGCTTCTGAGGACCTCAGCAAGGTAGGCCCCGCGGGTGGGAGCAGGGGCACATCCACTCGGGCAGAGACATGGAGCCGGGATGAGGGCTGGGTGCGCAGGACCTGGAGTAGCAGGTGGTGTAGGTGGAGGGGCGGGGTCGAGGCTGAGGCCGGGGCCTGGGACTAGCAAAGGCCCTGAGGTAGGACTGGGTACCTGGGCACCTCAGCTGGCTGGAAGACAGGTGGGCTGGGGTCTGATGGGCATGGGTGGCCCCAGAGTCTCCCCATGGCACATGCTGTGTGCCGGCTTAGGGTTGGGTCCCTGCTTGGGTGTTGCTGGGCCCGGAGCCCTGATGTTGTGGGGCCGAGCTTGTGGTGCTAGAGGGTTTCACACCACTGGACTCCTAGAAATTTAACTGAGGTAGAAGGACCTTGAATTTTTGTTGGATTTATTTCCCATCCTCTGGCTCTCAAATGCCTTACTACAAATCCAGTGTGGTTGCTACCTCCTGCTCACTAGGCCCAGTCAGCATAACATCATCAATGTAATGGACCAGTGTGATATCCTATGGCAGAGAAAAGCAATCAAGATCCCTTTGAACCAAATTATGACATAGGGCTGGCGAGTTAATATACCCCTGAGGTAAGACTGTGAAGGTATATTGCTGGCCTTGCCAGCTAAAAGCAAATTGTTTCTGATGATCCTTATGGATAGGTATGGAGAAAAAGGCATTTGCCAAATCGATAGCTGCATACCAAGTACCAGGAGATGTGTTAATCAGCCCAAGCAAGGGAACCACATCTGGTACTGCAGCTGCAATTGGAGTCACCACCTGATTCCGTTTACGGTAATTCACGGTCATTCTCCAAGACCCGTCTGTCTTCTGCACAGGCCAAATGGGGGAATTAAATGGAGATGTGGTGGGCACCACCACCCCTGCATCCTTTAAGTCCTTTATGGTGGCAATAATCTCTTGGATCCCTCGAGGAATGCGATACTGCTTATGGTTTACTATTTTACCAGGCAAAGGCTTCCATTTGGCCTTCCCAACCATGATAGCCCTCACATTACAGGTTAGGGAACCAATGTGAGAATTCTGCCAGGTACTAAGTACATCAATCCCAATTATACATTCGGGAACAGGGGAAATAACTACTGGGTGAATCCGAGGACCTATTGGACCCACTGTAAGTCGGACCTTTGCTAAAACTCCATTGATCACCTGGCCTCTATAGGCCCCTACTCTAACTGGAGGGCCACAGTGACGTTTTGGATCCCCTGGAATCAGTGTTCGTTCAGAACCAGTGTCCAGTAATCCCCGGCAGTGTCCTACAGAGAGGAGCAACAGTATTGGGTGCCAGGGGTGGCACTTGGGCAATGCTCCTTCCTGCCGCCTGTGTCCGGCTGCTTCTGGGTGCCGCTGGCCTTGGGCCTGTCCTGAGGCCCTTGGCTGTCCCTCCTGTGGCTCAGGGCCCTCTCCTCCTTCGCACCCCACGTCCCATCCTGGGTCCCCATGCCTCTGCCTTCCACACAGGTCTCCCCTGCCCGTCGGGACTCATTGGTCCCAGGTCACAGTCTTTGCTGGCCTGGACCGTGTAGTAGCTTCCTGCCCGCCTCCCCATTCCCTGTGCTGCACCTGCCAGGCCATGCCCCCTCTGCCACACTCCACTGCAGGCTGGGGAGGGCCAGCACCGTCCGGGCAGTGGGCCCCTCTGCTCCGCCCACCAGCGTCCTGGCTCCCTGCAGCCCTGTGAGCCTCCTTGGGCTTCCTTAAGCCAGGGACGCTGGGCCCTCACGTGGCACCTGGCTGTGCCCCTGGGTGGGACAGACAGATGCCCTCCTGCCTGCCCACCAAGTGACAAGCCCCGTCTCCTCCAGGCGCTGTCCCCAGATGCCTGGCCCCATTCCAGCCCTCTTCCTGCCCTGTCCATTGCTCTCCCTAGAGTCGCAGATGCCCTGAGTGACTCCCCCTCCTGGGGTGATGGCTGGTGACAGGGATGCTGTGGGGCCCAGAGGCCCTGGACTCTCACTGTGTCACAGAAAGGAGAATGGACCCGGGGGTGTGGCTAGATGAAGTGCCGCCAGCTCCCCAGGATGGCCCAGCCCTGGACCGTGGCTCACGGGCGTCTGTCCCCACAGCCACACCGTGTGTCTTCCTGCCACTCTTGCATCCTTCCTCTCAGGTCCCCATGGCCTCCTCTTGTGTCTCTCAGCCTGTGTCTCTGTCTCTGTCCCCTTTTGCCTCGCTGCTGACCTGGGACTGGCCTGAAGGCCACTGTAACTGCGGCGGGCTGTGCGGAGTGTGGACATGAGCGCTGGTCTGAGCTGGGTCTGTGCCTCTGCGTGGCGCGGCTGGTGGAGTCCAGGCCCTCCTGCACCTCCTGCTCCCTGTCCGCCACACCGGGGCTGCAGCCCTGCAGCATAGGCAGAGTCCTCAGAATTCACCATGCTTTGTCCAAGGGTACCTTCAAGTCCCAGCAGTGCCACCTCTGAGAGTCCCCCGGGCCACTTGCCTCCGTGGGCTCGGCTCAGGCAGTGTCTACCACATTGGCAGGAGCGCAGATTCTGAGGTCCAGCATTGTCCGTCAGCTTCGGGCAGCGTGTGATCCAGGTGACACGTTGTCACTACGACCCATCGCTGCTCTTCGCTGGCTGTGCTGGGGTCACCATCTTGGCGGGTGAGACCTCAGTGTGCTGACAAGGCTGCCTCCTGCCCACGGGGAGGCCTACAGAAAGAACGCTGTCCTTCTCCCCCAGGGGCTTTTGTGGCTTTGATTTTGAGTAACAAGTTTTTGTCTTATTCACGGCAACTGGTGTTGCTGTGAGGTTTTGTCACAAGGTTCTCTGACTTGGAAAGTGGCAGCTGCTGCCACTGAGTAACAACTGTCCCTCTTTTGCTGTCCCTTCCCTGGCTGGTGGGATGCCCTCCACCATGCAGTGTGGGTCAGGTGACTTGGGGCACTTGGCTGGAGTCTGGAGTGGCCTGCTCCTGTCACCAGGGGGAAGTGTAGTCGAGGCCTTGGCCTTTGCCACTGTCCCCCCGGGTCCTCGCCTGGCCCTGCTGTCTGGCTGCTGTCTCGGCATGGTGTTTTTGGGGCTCGGCCACCTGTGTACGTGCCGTGCCCCTTTCCCTGGTGCCATGCCCTTTTCCCTAGGGCCTTTGTTCCGTTGCCTGCTGTCACAGCTTTGCCCGTGATGGCTTAGGGAGGAAGTCAGGTTGTTGGGTTCTTTTCTGGCTTCAGCTGGTGACTGCCACTGCTGCTTTAGTCCCCACGCTGTCCCCAGCCCAGGGGGCGATTCTGCTTGACAGCCATACAGCATTGGGCATGCATGCAGTTTGCTCATGATTTTGGAGATGCCTGGCCCTGAGGCCCACACCCTCATTCCCCCATGTTTACACCCCCAGTTGGTTTTGGAGAACGAGGTAGGGGGCCTGTTCTACCCCAGGGTGACCCAGCCCCAGGAACAGTGCTACCTTTTGTCACGAGGACCCTGAGGTGCACTTCCTGTGTTGGTGGAGACTTGGGCTTCCGCTGCGTCCCTGTCTCAGATGGCCTGGGAGACCAGGCAAACTCATGCGACAGGATGGCGTGGGCTGGGCTGCACTCTGCAGTTGTCCAGGAAGAATGCCCCCTGTGTCCTGGGTGCAGCTGTGCAACCCGGTGGGGCCTCAGCCTGGCTCTGTCCAGCCCTGGGTCAGCAGCTGCCTGCTTGGCCAAGTGCCTGGGCAGGAGCAGCACGGCCATGCCACCAGGCTGAGCCCAGGCGTGGGCAGGCGCACCCTCACCTGCGCTGACTGAGCTGACGACCTGGTGGACCTACAGGCACCTGGGAGGTGACAGTGTCACTCTGCCCACTGAGAAAAGGGAGATGGGGCTGGCCAGTGTCTGCATGAGCCGTGGGTTGCAGCTGGGCCCCGGGCTGTGTCCTCCTCCTCACCCTGGGTCTCTACACAGCGGAATAGTCTTGTGAAAATGCTGGTTCATGAAAAGGAAGTGGTGCCTGCCTGTACTCTCAGCACCCTGGGAGCTGGGGCAGGAGGTCACAAGGTGGAGCTGAGCTGCGTGCGCTTCAGTGACCAGTGAGAGCCCACCTCAAAGTAAAATAAAAGCATGGAGCCAGGACGAAGGCAAAGTTACTCTGTGGTCACACAAAAACTGTTAAGTCAGGGGCCGGAGGGCAAACATGAGGTTGTGTGTTTGATCCCTGATACCAAAAAAAAAAAAAAAAAAAAAAAAAAAAAAAGAAGAAAAAGAAAAATTGTTGAGTGAAAAAATAAGAAAGAAAAAGCAAGAAGCAGCATTTGCCTCTCCGAGCCCAGCAGGCTTCTTGGCTCCTCGCCTGTTCCCGGGCTCTGCGTTGGTGTGGCCCCTGGCTGGCTTGTGGGAGGCTGGGCTGGGGGACGCTGTTCCTGTTTTGGGGTGCTTAGGTCTGCTTAGAAGATGGGGTACACAGGAGAGAAGGTCAGGCAAGGGAGAGGGAGGTGCTCATGAGGCAGGCAGGTGGGTGTCACCTGGAAGGATGCTGGGGGTGGGGGCCTTTGGACATAGGGTGGCCGTGGGAGGAGTAGGGTGGGTGAGGGGTGTCGGCTTCTGTCCTGGTCCTGACACCGGAGCAGCATGCTGGGCCTGAAGCTGTGCTGGTCACTGCGTGTGCCAGGTGCCCTGGCTGAGCCAAGTGTCCCTTATGCCCCTGTCCTGTCAGGACCGCAGCCTGGGGGGTAAGCTGGAGCCCGTGTCCCCGCCCAGCCCCCCGCACGCCGACGCCGAGCTGGAGCTGGCACCCCCACGGCTGTCCAAGGAGGAGCTGATCCAGAACATGGACCGCGTGGACCGCGAGATCACCATGGTGGAGCAGCAGATCTCCAAGCTTAAGAAGAAGCAGGTGCGCTGCAGTGGGCGCCCGCTGGGCGACCCTAGGAACGGGGCTCAGGGTGTGTGGGCACCCCAGAGCAGAGGGAGTGGACCCGTGTGACCTTTTGGAGGCCAGAGTGCTGGTGACCCAGTGTCCATGGCGTGATCCCTGAGCTGTGCCCAGTGTGGTGACCACCTGACCCGTAGGCACAGGAAACCTGCTTCAGACCACTGCAGGGTCAGAGTTTAAAGTGGTCAGCAGGCTGTGGTGATCCCAGCTCTTGGAGTCTCAGACTGGAGGGTCACTGAGAGTTCGAGGCCAGAATGGGCTGCATAGTTCAGCCTGAACCACATAGTGAGACTCTGCCTCAAAAAAAAAGGAGAAAAGTTTAAATGTGGTTTCTGTAATTTCCCAAAAATTTCAGTTTTGGGGAGCCTCAGTTTCCTTGTCTGTAAAATGGATGTGACACCTACCTTACTGGGCTTTAAAGTGGGATCGAGGTCCTGAGACTGCAAGCAAAGTCCCTTTGTCACAGATGATACCAGACAAAGACATGTGAAGAAAATATATCTCCGTAAATGGATTTTGGTTTTTGGGACAGGGTTTCACTATGTGGTTCGGGGTGACCTTGAACTCAGTGATCCTCCTGCTTCAGCCTCCTGAGGGGCTGAGGTTATAGACATGCTGTGATGTTGGTAATACTCGTTAATAGTTTGTTCATCCCGTGCAAAATTACTTGATAATCTAATTTAGCCTAGTGTTTCTAGGGTTCTCTCCCTGGTGTTTTGGGTCTCTGCTCAGATGCCCCACTGCATCTGAGGACACCCTAGCTATTATAGGGTCTGTGTCCATCACCAGCCACTGTCCCCAGGCTCAGCGTGGAGGTGTTTATAATAGTTTTATTGGTATGTGGCCGCTCCCAGCATACATGGCATGTGTGGTTGTGTCCTGGGTTCTCCAGAAGAGACCTTTTTGGCCACAAAGCCGAAAATACCTATGCTTGAGGCTTTTGCAGAAACTCTGCTGACCTGCCAGACCCTCACCCATCCTGGTGTCATCACCCAAGTCACTGTTCTCTTTGTTTTTTGTCTTTTTAAGCTAGGGTCTCACTATGCGGTTCAGGCTGGCCTTGAACAGGTTGGCCTCCTGCAGTGATCCTTCTGCCTCAGCCTCCGAAGTGCTGGAATTACAGGCGTGCGCCACCACTGACCCAGCGGTTAGGAGGGCTAGAGGAGGGCTTGTCTCTGTCCCCTTCCACAGGGGAGCCAGCTACAGGGCCCAGGGCTCTCCCTGGCTGGTGGGGCCCGTGTTGAGGGTGTGTGGGGCTAGGGTGGCCCAGCACCTGTCCCAGATCTTGGTGGCACACGTGTCCTGAGAGAGGCCGGCTTTGGGTAGGGTGAGGCTGGCCCTACAGGGCAGGCAGGGGGCAGCACCTCTGTTCCTGCAGGCCCAGCTTCAGGGCCGTGTGCAGCCGTGGGTGCCCTGCTTACGTGTGTGAGTCGGCTGGTGTCGGACCGCGCCTGGGCCGGTTTCCCTCTCCCCAGCGGTGTTCCTGGAACTGGGGGAGTGTCAGTCAGTGTGTGAGGGCGTAGTCCGGGGTGTTCAGCGCCTGCACAGCGCTGTGCCGTCATCACGCCAACTCCTCCCAGTGTCTTCCTCCCATGCTGTCCTCTGGTGGGTCACACAGGTGGCCCTGGGCTGCCCTTCTCCTGCGGAAGTCCATTTGGGGCCGTCCACAGGGTGGCAGTGCCAGAACTGCTTCCCTCTGTGGTCCTTGACTGCGGTGTTGGGGCTGAAGCCGGGCCTTGCGCCCACTGGCCTGGCACTGGCCTCCCGAGGCTGGGGGCGGGCTGCCGTGGGGAGCACACGCGCTGCGTCTTCCTTGTCTGCGGCTGTGGCGCTGCGCCCACCCCGCAGCTGCCGCTGCTGGAGCCTGCACCTGTGGGTGTCCTGTGTGCTGGGCTCTTGCAGGTGTAGCCGGGGAGTCGCTGGGCCCATGGACCTCCTAGACCTCCCGCTGAGGGACTTCGGGCTCTCTTCCCTCGCGGTTGCCCCCTTTCTACGTCTCCTGGTGGCGGTGGGTGGCTCCAGCTTATCCCCATTGTTGCCCAACGCCTGTTACTGTCCTTTTAAACAACGTTCTGGGCCCAGCTGCTGTGGGCTGGGTGCTGGGGCGGGCCGCCGTTCTTCTGGGTCTCCTTCAGGCAGCATCTCCGCACTCCCTGCGGTCCTCCTCGCTGTCTTTGCTCTGCGTTTCCAGGCTTCCTCCACTTTGCCCTGTGAGGGAGGCAGGCAGGCAGGCAGAGCGCAGGCCCACCAGGGTCGCTGTGGGGTGGCGGCAGCCCCGCTGCGGACCGGCTCTCCCTGGCTGTCTTTGGCTCATGATGTGTGGGCCTTGCGCGTGGAGAAGAGCTGTGTTCTGATGGCACTCAGATGCCCTATCAGGCCTGGGAATTGGCTCTCCGTGCGACCTGGGGCAGCTGTCTCTGTTCTGTGGTCTGGGCCGCCTTTTTTGGTATAAAGCAGATAGCAGCACTGAGGGTGCCCTTCCTGAGGTGCTTGGGGAAGGGCGTCCAGTGTGGAGATGGGAGGGTGGACGGCAGGGCTGGGGAGGATGGTGGTGCTGCGATGACGGTGGTAGTGGTGATGACGGTGGTAGTGGTGATGGTGGTGGTGGTGGTGATGGAGATGGTGATGAAGATGGTGGTGATGGTGGTCATGGAGATAGTGGTGATGATAGTGGTGATGCTGGTGATGATGGTGATGGTGGTCATGGAGATGGTGGTGATGGTGGTGATTGATAGTGATGCAGCTGGTAGTGACAGTGAGGGTGATCAAGTGGATGGGCCAGCATTGTCAGCGGGCGCTGTGTGCTGCCAGGAGGGCTCTGCAGGCATCAGTCATTTGGTCCTTGCCAGGGTAAATGCTATTATGACCCTCATTTCCAGATGAGGAAGGGAGCTCAGGAAATTAGCCGTTTCCCAAGGCAGTGCAGCAAGTGAGAGTCAACAAGGGTCCTGTTGGCTACAGTGTCTGCAGCCACTCCCAACGCCATGGCACTGACAGGGACTGCAGTGGACAAGAGAGGCCGGCCTCTCAGCCCAGCCCAGAGCTGCACATGTTGGGCCCATCAGGGAGGGTGGGACCAGCCTTGTCTTAGAGTCGAGGAACTCGAGGCCCACGGGAGTCGAGCTGCTCCTCCCACTCCCTTGCCGCTGGGTGCAGGGCGGCGTCTGAACAGAAGGGCTGCCAGGCCGGCCTCCTCCTGCAGGCACGGAGTCCCCGGTGACTCAGAGGAAGCAGGGTGCAGCCTGACTTCCTGTGGCGGCTGCGGGCTGGGCTGCCGCGGCCCACAGGGCTGTGCCTCTCTCCACATGCGAGGCTCACCCTGCTGCTGCCCCCTTCCCACAGCAACAGTTGGAGGAGGAGGCCGCCAAGCCGCCTGAGCCCGAGAAGCCTGTGTCGCCGCCACCCATCGAGTCAAAGCACCGCAGCCTGGTACAGATCATCTACGATGAGAACCGGGTATGTTCCTGTGCACGGCCCAGGCGGCCTTCTCCATGCCTGGGCGGGGCGCCACACGGGCCACCTATGAGCTTCTTTGCTCTCCCGTGCAGCAGAGCCTGGTCCTCCTCCTGCCTGAGGACCAGCAGGCAAGCAGCTGGGGGCGGCAGCTTGGGGACCTGGCTGGGGACCAGGTTGGCCCACTGGCCTGGGTGCTGCAGCATGGACACATGAGTATTGGGTTTACTGGGTGGCCCGTGGTGCAGGGGATCACAGTGACGTCACTGGCCTGGTAACAGCGCAGACGTGCTTTAGCTGGCCCCTTCCTGTCCCTCCTGCGGGGAAGCAGGAGCTTGGTTTTGTTTTACATGTGGAGAAACTGAGGCCCAGAGAAGCTAGGTGACTTGTCCAGAGTTACCTGGCTGGGAGGTCCTGGACTGGTGCCTGTGGTCTGTCACCGCAGGATCTGACCCTCCAGCAGTGTCCCCGCTGACCTGGCCCAGGAGGCTGACCACCTTCACGCGCTTCTGGGAGTTCCCAGCTGGGTTGGTGCTCAGAGTGAGCCGTGCTAGGTGTGGGGCCCTGCCTTCTTTGGGGCTTGCGGACCCTGCGCCCCCCAGAGTGCAATCTTGGGACAGGAGATGCTGCAGGGGAGGCTGTGTGACCTGGGTGTGTTGCTTCACCCCTGCGCTTCATCTTCCTGGCTGGAGCAACAGGGACAAGAGCCCCGGTCTGTGTGCTCGGGCTGAGGATTAGTGGGCCCCTGGTGATGCCCTTCGGACAGTGCAGGCCCCGGGCAGGGCTTGAGGACTCGCTCAGTCATCTCTTGTTCTGTTCTTCTCGGGGCTGTGTTTCTCTCGACCACAGTCAGCTCCATCAGTGCCCGCATGAGCAGGTGTGGTTATTCTGTTTCACTTCCCAGGCAGGTGGGGCTCAGGGAGGGCAGGGCTCTGGCACACACAGGCGTGAGCTCGGAGGGCTTCTGAGGGAGAGCAGGTTCGGCTGTCTCCAGCAGCTGTCCCGTAGGTCCGTGGCTCCCCCTTCTGGCTCCTGCTTCCCTTGGTCCTGGCACCTGTTTATTCTGCTGATGGAGAGGAGCAAGGAGGTCCTTGAGGGCAGTGTCTTTGGCTCTGTTATTCTTGGCTGAATCCATAGACCCGGACCCCTGCCATCTGAGGAGAGGGTGCTGGGGAAGGGGCCAGGGGCAACTTAAGGGGTGGTGGAGGGGACAGATAGGTGGGGATGGCCGGGCTTGCCTGCAAGCCCTCTGTTCAGGGGTGTGGGCTCAGGCATCTCCTGCCTGGGCTGAGCCTCAGAAGCCAGTGCCTGGCAGCAGGGGGCCCTTGGCCACCTGCAGCAGGATCAGTCAAGACTGGGAGCCCCTTGGGGGATCAGTGGGATTAAATTTCAGTCTGCCTCTTTCCCTGTTGCTTCCTGCGGGAGGGAGGCGGAGGGCGGCAGGGAGCTCTGAGCTGGAAGATGCGGCTGCCTCCCTTCTGTGCACCCGGCCTGTTCTCTGTTCTGAGGAGCATGCAGCCCCCTGTGCCAGGCCGTGCAGGCGGTGCAGGTGCACAGATGGCGGGCAGGGCCACCAGCCAGACTCAGAGGCCTGGCACCAGGAAGGGAGCTGGGTGGCCAGAAGTCCAGGTCACGGTGGAGGCCAGAGAGGTTTGGACGTCTTTGATCTCTAGAGCGGTGTGGCAGGAGGTGGGGATGCCGGGGAGGGGGTGGCTGGAAGCCTCGGGGTACAGGCCTTCCTTGCGGGCAGGGACAGCTGTCCCTGAGTGGACAGGAGGGCAGGGGTGAAGGTGGGAGCTGGTGGTTTGGAGGCCCAGGCACTGGGAGGAGGCCTGAGACCGAGTCTAGGGCGCGAGGACCAGGCTCCCGCTGGGAAGGTGAAAGCCCTCAGGACTTGGGCCGTCTGAGGCTCGCATGTGGGTGCATGCGTGCCTGTGGGTCTGTGTGCACGCCTGCGTTGGCTGGGGGCGGGGTATGAGCTGGGCATGGGTGGCTGTGCACGTCCTCTTCCCAGGCGGTGGTCCTTGAGGGGTCTTTTTCTCCCTCACCCCATCTCTTAGCCCCCGCTCTCGCTGTCTGTGAAACGAGGTGCCCTTGGGTCTGCTCCATGATGCGTGTCCTTGAGCTGGGACCTCCTGGGCCTGGGTGCTCCTCATCATAGGATGGTGGTCACTGGTCAGCATCATCTGGGCCTGGGGCAGGGGCTGGGTCCTGTGCCTGTCTTTGTGAGGCACCTGCGTGTTTCCCTCCCCATGCCCTGCTGGCCTGGAGCAGACTCTGGTGTCCCGGGTGGAGGCACGATGTCACCCTCAGGGTTCGCGGCTGGTGGGGGCCCTCGCCGCTGTACATGGCTACCTTCCCAGTGAGGCCCAGGTTGTGCCTGGGAGGCTGGGGCAGCTGGCGAGGGTCACATAGTTGTGAGCTACACTGATCCCAGTGGGGCCATGCCTGGCCCCCCGCCTCCCCTGGCCTTCCCTGCACCGCTGCAGCTCTGAGGCTGCCACATGCCCAGCCATTCCTGGGGGAGCTACATCCTTGTGGTGGCCCTGGGTACCTGCGATACCAACCCCAGTGGGCTTATTTGGGCCGCGGTGGGAGAGGGCCGTGGACCATGCCCCTGCTGGCAGCTCCAGGAGGGTCCATTTCTAACCTTCCCGTGTTATCTTGGCCACCGCAGAAGAAGGCAGAAGCGGCCCACCGGATCCTGGAAGGCCTGGGACCCCAGGTGGAGCTGGTGAGTCGGGCTTGGGGCGTGGGGGGCAAGAGAGCGTGGGAGGGGAAGAAGTGGTGCCTGGTCTGGGGCTGCCCAGGCAGCCTCGTCTCGGAGGCAGGAAGCGCAGCCTCCTGATAAGAGGCTGGGAAGATATCTGGGCAGGCCACAGGACAGGGTGCCTGGCAGTGACTGCCCTGGGCCACCCGCCCATGCCTGGAGTCCAGCTCCTCTGTTCCAGCTTGGCACAGAGATCCTTTCTACTGGGCCAGATGCTCTGGGTTCAGCTTCCAGGTCTGTCCCTGAGCGGCTGTGTGGCCACGAGCAGGTCTCCCAGCCTCTCTGTGCTTCAGCTGCCTCCGCTGTAAGGTGGCGCCCGTCACACTGGTCCCACTGGGGAAGCCCAGTCACTGTCGGGTTTCACAGTGCAGGGACCGTGCCTGCCTGTGGTGGTCAGCGGCTGCTCTCCTTACAGCTGTCCGTTCCACCTCGTGGGCAGGAAGGAGCTAGGTCCGCAGGCTGACCCACAGCAGACCCAGCCTCCTGGAGCTGGCCTGCAGTGGGAAGCAGAAGTCCCTGTGGACCCCTTGGAGTCCCCTGGAGCCCAGGATGAAGCATGGGGTGATAGTGGTGGTGGGGAGGGTCAGGGTGGCTGTTTGAGTGCTGCGTCCAGGGAGACGGTCAGGTCAGCCTCGTCTGAGCCCAGTGCTAATTGTTGTGCTGCACACCTGCTGTGAGTCTGTGGGGGTGACCCACCTCCCCTGCCTTCTCTGTGGTGTTTGGGAAGTGGGCAGGGATCTTTCGGGATCCATACTGGGCTCGGGGAAGGGGTCCCAGGGAATCACTTAGCACAGCACTTTGTAAGGACCCAGTGAGGACTGTGCTGATTGGGCGCCCTGCCTGTGGTTTCCCTGTTGCTGGGTGCTGCAGGGTGAATGTCCTCTGTCACAGACCCTGGGCTGTTCTGTGCCTGGCCTTGCAGCTGCTGGTCCACACCACCTTAAGCTGTCTCCTGTCTCAGTTTCCCCTTTTGCCAAACAGGGAGGGTGGGATTGGAGGTGCCTCATGGGAGTATCCAGGCTCCGGGGCTCCCTCTCCCTGCTCCTGGGGAGGATGCAAGCCCGAACCTGCTGGTGGTGGGTGAGGAGAGGGGCAGGGCTGCCCACGTCCTGTGGTCCGGGAGCTTTAGCCTGGGGTATCTGAGTCCCTGGGTCTTTGGGAAGAAGTTCGTCTTTTCTTTCCTTTCTCGCCTCTGGCCTGAGGGTCGAGGCTGTGTGGAGGCTGGGGCACAGACCCTGCGACTTGGAGGCTGGGCTGAGGGGTGTCGTCGCAGGCCCTCTCCATGTCATGTTGCCTTGGTGGGCTGGGGGTGAGGACAGAGCCGCGTCCTGTGCTAGTGGCACGGTGAAGCCCCACGTCCCTTTGCTGGGTGAGGCTCCAAGAGGTCAGGGCCCTGTCCAGGGGGCAGGCAGATCGGGCGGGACCTCTCCCAGCCCTGGTGGCCAGCAGTGTCTTCCCAGTGGCTGTCCTGGCCATGGTTGCTGCCACGGAGCAGCCCAGGTTGTGAGCAGCACTCCGCGGCCTGGGATGCCCGGAAGACGGCGTGAGCTAAGGGCGTGTGGGGCTTGTGGGAAGAGGACAGCAGCTACAGGCGGCCCTGAGGACCTGGGGTGACAACAGGTGCCCTCTCTGTCCTCCTGGCTCTCCGAGCCCTGGGGACCAGGCTGGCCGGTGGGGGGGCCCTGTGACCTCGCTGCTGCTGCCGCCGCTGCTGCTCTTGAGTCACAGCTTCCTTCCTGCTCAGGCGTTATTTTAAGTCCGAGTCACCGTGGGGCGGGGGCGGGGGTGATGCTCCAGCTGGAACTGCTCAGCTGGGGACAGCCTGCTCCCTGGGCCCTTCTCTGCCCCAGACCCTCGGGGAACCTGCTTTCTCCCCAGCCCCCATCCTTCTCGGGCTTCTGCCCAGGGCTGTGGGTCCCCTGGAGGCTTGGCTGGGGCAGAGCCAGCCTCTTCTCACTCTCGCTGGACCTGGGAGGGTGCAGGTCCTTGAGGCCATAGAGGTCACCCTGGAGCCACTAGCCTGGCACTGGTCTCCGTGGAGGACAAGAGGATCCTGGGAATCCCCATGGCCTTGGCCTCTTAGCAGTGTGCCCTACCTTACCTCTAGGTTGCTTCCAAGATGGTCACCTGGGCCTGTTGCCATGGTGACCGCTGGCTGCTCCCAGAGCCTCACTGTCTCCTGCCTCAGTTTACCTGAGGAGCCACAGTGGATCAGAGGCTAGCTGCAGCCCTGGGGCCTGTGTGTTTCAGCCCCTCCCTCAGGCTATTTGTTGTCTTCATAAGAAACTAGAGTCAGCCAGCCATCATGTCCAGTGTCCCAGAGTGGCCTGAGTAGTGGGTCCTCTTTGCCGTATGCCCATTCTCCAGATGGGGAAACTGTGGCCCGATGCCCAAAGCACTCACCTGGAAGTGGGTGAGGCAGGAAGCAGGTGAGCCACGAGGTGACACCCCTCCCACCTGGCCTGTGGTCTCCTGGCCTATGGGCCTCTCAGGACAGTGGAGCCATCAGGTTCCAGGTGGGCAGCTCTGCTCCGAGTTGGGGACTCAGCTCGTCCTGAGGGTGCCTGAGTCCACCCGCCAGGGGTTCATTGTGTCTGATGCAGCATAGGCTCTCTTCTGCTCCTGTCCATTCTTCCCTTCCTGCTTGGACGCCAGGCTGGGACCCTGTGGGCAGTGGCCTGTGACCCCCTGTTGGGAGGAAACTGTGTGCCCGGGCAGGCTGCTGTCTGTCACAGGGGAGTGGCTGGGCGCAGAGGTGATGCCTGATGACCGTGGGACTCTCCCCTGCCCCCGGGATGCTGAGACCCTGGGCCTGCACAGGGCCTGGGGGATTACTGGGACCCTCCTCCGTCCAGCGTGTGAAGTTCTGCTTCACCCACTGGCTGTAAGGGGAGTTGGGCCCAAGCCTGAGGACTGGGTGCTCCTGCTGACGCCGGGGGCTGTCGTATCTGTACTGACACCATTCCTTGTGTCCCTCTGGCCGAGGAGTTGCTGGGCATCTCTGTCCACCTGGCCCTTTGAGGAGAGGACGGAGGTGCTGCGTCCACTTTTGTGACACAGGCAGTTGTCCCTGGGTGTGTGGCCAGGGCATGGGGGTCCAGGAGGGGTGGGAATGCACGCCATCCGTGGCCACTGTGCCTGCTTTCGGCAGGGCAGCTGACACTCCCTGGACGGGTGCTGCCGTCTGCCTGGCACTGGGCTGGGAGTGCGGGAGCATCTCCTTGTCCCCTCCTCCCTCCATTTTACAGAGGGGAGGAACTGGGGCTCTCAGGGATTCAATAACCCCCACTCAGAGCCTGGGCGTGAACCCCCCATTGGTCCCCTCTCTCTCATAGGTGGGAATGCAGGGGGAACAGCCTGTCACAACTCCCACAGCCCCTGATGTCCTGGGTATTGGGTTCTGTCCATTCTCGGCGTGGTGACACCCGCCTGCTCCTGGGCAGCTGTGGGCCAGGCCCAGCCATGGTGCCTCCTCCCTGACCCTGTGCGCCCGGCTGTGCTGAGCCTTCCTCAAGCCTCTGGCCTCACCACCTGCGTTGTCTGACGACGCCATGGTCCCTCTCGGTGTAGGTGCAGGGACACCTCCGGAGCAGGGCCCTGGTTTCCATGGTGACCAGGAAGCCTGGCGGTTTTCATGCGGTGAGCCTGGAGTTGCCCCTCCCCGACAGGCCTGTCACACCCCACACAATGGCCCTGGAGTCCTGCGGGGGTCGTGCGACTCCAAGGGGGCCCAAGGGAACAGTCACACCTGATCTTGGCAGGTCCCTGTGTCCCCGTCCCTGCCTACTTGGCACACCCCTGGTGGCCCTCGCTGACTGATACCTTCTGTCTGCCCCACAGCCCCTGTACAACCAACCGTCGGACACACGGCAGTACCACGAGAACATCAAGATGTGAGTGCAGCCTTGAGGCTGGGGCTCAGAGCCAGGGTGTGGAGGGCAGGCACGGGGCCGGGGGGTTGCAGGGCCCCGGCCCGGCTGGAGGCGGTGGCAGCTGCCGGGACATGGGACTGTGCGGGGTCTGCCCACAGCCAGCCCTCCGCAGCTGCGTGGTTGCAGGAAGCACTGAGCCAGGGACTCGGAGGTGGCAGTGCAGTGTGACAGGTGGTGGGACCCTCAGGCAGGCGCCTCACACCTGTGGGCTGGGCTGGGGCGGGTGGTGCAGTGTCTTCAGGCCGCGCTGGGGCTGCTGGGAGGAGCTGGCTTTTCCTTGGGAGCATCAATGGGAGCATAGCTCCCCATCCGGGCCCCAGGGTAAATGGGGCCACAGGCCTTGCTCTGCTGCCCTGTACCTGGCAGGGAGTGGGGTCAGGGCGAGTGTGTGGGACCGGGGTCCCTAGTGTCTGTGTCTGTGACTGTGAGGGCTGCGATGTGCATGTGTGCCCTCAGCGGTGGCCTTCGCAGTTGGGTGAGTCCCGGCTTGATGGGGTGGCAGCATGGGGCAGGGTATGGTGCTCAGCACCTGCCCCTGGAGCCCTGCAGCTCCTCAGTCTTTGGGGGGGAGGCCTTTGCAGGGCCTCAGTGAGTTGGGCTGGCTGTGGGATGGTGTGGGGAGTGATTCTCTGCGCCTTGGGGCGCTGGGTCCCCACGTCAGTGCCTGTGTTCCCTGCACATAGCTGGCCCTGCTGCAGCTTCCAGGCTGGTGGGCTTCGGGCCTCTGCACAGCTGGGTTGGGGTGGCGGGAAAGCAGGGAGCCTCTTCTGAGACTTCACCACTCAGTCATTCATCTGTCTCCCTGTGTGCCCAGCCCTGTCTTAGTCTTGGGACAAGGCTAAGACTGTCCTGTCTTGTCCTGCAGCAAGAGGAGGGGGTCGGACGACAGAGGAGCTCAGCTGTGCAGAGCAGGAGAGTCCCTCTCCAAACCGAGCTGTGCTTTTTATGTTGACAAATCTGTGGCACTGGGGATTTGAACCCAGGACCAAAGTCCTGAGCTGTGTCCCGTCCCTTTTTGTTTTTCATTTTGAGACAGAGTCTCACTGAGTCTCTTGTGTGGTCCTAGCTGGGCTTGACTTTGCCACCCTCCTGCCTCAGTCTCCAGTGTGCTGAGATGACAAATGGGCACCAGCTAGCCTGTGACTTTTGACTGCAGCGTTGTCCTGTGAAATATTCCACATAGCTTTTGCTGCTCAGAAGAAGCTGTGCTTTAGGTTGGAAGATGCTGGCAGGAGAGGACGGGTGGCCTGTCTGAGCAGTTGGCCTGATGTAGCAGCAGAGGGGACCCTGTGGTCTGTGCTGCTGCTGACCGTGTGACCCCCTGGGCAGGAGAGTTGCAGGCAGTGGTAGGAGCAGTCAAAGGCCCTGGGACCACGTGGCAGGGAGCATTGATGGGGCCCTGCGGCTCCTGGAGGCGCCCTTTGTGGAGAGCCCCCCTCCATGCCCTGAGCCAGTCACTGCCTCCCAGCACCTCCATCCTCCCATCTGCAGGGTGGGGACAGCATCTTGGAGGGCGGTGGGGACCTTGGCGGATCCCTCATTCATTCAGCAAACGCTCCCAGCTGTCTGCTCCCAGCCGTGTGTGGCGTGGCCTAGGGGAACGAAGTCGCGACCTCAGCCTGACATTGCAGGGGAGGTGGATGCAGCAGAGCCATGTGACAGCCAGCATTGGAGGACAGTGGAGGGGCCCGCAGAGTGGTCCCGTGGGGCCCATCTCTGTCACTGTCCTCACCGTGTCTGTTTGCCAGGCTGCCGAGGGGGAGCTCATTTCACGCTCGGCTTCCTGCTGCCTGGGCAGTTGGGACGGATGTGCCTTGGTCACCTGCGCTCCCCTGCTGCCCATGCTGGTATTGGTGGCCGGCCAGGGTCACACGCTGCGGATCTGGGTTCTGGCTTCGGTGGGGGTGGGGAGAGGCAGCAGCCCTGAGGACACCGACTTCAGGTTACAGGTGCTGGGGCCCTGGGGCCCTTGGCCCGCTGGCCTCTTCCTACCCCTGTTTTCCTGATGTCCCCTCCTGTGCCTGTGAGGGCTGCTCGTGGGAGGCTGTCATCCGGGCCCAGGCTTCATGTGGAGTGACATGGCAGGTCCTGGTCTGCAGCCAGTCCCCATCTGTCCCGACTTGGGGACCCGGGGCGGTCCCACTGCTTGGCCACTACTGGTCCATCTCCACACCCCTCTTTTGTGCAGAGCCCTTCCTGCGGGAAGCTGGCCAGGCAGCCCAGGAAGGTGGCATGGTGCCACAGAGAGGTTTTAGGCCTGGCCTTCGTGGCCCGAGAGGGGATGCTGGCTCAGAACGGGCCAGGGGCACCCACTTCTCACTCAGCATGGCCGGCTGTGTCCAGGGTCCCCGGGCCCTTGCTTGATGTCCCCTTTTGGTCTGAGATCATTGCTCAGCCTTGGCTCCTCAGCCTTGTGGTTCGTGGGCCGTCTCTGCGGCCACCTGTGCCCAGTGTGGGTCAGGCTGGGACCTGAGCGGCATGGGGTGGAGACCACAGAGCAGTGAGTCTCCTCTCCCTGTCCCTGGAGCTGGCCATGGTCACCTGAGTGGCTCGGCCACGGTGGTATCTGCCGAAAGCTTCCAACCTGGTTGCATTGCTGTTTCCCTGTGTGTCCCCGAGTGCAGTGTGGCAGGGGACAGTTGGCCTCGTACCTGAGGAGGGGACGGTCCAAGGGCAAGGCATAGGTGCTTGTTAAAACCCCACCATGCCAGGTGTCTGTCATCCCAGCGCTTTGGGAGGCTGAGGCAGGAGGACCACAAGTGCCAGCCCAGCCCGGGCAGTTAACTTAGCGAGACTTTGTCGCAAAAAGTAGGAGTCTGAGGCTGGAGCTCGGTGTGAGGACCCGGCTCAGCTCCGGCAGTGCAGAGAGCAGAGCGCGGCGGGGCTGTGGGGCTGCGGGGCGCGTGCGGTCTCGTTTCCGCTGAGCTGCCCAGCCCGCACTAGACGCCCGTGTGCCTGTGCCTTCCCCTCGGTCTGTTCATGGGGTCATTTAGTGACGCCCGCGGCCTGCGGGGCCAGTGACAGCCGCCGCTTGCCTTGCCCCAGCTTTGCAGTGGCTGCGCCCCGACCTTCCCCATCTCCCACCCTACTATCCCCGTCCCCCACCCTGACTGCCCCTCTTTGTCCTCCGTCCTTCTCTGCCAGGGCAGTCCTCACAGGGAGCTGTTTCCTTCGGTGCACTTGGGTGTCCTTCTGCTGGGCTTTCTTGGTTGTCTGCCTTTGCATTTTATGCCCAAATCCTTTGCGGGTACACTCACAGGCCCCCATGCTGGCCCTGGCCACCTTGCCCACAGCCTCTGCCACGTCCCCTTTCCTTCCTGTCCTCAAGTTTGCTTCTACCCAAGGGCCTTCACACTCCTGGTGTCACAGCCCTGGGGTCCCCTCCCCTCACATGTCCCGCCTCAGTCCTCCTGAGTGTGGGCTCCCCGAGGACCAGCAGTTTCCAAGGTCCCACACCTTGCCCCAGCCTCACTCACCTGCTCTGTTTCTTGAATCTGGAGCAGAGCACCCCATCCTGCTAATAGCTGTTGTGACGCCACCTGGGGGGCCCATGCCTGTGCCCGTTGTGCCCCCCCATGTTCCCGTGTGGTGGGGGCTTGGGGAGCATTTGCTGGTGACAGAGATAGAGATGGGTGCTCCTTGTCTTCAGTTCTGTTTTGCAGGTGGGGAAGCTGAGTCAGGGTATATCTGAGATTGGCTCAGGCTCAGCAAAATTGGGGGAGGGGTTCTGATGCAGTGCTTGGGCCCCCCTCTGTCTCGAATGGGAGGTCCTGGGCACTGGCAGGAAGCCTCCTGGCACCTACTGTAGCTGAGCCATCTTCGGGTTTAAGTGTTGGGAGGTGTGGGTGGCAGGTGGGCAGGGGTGGGGGAGTTTGGGGTGCAGCCTGTGCCCCACCCACTGGTACACCTAGTGCCCTGTGTGTGAAGAGGCGGTGCAGGGCCCTGTCTGGGCCTTACTGGGTCCCTGCGCCAGATCCCTGCCTCTCTCCTGTCTGTGTCTCCGCCGCTGTCCCCTGCCTGGCGCCGTCTCTCTGGCTGACCTCACCCCGTCTCCCCTGCTGGCTCGGGTCTCCTTTTCTCTCTGTGGCGCCCTGTCTCTCCTGCCCCTCAGTCTGTCCCTTCTCACGTCCCTGCCCTCTCTGGGCCCCTCCCTTAGAGCCCAGCACTGTTGGGGACCTGCCATCGCCCCAGCTGTCTGCTCTGTGCCGTGTCACCCCCAGCTCAGCAGGACGGGGTGCCCTGGGGAGGAGGCCAGAGCCACAGGGTCCTCCTCCTCCCATTGGTGTGTGCGGGCAGGGGAAGCTGCCACCCCACCGTGTGCAGCCTACAGGTCAGCGATACACATGGGCAGGACTCAGGTTGCTTGGAGGCTATGAGGTCTTCCGCCCACCAAGAACCAGTCTCATAGTGGCCCTTGGCTGTTGCCCAGGACCGGGTGGCAGGGACGCCACTGAGCCCTGTCCTTTGTCTCCAGAAACCAGGCCATGCGCAAGAAGCTGATCCTATACTTCAAGCGGAGGAACCACGCGCGCAAGCAATGGGTGAGGCCTCTGGCGTCCCCAGGGTGCAGCTGCCTGGGACATATGGGTTGGGGGAGGCGCTGTCTCCAGCCTTCCGGTCCCCTGCTCCAGCTTGAAGCGGAGGGAGGCAGCGTGTGGGACTCGCTTTCCGTCCCTGACAGGGCCCTGGTCCACGCAGGTGGCAGAAACCTGGAGCCTGGCAGTGTCCCGGCTCAGGGTGGGAGGGAGGTTGGCGGAGGGACAGGGTGAAGGGTGGAGAGGCGGCCTGGGCTGCGGATGGGTGGGAGTACAGAGGGGGGCAGACGTTAGGTCTGACTCTGCAGTGCAGGACATGCGCAGAGTCTAGGGAGCCAGGAGATGCCAGGGCAGGATGGGAGTGGGCTGAGGCTCCTGAGCCTCGGGAACAGCCCTGCTTCTCCCGGGTGAGCGCTGGCCTGCATGGTACACAGTCAGGTCCAGCTGATGGCTGCCGGAATTGAGACTGATGCCAGCTGAATGGAGGGGGTGGAGTGGGACCCCAGAGCCCAGGGCCAGGGAGACCTGTTTTGGGTGTCTGCTGTGCCCTGGGCAAGCGCCCCAGCCCCATGCTGCAGAGAGGAGAACTGAGGCAGAGAATGGCACAGTGCCTTGTTTAGGCTGAGTGTGGGAAGCAGGTCCTGCCCTGAGGCTTGGGGTGGAGAGGATCCTGGGGTACTATGGCCTGCCTTGGTGCAGGGTGTGTTGGGGGGACTGGTGATGAGAACGAGAGGGGTGTGTGCAGACTTGGGAAGACGTGTGAAGACCATGAAGCACAGCGTGTGCAAAGGCTCTGGGGCTGAGTGGCAGGGCGAGGGTGACAACTTCCGCTGTGCTTGGCACGGAGTGACAGGTCAGGTTACCCTGGGACGCCTTCCCTCAAAGGCCGGAATGGCAGACTTCGGTTCTGTTCTTAGCACAGCACGCAGTCTCTGCGTTCCAGTGGGTGTCTGGTGCTCACAGCTGACCTTGCAGCCTTGGCTCCGCTCCTTACCTGTCACCAGTGTCCCTGTGGGGCTGAGGGTCACTGGAGAGGTGTCACAGGGTCCCTGAGGCTGCTGGACAGAGCTGGGGACAGTAGGGCTGGGGAGGGGACTCATTTGAGTCTTTAAAAGGTTAAACTGGGTGTGGTGATATACGCCTGAAATCACTGCCTTCTGGGAGGCTGAGGCAGGAGGATCACAGCTAGAGCCCAGCCCGGACAGTTTAATGAGATCCTGTCTCAAAGCAATAAAAAAGGGCTGGGAAGGAGCTTCATGCAGCAGCCCTGGGTTCAGCCCTGGTGCTGCAAAGCATAACACAAGCAGACATGAGGTACTTCAGAAGCATCCCTGCCGTCTGGCCGGAAGCGGGTGCCTGAGAGAGGGAGAGGGGCTTCGCAGCCCAGCTGGGCCATCTCAGCAGTTGGGGGTGTTCCCGAGCTGGGGTTTGACGCCCCCCCCCGGGGGCCACAGGTGCACAACTGGGGCACCCAAGGCGCTGGCTCTGTCCTGGCCCCTCCAAGTCCAGAGAAAGTGGCGCACAGGGCGGGAGCATGAGGGCCTGAGGACTAGAGGGGGCTTCTGGTTCCAGGCGCCCTGAGGGCTCTGCCCCTGCCTCCCCACAGCCGGCAGAGCAGGGAGTGGCGGGGTCTGCTCTGCTTGGCCTCATCCCGGGCACCAGGTTGTGTGGCAGGGGACTTCCCTCAACCAGAGCTCGCGAGGAGGTGCAAGTGCAGCCAAGCTGAGCGCGCGCTGTGCGGCCCTGGCTCCTGTCCTGGGGGTTGGGGCTGGGCAGCTTTCCCTGGGGCTGTGGGCTTCTTCATGGACACAGGGCCGTGTGTCCGTCGTGTCCTGTCTGCTCGTGTGACTGTGTGTGTGACAGGTGGGGAGGCCAGCGCGGGCGTGCGGGCCCGCTCAGTGCTCCCCGTGTGCCCTCAGGAGCAGAAGTTCTGCCAGCGCTATGACCAGCTCATGGAGGCGTGGGAGAAGAAGGTGGAGCGCATCGAGAACAATCCGCGGCGCCGTGCCAAGGAGAGCAAGGTGCGGGAGTACTACGAGAAGCAGTTCCCTGAGATCCGCAAGCAGCGCGAGCTGCAGGAACGCATGCAGAGGTGAGCCCCGGGCTCGAGCCCGAGACCCTCCTGCCTCAGCCTCCCCGATCGCTGCGATCACAGCCGTGTGCCCAGTGCATGTCACATCTTTCCACCCTGGTTGCAGGTGGGAAACAGAGACTCCAAAACTCAGTCCAGAAGGAGGCAGAGCCAGTGCAGGAGTGGGTTCTCCTGCCGATGAGGGTGGGTGCTGAGTGTGTCCCTTTGGTCCCCAGCAGGGTGGGGCAGCGGGGCAGCGGGCTCTCCATGTCAGCCGCGCGCAGTGAGCACGAGGTGTCGGAGATCATCGATGGCCTGTCGGAGCAGGAGGTGAGCCCTTCCCACGTGGTCTGGACCTGTCCATACTGGGTGGGGCAGCAGAGACCTGGAGGTTACCAGGGGTACCAGGTGCCTGTGCTGGGTTTCAGCACTGCCTCTGGCTCCACCCCCTCGGCCCTTTGGAGCTTCCCATTGGCTGAGTCCACCCGACACCAGCAGGTGGGAGGGACGGGGAGATTGCCCACACTGGCCTCCTGGGACACCTGACGGGGACCTTTTCGCAGGAGCCTCCAAGTTGCAAGTTGACCCTGGCCGTGGTCATGGGGCCAGGGCTCTCCTGGACAAGGCGCTGGGTTCTATCTGTCTTCTCCTAGGACTTGGTCAGGTGCTCAGTATGACATTCATTCCCTGGACCTGACACTGGTGGCCCCAGGAAGCCATGCACTTGGGCTTCCTCTCTGAGACTGAAATGGATCAAATTGAGATCCAAGGAGACTCAGTTCCTCCAGGGGGCGGGAGCCACAAGGCCCACTCTAGATGCCACCTTTGGTCTGGTCAGCAGGGGTGATGCTGGTCAAACCCTGCTTTTCTGGACCTCACCCCGGAGCCCAAAAGTGGGGGCTGGAATGCGACCAGGGGCTGAAGGGTCCTGGGGCAGGGGACAGTCTCTGTCTACCCCATGGGCTTGGCAGCGAGAGCACATGCCCTGGAGGGGCTGGGAGGGCAGCAGCCATGTGCTGGGCTCCTGAGGGCCTGTGCCCTGCACTGGGTCAGAGTGGGACCCCACTCTGCTCCACAGTTGGAAGAGGGCTGAATCGTTTGCCCTGGCCGCCCTTGGCCGAGAAGTGCTGGCTGCCTGCAGAGATGGACCATTAATCACCACTAAGTTGCCTGGTCACTGAGACCCGGTGAATCGGCACCTCCCTGAATCATCCTGAGGAGGCAGGAGCTGCTGCCCCCTGCCAGGCAGCCGGGGTTGAGGGGCAGCACATAGGTGGTGCTGTGCTCCCAGGGGCCTGACCAACTTCTTTTGTGTCTCAGGCTGCCGCTAGGCCCTGGGAGGCGCCTGCATCCCAAGTCTCACCTGCCTGGCAGGCTGAACTCCCCGCCTGTGTTCTGCAGGGGAAACTCACGGCTCACACTGGCTGCAGATCAGGGCTGTGGCAGCGTTGAATTCAGAGCCAGCAGGGAGGGCCCGTGAACCTGCCCCCTTCCCCAATTTCCCCAGCCCTGTGCACCCCGGCCTTGCCCTGTCTGGCTCCCCAGCCTAGCCTGCTGTGCCCGCAGAACCTGGAGAAGCAGATGCGGCAGCTGGCCGTGATTCCACCCATGCTGTACGACGCCGACCAGCAGCGCATCAAGTTCATCAACATGAACGGTCTCATGGATGACCCCATGAAGGTGTACAAGGACCGCCAGGTCATGAACATGTGGAGTGAGCAGGAGAAGGAGACCTTCCGGGAGAAGTGAGTGGTGCTGGCCTGGGCCCGCCCCTCAGTCCTGGCCCTGCCCCTCGGTCCTGGCCTAGCCCTGCTGTCCTTGTGCACAGCACAGGCTCCGGAGGCTAGAGCAGGGGCCACGTCTGTGGTCACTGCCGCCTCCCACTGGCTCCCGGGGCCCTAGCTCCTGAGGGTCTGGCAGGTCCTTGCCCTGTCTCTCTCTCCTGTGTGGCTGTGTCCCCTCATACAAGGATGCTGGCCCCTGAATCCAGCGCAGCCTCATGCTAAGTCTGCCAGGTCTGGTCATAGCCTGAGGCCAGGGTTGGCATGGATCCTCCGCTTCCTTCAGTCCAGTCCCGTGTGTGCCAAGGCAGCTGTTCGAGGGACATGGCAACAGCGCTGACCTTGGTGCGGCAGGCACAAGCTCTGGTTGAGCCACCCATGGTCCCGGCTCTGCCTTTCTCGATGAGAGCCACTATATGTCCAGCACCCATCTGGGCTGCCTAGCACACAGGCCACAGCACACAAGCACAGAGAAGTTAAGCTGCTTGCAGAGGCCACACAACATGTGCTCCTCTGGACGGGGCGCGGTGCTGGAAGCAGAAGCGGAGCCTAGTAGTGGGTGGGGCTCTTCTAGGGAGAAAGCTTGAGGTGCTTGGGGACAAAGACCCACCTCGACCTCCAGAAAACTCAAAAGCTGGGTCCAAGTAGACCACACTCCATGGTGGGGGTGTGGGATGTGACCGGGGTCTGGGGGTCATCACTGCCTCCGCAAGGCTAGGCTGCTCCCCAAGGACACCTAGCATGGCAACTGAGGCACAGTCAGGGCCTCTCTGCTGGTCGTACTCCTATAACTGGGCCCAGTATCCGACACTCAAGGACCGGAGCCCACCGTCTGGGCGTCTTGTCACCTGAGAAGAGGGCTCCGAGAGGCCCCCCAGGGAGAGGGCTGTGAGAGGTCCCCGAGAGGAGACTGTTGAGGGGTGCCTGGGAAGAGGGCTCTGAGCCACTGCAGGTCTGCAGCAGCCGAGGCAGGAAGACCCTGGGCCAGGGAAGCTGCCACCGTGTCACTGCTGCTTCCTCCAGGAGGAGACAAGGCTGCTTTGGCTTCCCTGGTGTCTGGCTGGGAGTGGCCAGGCCTTCGGTCACCTGAGGCAGCCTTGCTGCCTGCCCTGGCCGTCTCTGGTGGGAGCTGCACCCTGTAGGGGCATCTTTGTCTCTCATAGCCCGTGGGTGGCAGGTCACAGGGACCCTGATACCAGGCCGGGCAGCTCCAGCCTGTGCTCTTTCTCCCTTGGCCTGCCGTGTCCTCCCTGCCCTGGCACTGATGGGTCAGCCTGGCCCCACACCTTCTTGGCCGATGTCCCAGCTCCACAGGAAGCGGGCTCCGGCCCCTCAGGGAAGCCCAGCTCTGAGGAGAGGAGCACAGAGGGCGAGGATGACATCCTCACCGTGCCCTTGTTTCCCCGAAGCTGCCTCCGCCCCTGTAGGCTGAGCGTATGCAGGTCAAAGGCGCTGGGCCGTGACTCATGTGGGCTCTGTCCCTGGCCCACCTCAGCTTCATGGCATGCAGCTGGGGCGGAGCCTGGCACGACGGCGCTCAGGGCTGCAGGCAGGGCCACGCTTTGGGCTGGCCTCACACCGAGCTCCTCCTCCACAGGTTCATGCAGCACCCCAAGAACTTCGGCCTGATTGCCTCGTTCTTGGAGAGGAAGGTGAGTCCCCAGTCACCCGCCGCCCTGCTCCAGGTCCCCTCAATGTCATTGTCCCCAGATTGGTGCCTGGGTCCTGTGGATGAGCTCTCACATCCATGGTGCCTGTCACGCTGTCCCCACACTTGTCCCCCTCTGGGTCGCGTAGCCCCCACCTTGCCTGGTCAGAGGAGTATTGGTCAGTGGATAGTCCTTGGGGGACTGGGCTGCCTGTGGCCTTTTCCTGGAGCCCCTCGAGGTGGCACTGGGCATCCTGGGAGATTGGGGACAGGACAGGCAGGTGTGGTGACCCTCTGGGAAGTGGGGCAGTGATCTGAAGGCCTCTGTCATGGCCACTGCATGCTTGTTGGCAGGCCGGAAACTTTGTGCACACTGTGTGTAGAGCTGACCTCGAAGCTAGTGTGGCCCGCACACCCGAGCTGGGTGCCGTAGGGTCCCTAGAGGGTGGCTCACTCTCAGCCCTGTCTTGCCTGATGGGCACTGCCCCAAGACCGTGGAGATGGCACCGTGGCTGGTGTTGGTGTCCCTGGCTTTTGTGGTGCAGCAGGATGGGATAACACTGTGGGTCGGATCCCCTGAGGCTGCAGTCTGCATGGGCCATGCAGGCAGTTTGTTCAGAGGCTGACAGTCGTCCCCACATCTGCCTGTGATGGGCCGACGGCTGATGACCTCGGAGGAAGTGGGCGGGATGCGTCAGGGACCTCACTCTGCACCTGAAAAACCAGTGTGGCCGAGACGCCGTATAAATAGCTCCCTTGGGGTCGGTGACCTTGGCCGTGGGTGTGGACGCTGACAACGCCGGCAGGACTCGGTGCCCAGAGATGAGATTGAGCAATGTGGTTGGGAGGTGGGGACACTGGTCCTGGCAATGGCATGTGGGCACCCAGCATCCTTGACTCAGTGCTGCCAGGGAGGAGACAGAGCCTCCTGAGGGCTGGCTGGGAGGCGCGGCGATACGGACGGAGTACGGACGGAGAGATCTGACGGTGAGCAAGGCTGACACTGGCGCTGCAGTGCCCTGCCACCGTCACCCTCCACCTGGGTCCCCTCGCCTGCGTCCCCTCGGTCCGATGCCCGCCAGACTGGTGCATGCACGTGGCATGTGGCCTCTGATGAGAAAGAACTGCTCTAGCCGAGCTTGCGGATGTGTGCTCAGGATCCCGGCACTCTGGAAGGCTGAGGCAGGAAGGTTCTGAGGAAGTATTTACCAGAATAAAATAGGGCTGGGGATGTAGCTTAGTGCAGAGGCTCTGGGTTCAGTCCCCAGTGGCACAGAGAGAAGACCCTCCCCCTGGGGCCTCCTGGGAGAGGGCCTATGTTGGTGGCCTGTGTTGGTGGCCCATTCGTTCTGGGATGTGGCCTGCAGGCAGCTTTCTGCTAGGGGCAGCTGGAGTCCAGCCTACCTCTGTCCCCTCTGCAGCGGAGTCCAGGCTCAGTGCTGGCCCTGTTTTGAAGCGCACATGCTCGGTGCCTCAGGACCAGCCACAGCACTGAACCTGTGTTTTGAGGTGACGCCCTGGACACAAGGGAGCCACCAGGTTCAGGCCCCAGTTCATACAGGAAGTCGGGGCAGAGGAGGCGCGATCAGGCACTGAGTCCCCAGCGTTCGAGCCCTGGATGGGGTTGTTCAGGACCTTGGGTATCAGGGAAGGGAGGTAGAGACCGGGGACAGGGTCCCTGTGCTGGATCCAGGGGTCCTCTGAGAGTGCATCACCTGTACCTCAGGCCTTGATTTCCCCACCAGCAGTGATGGCTCAAAAAAAAGCCATCGTCACCGCCAATGGTAGCAGCAGCATGGCAGTTTTGGGAGCTGTCACTTTGCCCCCACTGCCCAGTGGTGACTCCTCTGATCTCCGTGACAGTTCTACGTGTTCGAGTCCCCACGGATTGGAGAATTGAGGTGCTGAGAGGTTAGGTCACTGTGCCAGGTCACCCACTGGTCCGCGGAGGAGTGGGGCGTTGGTTCCAGGCCTCTGGCTCCTGCTTCCAACGCTGCGCCTGAGCGCTGTCTCTGTCCCCGCAGACGGTGGCCGAGTGCGTCCTCTACTACTACCTGACCAAGAAGAACGAGAACTACAAGAGCCTGGTGCGGCGCAGCTACCGGCGCCGCGGCAAGAGCCAGGTGAGGGCCGGGCCACCTCGGAGTCGCCTGTCCTGCCCAGCCTAGCCAGCAGCAGGGTGGGCTGGGGCCGAGGTCACGGCCATCTTCGGCCTGGGAAGTTGCGGGAGCCCCTGCCCAGCGCAGTGTGGCTGTTGTAGGCATGAGGAGACCGTGTCCTGCAGCCAGGCTGCCCGGGACTGTGCGGGGATTGGTGTTCTTATTCTTGAGGGTCTTAGGAAGAAAACACACATGAGCTGGAGTCATACTTCCGGGGCACAGCAGATGGGGCGGAGGCGGGGAGCATGGGAGGATGGGCTGGCCCTGCCTGTTGGTATGAATAGTTTTACTGGAACGTGGCCACCATCATCCCGGGACACATGACCCCGATGGCCTGGTGTCTCACGGCTGTGGCAACAGGAGCCATGTGGCCCATGGAGCCCGAAATGCGCTGGCCTTTTTGGGAAATGCTGGCAGGCAGGTATCTGCCTCAAGGAGAGAAGCTGCTGTGCAGACGCCGGGTGAAGGATCGAGAAGGTTGGGGGCAGCGGAGCTTGGCAGATGGGGCTGGGGCAGTGCTGGCTGCGTCCTGGTGGGTCGCCCGGGACCGAGGCCCATTTCTTGTCCCTGTAGATGTGTGAAGGCTGCTGACAGATACCCATGTTGGTCCAAGGCTTGGTGGCGCAGCCAGGGCCATTCAGAGACCTGATGGCAGCACTGGGGACTTTTCTAGACCTGAGGCAAAGGGCAAGTTGGTGCCGGGCGGGACAGAGGAGCTGGAGTCAGGGGCAGGCATGGGGAAAGGAGCTGCAGGTGGCCAGCTGGGGCACGGAGGAGGCAGTGGTGCGTTCCTGCTGGACTGTGCCGGAAACTGGGCGCATCTCCCTCCCCATGGCTGTGGCCCAGGCAGTAGGGATGAGTCCCCAAGGAACCCGAGACAGCAGTGTGGCTTTGTCCCTGCGGGCCCTGGGTTGGGGGGCAGACTAGAGCTCTTGGGGGCTGAAGTGGAGGGGAGGGGCCCCGGGCTGAGTCTGCTCTGGGCAGGGGGAAGTGGCTTGGCCTTCAGTGACCCACAGGCCACTGTTCAACCATGTTTGCCCTCGGGGCCAGCCTGGCACCCGCTGCAGAGCCATTCCTGGCCTCGAGTGCCGATGTGTGCCCCACCAGGCTGTGCTGTGTCTCTGTAGCCCCTGGCTGATTGCAGTGAGGGCAGAGCCCCTGGGGCGCTCTGTCTCCTGAGCAAACAGATGGGTAGACAGACAGAGGGACAGAGAGATAGACAGGCCTCCCGGCTGCATCAGGCCTCGGGCTCCTTTCTGATCACCCAGCCCTGGGTGCCGGATTGAGCGGGACAGAAGTTCACTCTGGCCAAGAGCAGTTGATTCTTCTCGGCCGCCATCCTTGGGGCACCCGGAGCTCCTAGCCGCCTGGCCTCTGTCCCAGGTCCCAGACCGCCCAGCCCACCTCCGCATCTGCCTGGGGCTCCTCTCTGGCGGCTGTGGGGACACACACAGCTCAATAGAAATGCAAGTTCTTTAAGCTCTGCAGTTTTCAGGAGTTTCCTTTCCTTTCTAAGAAATTTTATCCAGATTTAAAAAGCAGACGCTTTTTCTCTAAAGAGATTTCTAGTGCATAATCAGAAGGATCAGAGTGTTAGACAGTTCAGGACAGCTTGGCAGACTGGCCAGGATGAGAAGGGGCAGGAGTTCAGTGCCAGCCCCACACTGACCCTGATCCTGAATGGTCTGCTGCTCTGAAGACCCCACAGCCTCGAGATGTGGGCACAGGCAGATGCCACAGGCACAGGCAGCCACCCCTTCCCTGGGGCCAGGACCCTCAGGGGTGGTAGTACTAGTTCAGGGTGGGCCAACCGTCAGCGTTGACCATGGGTCCCATCCTCCTCCTCCTCTTCTGCCGACACTCAGCACGTCCCTGGCGGCCTGGGACCACTGAGCCTATGGCCTGCCTGCGACCAGCGCTGCCCTCTCAGCTGCCCTCTCACCTGTGCGTGCTTTGCCCCGCCCCGCCCCACCCCACCCTTGGGGTGCTGGGAGAAGTGGGCTGCACCACCAGCCCAGCCCAGACCCGGCCCCTGCTCTGTGCACCCCGACAGCCCCAGCCTGGGAGGTGGGTGACTGGCTTCATCCCCGCAGTGGTGCCAGTGGCCCTTGGGCTTGGAGGGAGTTTCTCTCGGCCAGAGCCAGCTGGAGCTGGATGGCGCTGAACACAGGGCAGCTGGCTGGGGCTGGCCAGCCCCTGCATCATTGGAGAGGCTGCGGTGGGCCAGGCTGGGCCCTGCCCTGGGGACACCTGAAAGGGTCTGCAGGGGGAAGGTGCTGGTTGCCCTGGGGCAGGGCGGGGGATGCAGTGTTCGGCCCTGCCTTGTGCTGTGTCCTTGGGCCCTGGAGTCTGGCTCCGGTCCAGCCGTCCCTGTGCCCCTGGGCTTGGGGTCCCGCACACCCTGCGTCTGTGTGTCTGTCTGTGTGTCAGCTCCCTCAACCTCTCTTGCTCTCCTGGACAGCTCTTGGGTGCCTCCCTTTCCTGAGTGGCCGGGGGTCGAAGAAGCCACTGTGGGTGGCCACAGGGAGACCACGGTGCCTCAGCCTGGTGCAGTTCCTGTGCCTCTGAGGGTGACACAAGTGGCTTCTGTGCCCAGCAGATGCCGCTCTACGCAGCCCTTGCTGCCCCGTGTTCACCATGCACTGTGTGTGCACATGTCAAGTGCCTGCTGTGCGCGGCAGGCTGGCGTGGGCCATGTGGGCAGAGCGCACCTTCCTAGGCCTGGTGGCCCTGCACCAACATGGATGCCCTGTGTGTCCTGCTGGGGCCCTCTGATGGGGCACACTCCTCTACCTGAATGGATCGGGGGGTTGGTAGATTGGTGCTGGAGGCCTGTGGTGCTGACCACGGGCGGGGACTCCTCAGGACACCAGGCTGTGCGCTTCCCTGTGGTTAGACTTCCGGTCTCCTGGGTTCAGTGTGATTGAGGTGCACTGCAGCCTGGGTCTAAGCAGGACATGGGTGGCTGCCCATTCCCAGGGTCCCTGCACAGCCCCGAGCTGAGTGGGTGCTGCAGGCTGATGGCTGGGGCCAGGCCATGTGCCCTCTCCGTGGTGGCCTGCCCTGTCCCTCTGGCCAGTCGGCTATGCGTTTGCATATTTGTAGAGCTCTGCTTAATGTGTAGGCTTTGTACTTGGGACACCCCTTCCCCCAAGGACGTCACTGCCGGTCCTTGGGCTACTCCCAGCAGAGCTTGGGCAGGCCTGGGCCTTGTGACCAACCCTCTTCAACCTACTGTCCCCTCCCAGCTCCCTGCTTGTCCTTATTTCCATGGCGTTGGTAACCAGGAAGGTTGTGAGGTGGCTGTGGAGCCCTCGAGGGGTAGTGCTGGCCGGGGGTGGGGTGGGGTTCAAGTGGCTCTGGGCCACCCTTGCTCCTTCCATCAAGGGGCTCAGCCTCCCCTGTGTCTGCCTGGTGCTCGACCTGTGACAGCTGTGGGGGGGTTCGCGAGTCAGGTCATTCAGGGGACCATCCACTGCGCTGTCCTCCCTGCGGAGCAGCTCTTTTTGGATGGAGGGAGGTGCCCCAGCCAGGGCAGAGGAGGCCAGGCAGCAGGGGAGGGGACGCCTGGTCTTACCCCACTCACCTCCCCATCTCTTTCCTATCCCAGCTCTGTGCCAAGGAGCTGGTGACCTTGTTTGACAGCTGAGGCTCTGCAGCTCTCTGCGCCTGGCAGCTCTCTGGAGAGCCGTGGGACCAGGGGCCGAGGGCCAGGATGAGCTGAGGCTGGTCTGCAGGTGGTGGGTGTGCCTTACTCGGGCGCCCCGGGGGGCTGCAGTGGATCCTGGGTGCCAGGCTGGCCGGGAACTGGTGGTGGCCAATTGGGGTGGTGTCCAAAACACTGCACCCTGGATGGAGGACCCAGGGCTGCCCCAGGGAGAGGACCAGGGACTGCAGCCTTCTCATGGCATGGGGAACCACCCCCTCCCTGGGCTGAGGGCAGCTGTGGAGGAGGTGGCCATGTGACATCACCAGGACAGGCCAGGGACCCTGGGCAAAAGTGGGAGTGGCTGAGCCCAGAGTTTCTGAACCAGGCCCCTGGGACCACAACTGCCCTGCGGACCTTGTAGTACCTTGCAGTGACATCCTTGCGATGATTCCCAGTGAGCAAGACACACACTGGCTCCTGCCTCACAGAGAGAGCAGCCAGAGACAGGGAGGCTCTGCGGAGGTGTTGGGCTCCCAGCTGAGTCACTGATAACAATCAGGGTCAGAGGAAGAGCAGCTTTCTCACTGAGGCCACAGTACATGCAAAGGCCCTAAGGCAGGGGCAGAGCTGCTTAGGCCTGGAGGGCCACAGACTGTTCCTTATTCTAGCACAGAGTCCACTCAGGATCAGAAAGGAGCTTTGGGGCCGCGGGGCAGCTCAGCAGTGCATGCGCCCCTCGAATGTTTGAGGACCTGGGTTCCAGCCCGACGTTGAAGGGAAGAAGGAGCAGAGGGGCTGTGGCCACCCAGTGCCCCAAGGCAGGGGGACCACGCATCTCAGGTGGTGCTGGTGCTGTGGGGCGCAGCTCTGGCGGTGTTGGATAATGGCTTCATCCGCAGTTCTCGGGCTCGATCTAGACCCCTGCAGCGTCCTACACCGCCCCTGGCTTGTGAGCAGGGACAGCTGGTGCCCAAAGACCTCTGAGCCTCACAGATGTTCCCTGCTGTGCTGGCTGAGATCCCCGGGTCCGCAGGAAAGAGAGAGGCCCGACATTTGGGCCCCAGTACCCCTCTGCTCCCCTACATCTCCTGAGGTCCGCCCCTGTCAGTGGGACTTATTTGCTGGGGCACAAAGTACGTGGTAGATGAGTGGGGTGCTTGTTGAATGAGCAAATGTCCTGAGTGGTGAGCCACCACACCTTTTTTTTTGGTGCTGGGATGAATCTGGGCCTCCTGGGTGCCCAGCAAGTGTTCTCCTGAGCCACATCCCTGGCCTGGCACATTTTTGAGGATGTCTGAGGGTCACACCCCATCACCCTCAGCCTGCCTCCTAGCTAGTGGGGCCACAGGGGTGCTGTGCCCAGTCCTGCAGTCCCTGCGGTAGAGGGGCTCAGATCACAGTGTGGGGCAGCTGCCACCTGCTCTCCCCTCCACCTCTGCACAGCCTGGCACCCACCTGGGGTAAGGACGCATGTGGTTCTCTGATCATAGGCCTGGGTGGCAGCGGGGCGGTCCGTCTTGCCAGAAAACGCCCTGTGACTTCGGCTGAGGTCCTGAGCCTCTGTCTCCAGTGCTTATCTGTGAAGCAGAGGTGACGCCCGGGGTCTTGGGGTTCGTAGCTGCTGAAAGACAGGAATCCGGGAGCCAGTTCTGTTGACATGGGCCGCACTCGGCAGGCGCTCGTCCTCACTAATGGTGTTTTCTGGGAGCAGTGTCCCTGTGGCGGCGCCAGTGGCCCACTGACCACAGGTCCTGCCGGTATCTGCAGACTGCCCGTGCAGTCGGGGCCCAGCCGCCCGGCCCAGAGTAGGGTGGGAGTTGGGGCCCCTCTTGAGTCAGTCCCGCGAAGTCACTCAGTTGCCCAGATGCTGCCATCCTCAGCCTTCCCGAGTGGTGGGATTAGAGGTGTGCGCCTCTGTGTCCCGGCCAACATTCCCATCACCACGGTGAGGAGACCTGAATGCAGCGGGCAAGCTCCTCTAGGAGCCACAGACAACCTGGGGTTGTGCCTGGCGCCTCCCCTGCCCCTGCCTCTCCTCACCTCCTGGGGCTGCAAGGCCCGGTGCCAAGACGGAGACGCACTCGCCTCACCACCTTGCTCTTCCCACGGCAGCAGCAGCAGCAGCCCCCGCCGCCCCCGCGCAGCAGCCAGGAGGAGAAGGAGGAGAAGGAGAAGGAGGCCGAGAAGGAGGAGGAGAAGCCGGACGTGGAGAACGGCAAGGAAGAGCTCATCAAGTAAGACTGGAGGGCTCCCTGGGCCAGGGCAGGGCCGGGTAGAGGTGGGCATCGGGGCCTGTCACGGGCTCACCGCTGCCCTCCACAGCCCCGCCGCCTCCCTTTCTTTCCATCACCTCCGGGACCTGAGGGCCAGCTGCTCCTGAGCTCTGCGGCTGAGCTGGTAAATGCAGGAGCAACCGAGGTGCCTCTTTCTCCCTCCCGTCCTCCTCCCCCAGGCTCTGGACCCTAGCAGGGGGTAGTTTGGGAGGCTGAGGCAGGCTTGCAGCCAGCAGGACTGTGGGTGGCCCATTGGGTGCCCGGCACCTACCCTGGCCCAGGAATGCGCCCCGGGAGCCTACGGCTGCCGTCCCACCACGCCTTGCAGCGAAGAGATAGGGGGGCGGGGGACCCACCCCAGCCACACTCCTAGGCTGGCTTCCCAGGGAGCCCTTGGGACTGAAGGTCCATGCAGTTCAGTGGCCAATGGAGTGTCTCCAAGGGCCACTTGGAGACGCAGAGCCAGGTGTGGCTGCATGCAGAGCTCTTGGGAAGGCGTCCCCTTGGGGAGCAGAGTGGCCTTGTTACCAGCCCCGCCCTGTCCCCCCCACCCATTGCTATTGCAGGCAGGAGCATTGTGCAGCGCTGCCAGCCTGTGTCCCCCAGGGGGACGGTGTACCTTGCAGAAAGGCGCTTGGCCCTGCCCAGTGGAGAAGCAAGCCACTGCCAAACCCAGTCCTGGCTGGTGCTTATAGCAGTCATGGCTCCCACCAGCCCTGATACGTGCGCCAGGTCTCAGGTCTCCAGAGGCCCAGCCTGTGGTGTGACTGGCCGCCCCTCCCCAGCCCTGCCCTCTTCTTCCTGCTGAGTTGGGAGCAGGGGGAGCCCCCACAGCAGGAGAGAGGGTCCCCTCCCACCAACAGCGCTGTCCTGGATGGGTGAGCGCATCTCCATCCCCCTCTGGCTTTCAGGGAGAAGACGGACGACACCTCCGGGGAGGACAACGATGAGAGGGAAGCCGTGGCCTCCAAGGGCCGAAAAACTGCCAACAGCCAGGGCCGGCGCAAGGGCCGCATCACACGCTCCATGGCCAGCGAGGCCAACAGTGATGAGGCGGTCACCCCGCAGCAGAGCGCCGAGCTGGGTGAGCGGTGGGGCCGGGACGTGGTCTTGGCTTCTCAGTCTCCCCTCGGCCAGGTCCTGGGGCCACCCTGGCTCCGGGGCCCAGATGCGGGAGAGCCTGAAGTGGGCCTGGGTGGTAGGCAGACCTCGGGCCGACATCCGCCCCAGTTCCTGCGGGAGCAGCTGGTGGGTGCTGCAGGCCCCTTGTGCCCTGCTGGTGTCTGGTGGGCCTGGTTATCTCCTTTTGCCTAGTGGTGCCCATCCTCCTGCTCCCAAGTGAGGGAGAAAACCCTGGGCTGCAGCTCCACAGCCCTGCCAGAGAGGGCAGCAGTGCGCATCTGCAGCTCAGGCTGTGTGACCCAGAGAAGGGCCCCAAGCCCACGCCCTCTTGGGTGCTTGGCCTGCGGGTGTGTGCTTGCTGCCCCCCTGGCCCACCTGCCGCCCAGGCCCACGCTAGGGCGGGGCTGCAGGAGGAAACGCACCCTATCCTCCACCTCGTTACTGTTCCAGCACCTTCTGCCCCGTGGAGCCTGTCCCAGGTTTCCTGGGGTCCCAGACAGCTGCGCCTCCACCAGCCGCGTGGCCGGGGTGCTGCACAGGCATGGGCATCCCTGTCTGTCCCCAGTCCCGGCCCTGCTGCCATCCCATTACTTCCTCTAGCCTTCGGCTGGTCTTGGCAGAGCATCCACGCCATGCCGGGTGCTGATCCCCGGGCTGTCCCTGTGTATCCACCCCCTCGTGACTGTGAGCCACCAGAAGGGAAGGGAAGCATAGGAAGGGGAGGACTAGGCTCACGTCCAGGGCACCTGGAGGACACTTAGACATGGAGGCCACACAGAGACGTGGCCACCGCTCTTGGCCCCTGAAGCTGGCAGTTTGTCTCTTAGGCAGCAGGTCCCTTATTCTGTCCTGGTCATGTGGGGACGCCTGGGACATGCTTCGAGGTCACAGCTGGTGCTCAGCATGGGGGCTGCGGTCCATGGGTGGTCCTGTCACCCTGCTGTGCCCAGGACAGCCCCCCCCCCAACAGAGCCTGCTGGGACCTCTGAACTGGACCCCTGGACATTCCTGCCCTCGTCACCCTCAGGTGGTCACCACGTCACCCGGTGGGCCACCTCTTCCCGGCCAGGTGCAGACTGAGCCAGCTGTCACAGCCATGGCCCTTGCCTGGCTCAGTCTCCTGGTCTGTGACGGCAGTGGCCCGCTGGGATGCGCGAGGATCGGGTACCGTGGGAGGTGGAGTGTAGCCCCAGAGCTCCCACCGATGGCTGCATCCCTTTGCAGCTTCTCTGGAGATGAACGAGAGCTCACGCTGGACGGAGGAGGAGATGGAAACCGCCAAGAAAGGTGAGGCCAGAGCAACACATAGCTCTCGTGGAGGTCGTGAGTGTGCGTGGGAGGCTCCAGCCGCTTCCTGGCTGTGTGGAGTGGCGTGGTATCAGTGGCAGGGTAAATTTTAGTGGCGTGGGGCTGGGGGCATAAGGTTTCAGAGCCAAGGTCGTGTGTGGTTTCCTGGTGACCTTGTGATAGGTGTTGAGGAGTGGAGGCTGGGACTCCGGGCCACCCCACACCTTCCCGGTCCTGAAGCCGTGCCACACCCAGAGGCCAGGCCAGGGTGAGCGGCTGCTGGGGCCCTGATGCCCTGGGCCCACTGCTGGATCGCTGCCAGCTTCCTGGCCTCAAAGGCCATCTGCAGAGGGGACCAGTGTCCAGGCTGGCAGTTGGTGTCCCCAGTGGGAGACTCCTGTCCCACATAGGACTGTCCTGAGTGGCTCTTCCAGCAGTGCTGGGACCGGGGTGGCGCCTGGCTTCCTATCCCCTGCACAAGGTTCCATCCTCATCCCCAAGTCAGGACCGGGGTCTGGGTGGCAGGCACAGTGGCCCCCAATGCACCTTGGCTCCTGTTGGCAGCGGGTGCTGCTTCCTCTGGTGCGGCCTGTCGTGTCCACCTCTGATGGCATTGCATGCATCCCGAGCTCTGAGACCGATGGCCTCTGTGTGTGGTGTGTGCTGTCCAACAGTTATTCCTGCGGGGGATCTAAGTGGGGCTTTCACCAGAGCTGTGTCCACGGCCCTTTTTAAATTCTGAGACGGCGTGTCACTAAGATGCCCAGCTGGGCTTGAATTTGCGACGTCCTGCCTGAGCCACCCAGGGTGCTGTGATTGTGGGCCTGTGGCACTTGCACACCTGGTGTGAATTTCAAGACCTGGTTTACTTGTCTAAATTAATTGGAAGATTCCGGAGACCTAAAGTAAGGAGTATGATTGCGTAGCAGCCTTTATTTCGGTTGCGTCCTGGCTGTTTGAGGCTGGGTCGACTCGGTAGTCCGGGCCAGCCGTGAGCTCTGTGGGTTGGTCAATCTGGCTTCAGAGTCAGTCATCCTGCCTCAGCCTCCCAGGGTGTCAGGTGCTGCCGGCTTCACAGTAACGTTTAACCAGTGCGAGGCCCTGGGTCTCTGCCCAGGCGTCCCACAGCCCTGTCTCCTCTCCTGATGCTCGAAGCCCGTTGGTTTGCTGAGGAGGGCAGGAGGGCCGCAGGCTGAGTCACCGCCTGGGTGGCGCATGTCCTGCAGCCTCAAGGCTGGGCCGGCAGAGCCGAGCTCTCGGGGAGCCGGGTGGCTGGTTCCTGCTTGGTGACATTTGTAAGGACACCTGAGCTCAGCACCACGAATGACAGCAATCTGGACAATTACCGCCGTGTGGGAGGCTGCCAGGGCGGGAGGGCGCGTGTTCCCACATGGCGCAGGTGCAGCAGCTCTGAGAGTTCTCGTCAGAGCCCGAGCGTGGAGAGGGCCCCGCAGCAGCTGTGTGGGCCAGGTGGCTGCTCAGTCCTTAACCGGTAGGGGTGGGGGACACTTCGCCTGGAGCTGGCCTGTCTCTGGGGGCCCCCACAACACAGACTGAAGCTCTGTATCTTAGAGCCTCAAGTGGCACCAAATAGCACTCAGTAGCTCAGCCGAGCCTCTCTGGATTCCGGGGTCCCAGCTCTTTCTCTGGGTGGGAGAAGACAGTTGCTCCCCACTGAGCTCTGTCACTGCCTTTATTCTGAAGAGGAAAGGGCTTGGTGAGCTGCCTAGGGTCATGCAGCTCTGGGTGCACAGTGGAAATGGAAGTGATGTGAAGGCTGCACAAGTAGTGCCCTGGGCTGGGTGCTGTGCCCCAGGGAGGAAGGAAGGAGGGACGTCACCCAAGGGAACAGTGTGTGCAAAGGGCCTGTGGCACGGCAGTGTGTGGAGCAAGATGCTGCTGACTCCTGAGAGGGAGTCTGTGAGAGGCAGGGACGCTGGGGTGGATTTTGGCTGGGTCTCTAAGGGGACCACAGGGTCCCCAAGTGCAGGGGCCAGGCTGCTGCCCTGGACTTACCCTGGGTGGGGACAGAGCTTGTGCAGGAAGCTGCCTGCCTGGCAAACCAGCCGGCTGCCTGGGCCGGGTGCCATGTGGGAGGGAGGGCCCAGCAGGTGCTGGCTGGCAAAGGCCTCTGGGTCCCCTGGGAAAGGTCAGCCTGGCCTGGCACAGTCCTGACCCGTTGAGCAGAAGCCTGGCAGCCCCACCTCCTCAGGTGGCTGGGAGCCAGCGGGCGGCGGGGTGCCCAGCAGAGCTCAGAGCCCAGCAGGCCTCCAGGGCCCAAGCAAGGGCAGGGTGAGCGGGTCACACTGGAGCCTTGGGCAGCCAGGCACAGAGCAGCAAGGGGTGAAGACGGGTGGGATGGGGTGAGCCCTGCTCACGAGTTCTCCATCCCTAGCTGCCTGCCCGGCTGGTGGGCAGTGCAGCCCAGTGGTCATTGCATGGGTTATGGCAGCCCTGGGCGCAGGGCTGCTGGGCACAGGCAAGGACAGTAGGCTGTGGGCTGGGGGGTCCTGCAGGCACCATGTTGGGGCTTCTGCCCCCTTGGAGCCCAGAGAGCGGGAGGTTTGTTTTCAGATGAGTTTCTCAGGGGTGGGTGCACCCTCTTGCCCACAGGCCCCTGCTTTGTCCACCCCCTGGGAGGCCTCTGCTTTGTCCAGCAGATGGGAGCTGTGAGGCACTGGGGGAAGAGGGTCGTGGGGACCCCCAGGGCCAGGCCAAGGCCTACCCCAGCCCCAACCCACCAGGAGACACCGGCACCCTGCAGCTCCCCCACCTCCTGCCTCCTCCATTTCACTTCCTAGTTCCTCTGTCCTGACTCCTGAGAACCAGAGGGCTTCCTTAGAAGTCAGCTCGCTGGCAGCCTCTACTGTTGGGTACACTTGGGGTGCAGGGCACCCACCCCATGGACTCAGGTGGCGGTGGGCCCCAAACAGAGCACAGCTCTGTGTGACATCTTTGGTGGCCCCCTCCTTCTCTGAGGAGGTGGCGCTGGAGCCCAGCCCATGGGACATAGATAGGGCTGTGAGAAAGCCAGGCTCCAGCAGGAACAGCAGGTACAAATGGCCTGTGGCACCCTGGGGTTCAGAGTAAGTGCCTTCGGTTGCATGAGCCAAGGAGCAGGGCTGGTTCTGCAGGCAACCTGGCCCTCAAGGCTGCAGAGTTTCCTTCAGGGCCTGTAGGTCCTGGGGAAGTCACGTGAGGCAGTGATGACAGCACAAGAATGGCATCCTTCACGGCCAGCTTAGCGCTCCCCAGGGGGTGCAGGCACTGGACTCAGCCATGGAGACCTGGGTCCTCAGCAGGGCCAGGTTTTGCCTTCTGGCCTGGGACTAGGGCTGGGCTTCAAAGGGGGTGTGGGGAGCTCCAGAAGTGCCCGTTGCCCTGGGGAAGGCTGAGGGAGGAAGGAAGCGCAGGTCGATGGCCCCAGAGTCAGGGAATGGCCCTGACGCGGATCCTGCTCCAAAGTTCAGCCTGGGGAGCCACCTGGGGCGAGCCAGCAGGTGTGGGGTGTGGGGTGGGGCAGGGCCCCTCTGCGGTTGTCCGGTGCCCCAGGTGCTTTGGCAGCAGAGAGCCATGGGGGGACCCTGGAGCTCCCCCTGCATGCTGCTCAGGGTCCCACTGGCCGGCCTGGAACCCAGCATCCTGCTGAGGGCCCCCCATGGTGCTCCTGGGCCTGCCTGGAGCCTGGGGACAGCCCGGGCGACTGCAGGTGGAAGGGCGGGAGGGCTGGCGGCAGCGTCGGAAGAGGCTGTTTGCTCCCCGTCTGCCGGGGGTGGAGGAGAAGCAGCAGAAGCGGTGTTTTTCTGGAACCCTCATCTGTTACCAGTGCTGACGCCGCCACCGCCGCGGCTGGGAGAGGCTGGGAGAGGAGGGAGCCGGTGCCAAGTCGGCCCGCCCCTCCCGGGCCTGGGCGGCCGCCACGCGCCCCCGCCCGCACCCGCGCGTCTGGAGGTCACATTCAGCGCGCCACGGCTCAGCCGGCCGCTGGGTCGGTCAGGCAGGAGGACGGGCCGCGGGCGCTGCAGCCTGGGGCTGTGAATTTCGCCTGCCTTTGGGGTCTGGGGGCTCTGGCTCATCCCTTGCCCACCAGGCCCAAGCGACAGCGTCCTGCGCACCCCGATCCCCACGGGGAGGCACTGGGTGGGCAGAGGCGGCGGGGAGGGCAGCGCAGAGTGGGAGCCCGGGCTGGGGTGGGCGGCGCTGCCTCCCGCCCCCGGCCAGCCCCGCGTCCCCGCGCGCCGCCTCCGCCCGCCCTGCGCCTCCTCCCGGTGGACGGGGATGTGAGGAGCAGACGCAGCCACGGCTGCCCAGCTCCCGCCACTTCTCCCCGCTGCCCAGCCGCCCGCCGGCCGGATGTTTCCAGAGAACTTGGCCGAGGGGGAGCCACGGATGAGAACATGTGAGTGCCGCGGCGGGGGCGGGGCGGGGGGTCTGCCGCGGCGGGGACGCAGGGAACTCAGCGTGGCCGGCTGGCCGCAGCAGGAAATTGCGGCTTGACAGCTGGGGGCAGCGGGAGCGGGGGCTCTGGACCCGATGAGGATGTGGGCCCAGCACGACCCTCATCCCGCTGTCCCCTCTGGCTTCTTGGTCTGGCTGGGCTGCTCCAGGAGTCTGGGGTCCGGAGGGAGCTCGGCTCAGGGGTGGCCCGCCGGGGCTGGCTCGGCGGCGGGGCCTGGGGAAGCCTGTCCTGGTCGTCTCCCTGCCCCAGGAACCCTGCTGCCCCTTCAGGAGCTCCCTGACGCCATCCGGAAGGGATGGATGCCCCCAAATCCCGCCACCCCTGGGAGTGGACTTAGGGCGCCTGCACCTCCGGGTTATTTATTGGGTTTGAGGTGTCACCTCCCCTGGTCGGGCCACCCCGGGCTCGGCCCCTCCCACCGGCTTCCTCCCTCCCCGCGGAGCCGGGCCTGACTGACGTGTTTGCCTGGGCTCTCTTGGCCCTGGCTGGGGAAATATAAATAAACGCAGTCCTTGTCGGCCAGGTTGTGGAAGTGGCAGCTGCTGCCGCTGTCACTGCTGCCTTGGGAGGGAAAAGGTCAGGGGGCAGAGGTACACTTGATCCCCGCCCCCCACCCTGCCTGTCCTTGAGGAACCCTGGAGAGCCGCTGAACCATGTGGCCTCCGTGGTTGCTGCAGGCTGGCAGGTGCCCTGGGTGCCCAGCAACACCCTGCCTGTGTCTCAGAGGCCCCCAGTGGGACGCTGGAGCCCAGTGGCCCCTCCATCCCTCCTGAGCCCTGGCGTCCCCTATCCTGGGGACATAAAACAGGCTCTGCTCTTGGGGTCACTTGGCCATCGGGGCATTTGTGTGTGTCCGTTGCTATCTTGTTGGGGTACGTGGGTGGCAGCTGCTAACCTGCGTTTGAACAAATGGTGAGGGCTATGAAGAGGGCCCTGGCAGGGGGCAGCCCCAGCCCTGCTGCAGCTCAGCCCGGTTTGAGGAAGGTGGTGTAGCCGTGCTTACGGGAAATCTTTCATTAAAGCCATTAGCTGAGCAAGAGCCTCCCTGGGCTCGAGGCCCCTTCCTGGCCAGACACGTGATCCAACCTTCAGCTCCGTCCCACTGCCCGGGGCCTCAGCAAAGAGAGCCAGCCCCACCTACGTGCCACCTTGCCACCCAGGGTCCCTGCCAGGATGCTGTGGGTTGGAGTCTACCCTCCCTGGGGGTCTGAGGCTTCCCAGCCACCCAGCCTGGAGGGGAGTACCCGAGTCCAGTGTGGACCCTGAGTCCCGTGCAGTCACCAGTTGTCTGACGGGAACTCAGGCTCTGGCAGTGCCCATGACCCCAAGTCCCGACCCCAGCATGCCGACCCGCCCTCCACACTCCAGTCCACCTCCCTGGGACGGCTGTGTGGCCGGAAGAAAGCTGCATCTCTAGGGCCCGTGCAGCTGGCCAGTGTCAGACTGGGTCAGCAGCTAGCTCAGTGCAGGGTGGGGGCAGCCAGACAGAAGGACCCGTGTCCATGGCCTGGACCCTGTGCCCATCATCCTGCTTTCCCCTCTACCCCAGCACAGTGCCAGGGAGCCGGACCCCTGGCCATCCCTGCCTCCCTGACCGAGGGCCTGGGGCCCCGCACCCATGAGCCCCCGGGGCCTGCCCTGCTGGTCACCCTCATGGCCGCCTCCGCCCGCAGGCCTCCTGGAGCACGGCCGGAACTGGTCGGCCATCGCCCGCATGGTGGGGTCCAAGACCGTGTCACAGTGTAAGAACTTTTACTTCAACTACAAGAAGCGGCAGAACCTAGATGACATCCTGCAGCAGCACAAGCTGAAGATGGTGAGTCCCTGGGCCCGGCTGCTCTGCCCTCAGTCTCAGAACGCCGGGGCTGCCTCTGTCGGGGTGCCAACCACCACCACCACCCCTCCCTGCCCCCCGCCGGCACCAGCAGCTCAGGTCCTGGTGGGCCTGGCTCTGACTCAGCCAGGAATCCCGGTCGTCACTGCCTTGGAATGAAGACCCGGGCGGGCGAGCACGCAGCGCCCCACCCACCTCCCAGCCAGGGTCAGGCAGGGAGGAAGGACAGGGAGGAGCAGGGTGCGGGGTCTCCCCAAGCATGCTTCCTCCACAGCTGCTGCGGGGGCGGGCACCGTTGGGGGAGGCCACACTGCTGCCTGCGTGCCCCCATCTCCTCTCCTCCCTCCTCCTCTCACATCTGGTGTCCTTGGACACACTAAGTGTGTGCATTCCTGGAAACCTGGCACACTGAGGCTCGTCCAGGTTCATCAGTGGCCGAGTAGAAGCGGGAAGCCCTAGCTGCCTGACAGCCACCTGCCTGCTGCCCACATCAGCCGAGTTTAAGGCTGTGCAGGGCATTCTGGATAGGTGCTGCTGACCTGGCCTTCGGCAGCCTGCAGAGGCCCAGGAGCATTGCAGGCTGCTGGAGACAGCCTGACCCTGCCAGTGCTTAGCCGAGCTCCCTGCCGAGTCAGGGCACCTTCCTGGCCTCACGTGTGACTGGCGGCCGGTGGCCTGGCCTGGTGCGGGTGCCCGTGCCCCCGAATTTCCAGTTCCGTGGGCTCCTGTGGCTGAACCACTTGACCCTGCGTGAGATCTGGCCCGGAAGACTCGGGCAGAGCCCCTATGGCCGGGATTGCTGGACTTTCCTTGAATGCGGGCTGAGTATGCAGGACCCCCGCCCAGCACCTGCTGGACTGGAGAGAGGCAGGTCTCTGTCCACCCCGTCTTCTTCCTGTCTCCCCAGCCTTCTGGCCCTTACCGGGCTTCCCAGGTCTCCGGGGCTGTATCCCCTGTCCCCAGCAGTGACAGCTGCGGAGAGAACCAAGGGCCCCTGGGGTGGGTCAGTGAGGGTGGGAAGGGTCTCAGCCACTCGTTTGACCTGTGTTCCTGCTGCCTCAGTATCTCCATCTGAGCAAAAGGCAGTAGACTTAACTGCATAAGGCCACAAGTGGGGGACTCAGCTTTGTGTGGGGTCACTGCCAGCTTCCAGGCCCTGCCTCTGTGACTCTACCTTTCCTGGGGGTGGTGACAGTTATGTGGGTGATGAGCTGACTGCTAGGCACCCAGGAGACCTGAGCGACGATCTGGGCTTGAACGCCTCATACCTCAGTTTCTCTACCTGTGAAATGGGGGTAACGTTAGTGTCACCCTTTTGCCCCCAGAAGGGCCAGTGTGCCTGAGATCTGTAGAACAGAGAGTTCGTTGCCAGTGCCCTCATTGAGAGCCACGACAGTGCCACAGGCAGCCAAGGTCTGGCCTGGCGGGGGTGGCAGCTGTGTGGGGTGCACGGGTGGGTAGGTGCTTTGGCTCCTTCTTACAGTCAGTGGTACACACGGGCAAAGGCGACCCTCAGTGTTCTCTGCAGCCCCTGTTTGGTGCATGCTGTGTTGGCAGGGGCAAGGCCAGGTGTGCTGGTGGTGGAGACACAAAGGTCCTTCTGGGCATTGCTTCCTGGACCTCTGGAGCCGTTACAGGCTTTTGAGTGCACGGCCACTGGGGCCTAGCTGGTGTGGTCACCCTGGAGCAGTGGTTTCCAGTCTTAAGTAGGCCGGACCGGGCCGGGCAGGAAGGTGGCCAGTTCTCCCTCCCTCCCAGAGCTCTCGGGCACTAGTTGCGTGACTGGTAGCCCCACAGCAGTATGGTCAGGAGAGGTGGAGACCTGGGTGCTGTCCGGGGCTGTGAGGCTCTCCCCGCTGAGCTTGAGGGGCAGTGGATGCCAAGCGCCACAGAGAGACTGGGGCACAGAGGCTGGGCCCCCAGGAAGTCTGTTCTTGCCAGGCCGCTTGGTGTCTCCTCCTCCACCCTCACAGGGTGAACACCAGGTGGCCTGGCCTGCAGGTGGGCATCGGGGAAGAGCCCTGAACTCAGCAGCCCCGGGCGGAGGGCAGGAATGGCAGGGTCAGTAGCACTCCCTGCCCCCTGCACCGCCCCTGGCTTGGATGTGGCTGCCGTGGAGAGGGCAGAAAGCGGAGTCCCGCAGGCAGGTGGAACAAACCCAAGTCATATAGTGCTCCGCACCTGGTCCTTTGAGGTCTCTCCCCGCCCATGGCCAGCGGGCCTACATCTTCGATCCAGGCCTGGGGCTCTGCTTCTGGCCTCCGAGCCTGTCTGTGCCCCTCAGTCCTTAGCTGTGTGGTCCTGGGCAGGAGTCTCTGCCTCTCTGAACCAGCGTCCTTGTCTGTGAGGTGGAGCCTGCCCAAGAGCACCCGATCCAAGCCAGGTGTGATGGGAACATGGCCAAGGACTGACAGGCACTGGCCCTGTTCCGGCGGGAGGGACGAGGCCATAGCCCCACACATGGCTGTACGGCCCAGCTGCAGTGGTGTGGAGATATTGGCTGATTAGTACAGAGCTCCAGGCAGGCGATCTGGAGCTCACACTGCTCCGACACTGGTGAGCACTGACACTGGTGCTCACACTGACGAGTGGGCCGGGAGGTGCTTAACAAGCCACTCTGCAAACCTCTCAGCCTCTGTGCTGGCCGTGGGGTAGACAACCAGGCTGGAGGGCATTGTGGCCTGGTCACTCAGGAGGAGCTGGGGCATGGATGCGGGGCGGGGAAGGGTCTTGTGTTGTGGGAGTGTGTCCCCTACACCCCAGCGTGCTGGCCCTGCATGGCCTGTGCGTCCCCCGCCCCGACTGTCCTATCCAGGGCCCCTAGCACTCTTGCCCCTTCATGGGTCCAAACGCCCTCTGAGGGTCTGTGTTACATGGGAGGCCAGTCCCTCTGGATGGTACCCTGTGAGGCTTTCAAACCTGTGAGGTTTTCAGGGGGGCCCTGGGCAGTACTCTGCCCCATGGCGGCAGGCGCAGTCCAGGCCTCTGGGATGTATAAGCCCAGGGCGTGTCCAGAACACCACAGAAAGTGAAGCCCTGGGTAAAAATAGCCACCTGTGTGCTGGCTACCAAGGCCAGGCTGGAGCATGGGTAGTCCCCGGGCGGTCAGCCCAGACCTGGTGCTCACCTCTACCTCCCTATGCCCAGGAGAAGGAGAGGAATGCTCGGAGGAAGAAGAAGAAAGCTCCAGCCACAGCCAGTGAGGAGGCCGCCTTCCCGCCTGTGGTGGAGGACGAGGAGATGGAGGCATCAGGTGCCAGTGGGAACGAGGAAGAGATGGCTGAGGAAGCGGAAGGTGAGGGCAGGAGCAGGGGCAGCCACCAGGCTGTGGGAGGGCGGGGGGTGACCTCCCGGCTCTGTTCCCCACAAACTTGGGCCTCCCCTTGCCAAGGGAGAGCATCACTGTGTGAATGAATTATGGTCCTCGAGGTCATCTTCGGGAGCGGCGCCTCAGCGTTCTGGACCCTGAGCCCTGCCGCTGCACCTGGGACCTGTCCAGGACAGCCTTGTTGACCCCTAGTCTGCTGTAACACTGAAGGTTAAACCTTGGGCCTTGGCCCTGAGTGATATTCTCAGATAGTTTTACTCTAAGACAGAGTCTCACTAAGTCACCAAGTTGCCCAGGCTGGGCTTAAACTTGAGAGCCCCCTGCCTCAGCCTTCCAGAGGGCTGGGATGGCAGGTGTGCGCACTTCACACTGCCAAGAATTTGCTCTTGAAGGTAGGTTTCAACCAGAGTTGGTTTACGAGTTCACCCACATGCACAGAACCAGGCTGCTGTGGGTTCGCACTGGGTGTGCTATGTGGTGACCTCTGTGCCCTGAGTTGGGTGTGAACAGCGTGGCGCCCTCGTTTCCAGTCCCTCTCAGCCATGCGGGGTGAGTCACGGCTGCTCTGTGCACCTCTGCCCAGTGCTGGAGGTGGACGTAGGCAGTGTCCTGGTCCAGTGTCCTCGTGATCCCTCTGGCCACCTCTGTCCCCATCCTGTCCCTTCTGCCTGTGAGTTTTTCCTCCAGACAAAGGTGGACCCCAGATGGGCCTGGCTATGTCAGCCATGGGGCGTCCGTGGCCTGGATCCCATTTCTGGGACAGATGAATGGTTGGGCCCTGGTGGTTCTTGGCCCCCTGAGTGTCCTCCTCCATGTGGCCCGGCTGGGCACCAGGGCCCCCACTGGGCCCCAGGTCTGGACAGAAAGGAGTATGGGACCAACACATGTCCCCCGGGTTCATAGTGCAAGCAGGGTGCCAGGGGCTGAGGGTGCTGCGTGCCACTCCGAGTGGGCTGTCGGAGTGGATGTGGTGCAGACCTGGAAGGGACCATGCTCTCTGTCCCCGTTAGGTCACTTGCCTGGTGGGGAGAGGGGCCGGCAGATCTCACCGCGCAGGCTGCTGCACCCGTCTTGTGGGTGGGGAATGGAGAGTATGGCCAGGGATGGAGCCCTCAGCCTGCTAGCTGCCATGCGTCGCCCCTCCCTGGGAGGCCCTGCAGCCAAGCTGTCCCCGTGTTCCCCAGGTCGCCTGGCTCAGAGCCTGTGGCTGCAAGGCTGTCTGCGCTGGCCAGGCTTCCACCTGTCTCCTGTCCCTGTGCTTCGCCCGCCCCTCCCCTCTGTCTGGGGGTAGGGCCCAGTGTCCCCAGGTTGTCACACCCCCCCAGATGCCCCCACAGGCCTCCTGAGAGCTGGGCATCAGTGGTCTCCACCAACGAGACCTGGACAGAGCCCCTTTCCTGGACCCATAAGGCTGTCACCAGCAGGGCGGGGTGACTGGCGGCCAGGGATGTGGAATTCCAGGGTCAGTGTCTCTGCAGCCTTGCTTCGAGGCTCAGCAACCCTGCAACCCCCTTGCTTCAGTTTCCCTGTGTGTAAGTGGGGGTGAGGTTCGTCCTCCCTGTGCTCGTCTGGTCAGGCCCTTCCCAGCTGATCTCTCTGTGCCCCTCGAGGCCTCGAGGCCACTAACCGCTGTCTCTCTCCCTTCCAGCCCTACCTGTGCCTGGGAGCGAGGTCTCCCGAGGGGAATGCAGTGGCCCAGGTAGGGAGCTGGGGTGCAGGGATGGGGCTTCTGGGAGCGCCCTCGGGTGCGGGGCGCATCTGTGTTCCTCATCCTCTGCCTCACCCCGTGCAGCCACAGTCAACAACGGCTCCGACACAGAAAGTGTCCCCTCCCCGAGGGCCAGCGAAGCTACCAAGGAGCCCAAGCCCCCACCCACTGCGGTCCCGGACGGGCTGCCTGCCCCACCGCCTACACCTCCTCCGGATGATGCCCCAACCCCTGTGGAGCCTGCTCCAGGTCCCGAGGCCAGCGGCCGCCCCACATCTCCAGCGGCCCCTTCATCGCCCGCTGTAGCCCCTGCTGTGGCCCCCAAGGAGGAGGAGGTGGAGGAGGCAGCCATGGCGGTCCCCCCAGCAGAGGACAGGGAGGAACAGAAGCCGCAGGCCCCCGAGCAGCTGGCTGGGGACTTGGGGAAGGTGGAGGAGCCTGGGGCAGCCCCCAAGGAACTGGTCCAGAGCGTGTGTGTGCCGGAGGCTGCCGAGACAGCCCTGACCAGAAGCCTGGAGGACACCCCTGAGGGCGCACCTGAGGGCCCCCTGAAGACTGAGAAGAAGGAGGGCGCTGGTGGCAAAGCCTCAGCCGCCAAGAGCTCAGGCACCCCCCAGGACAGTGACTCCAGCGCCACCTGCAGCGCCGATGAGGTGGACGAGCCTGAGGGAAGCGACAAGGGCAGGTGAGGGCAGCGGGCGGTGCTGTAGCACCTGGTGTGTGGGCAGCCACCAAGCACCTGTACGCAAAGCCGCACTCGTGGGACTCAGGCACATGCCCACACGCCGTGGTGGTGGCAGCCCACAGCTCTGCCTGGGCACGCGCCGTCTATCTCCTCTCCTGTCTGTCTGGAGTCCTCGGCAGGGCCACCCAGTCTCCCAGGCCTCATCCCCCCCCTTCCCTGCACTACAGGTGCCAGTGCCTGACCAAACCACGCTGGGGGTCGAGCATGTGGACAGGGCGGCCAGGGGCGCCTGAGACGCCAGGCTGGGGTTTGCCCATCCACACCATGTTGGAGTGGTGCGCAGTCGGGAGGTGCCACCTTCATGTGCAGGCTGACGATGGAGCTGCTGGTGCTGGTGACCCTGGGGTGGGAGCGCAGTGGAGTAGAGAGGTGCGGTGCTTTGTCCCCTGTGGGCCAGGCTGGCTCCTGCAGCCTCAGCTCCAGGGGCAGCAGGCCAGGGCTCCTCCCAGGGCGACGCCAACCTGCTCAAGTGTCTTCCTTTCTCCCTGCCCGGCCTGCCCTTCCCTGCCTGGGAGCACTGGGTTTTAGCCATGCTTGGCGACACTCTGTAGCCCCCGTGGCTCAACACTGACTGCCATGGTGCTGAAGGGCAGAGCGGGCATCTGGAAGGGCCTCACGTCCGGCCTGGCGCACTGCAGAAGTCGCCACATTCTGGCTCTGAACAGTGAGCTGTGCTCTTTGTGGGCAGAGCCCGGCTGAGCTGGGTAATATGGGAGGTCCTGGGTACAGATTCGTCCAGGACGGGTCCCTGGGGACCACTGTCTTCGGGACTTGCCTCAGTGCTGGCCCTTGGGTGCACAAGGGTCGGGCTGGCAGGTTTCTTGGGCCTGACTTTCTCAGCTCGTCGTGGCCTGGCGGGCAGCGTTGGGAGCAGAGCCCGTGGGCAGCCATCCGTCCTGGACTATGCAGAGGGCGACTGGGTCCCCAGGCCGGGCCTGGTGCCTGTAGCCTCCTTCCCTCCCCACACGGCCCTGGCCAGGGCCCATCCTTCCTTGCAGCTGGGTCTGGCCTCTGTCCACCCTGTCCTGATGTCCAGCATGCGGCCCCTGGGGAGCACAGGCCCTGGGCTGGGAGTCAGGACACCTGGCCACCGCGCCCGCTTGCCTGGCCAGTGCCTGCCCTGGGGGCCTGCCCGTCCTCTCGGGGAGCAAGGCTGGCCTCCGGCTGACCTCCTCCTGGCGGGTGGCCCGCCACCCCTCCCTGCACTGACCGAGGCTGCTCGGGGCCAGGCGGGCGTCAGGGGATGCAGGCGAGATGCGTCAGAGAGCGCCCCGGGACGGGTGGGCCCTGCAACCCTGGGGCCTGGCTGCCTGCCTGCAGCCCCGCCTGGTGGCCTCTGCGTCCCGGACCATGCAGGGAAAGGCTCCAGGGGAGGGAAAGCTGTTCCTGCCCCCAGGCGGTGCTGCCCGGGCTGTTTTGGCAGGGGACCAGAGACAGAGACTGGATCTCCCCGGCCTCACCCTGTTTCCCAGCTCAGGGTGGGGGCCCCATCTTCCCAGCAGGTGGCCTGGGAAAGTCCCATCCCCGTCTCCCTGTCCATCTGTGAGAGGCAAGGACTCCCCCCCCCTCCCAGCGATTCTCAGGGTAACCCAGCCACAAGCACAAAATGCCAGCTCAGGCCCAGTGAGAGGCCACTGCCCCCTCCCTTTGTCCGGCAATGAAACCAAGGCACACTTAGTGGGGGAGGTGAACCTGCCGCTCGAGGGTGGCGGCAGCCCAGGCCTCTGGGGCGCGGCGCTGTGCCAGGCCCCGCCAACCCCTCCTCCCCTCAGCCTCCAGAGAGGAAACTAAAAGCTGCTGTCTTCCCGGGAACAAAGGCAGGGAGGGGGCGGCCGGCCGGCTCTGCGGAAGCCAGGGCCCAGCTCGGCTCGGGTGCCACCTCCGCTGCCCGCTTCCCCGCCAGCCACTGTGCGGCCCGAGACAGCAGCCCTTCGGGTTGGGCTCTGCACCCACCCAGTGAGACTGCATTAGAGAAGTGGTCCCTGCCGGGAGAGGAGCTGCGGGAAACTGAGGCGGGGAGCGCTCAGAACCTGTGTGCGCACTTCCCTGTCCAGGCCATGGGGGCAGTGCGGCTCCTGTCTCCGTGGAGTGTGTCTTCATACGGGCACTGTTTGGATCTTCACTGCGAAAATCATGTGTGAGCAGGAAATAGCGCAGTGCCAGCTCTGCCCTTAGTGGACAGGTGCAGGCCTCGGTCTGCTGGCCGCACCCTCCCGCACGGCGGGGTGGGGCGGGGACCTGTGCGGTCTGTGCGCATGCGTGCAGCCAGCCTGACCGTGCGTGTCCTCGCGTCTCCCTTGGCAAACGGCCTGTGTTGAGGGGCCGCTTCCTTTTCTCGATTTGTCCAGTGCAGCGCATGGAACCTAGGGCCTCCATCTATCTCTCTTCTAAAAAACCGTTTTTGTTTCTTTTTTTGTTACCGCAGATCAAACTCACGACCTCATGCTTGCCAGGCAGGCACTTACACCTCTGAGCTAAATGCCCAGCTCCTCTTTTCTTTCTTTCTTTCTTTCTTTCTTTCTTTCTTTCTTTCTTTCTTTCTTTCTTTCTTTCTTTCTTTCTCTCTTTCTTTCTTTTTCTTTCTTTCTTTCTTTCTTTCTTTCTTTCTTTCTTTCTTTCTTCTTTCTGTTTTTGAGACTGGGTCCTGAGGTGTATTTCAGGCTGCCCTTGAATTCACTGTGTGGCCAAGGCTGGCCTCGAACTCATGGCGGTCCTCCTGCCTCAGCTTCCCTAGTGCTGGGTTACAGGAGTTAATGCCTGGCTCTTGCTGTGTATTTCAGATTTCAGCTTCTCACCTAAGAGAGATGATGTGATGTTTAAGGGGAGTGTCCGATTCGTTTCCCCCGACACTATGGTCTCAAGTGCACCCTTTCCCGCAGTTGCCTCGTGGTCTCCTTATGCCGAGTGGTGCTCCTCTGTGCGGGAATGCCGCCTTCTCTGCATCGCTCATGGTCCGCGGACTTGCAGGCCCCTTCCAGGCCTCAGCTGCTAGGCGTTGTGCAGCTGTGAACACGGTGTGATTGTGTCCCTGTCTTTAACTCTTTCAGGAAGATACCCAGATGGGGCTGGCTGGCTCAGATGGAGGTCTGGTTTTAGTTTCTGAGGACTCTCCATGCTGGTTTCCGTGGTGATTGTAGTACTTACCAATCCCACCCAGCGTGGATGGTGCCTTGACCTCACGGCCTCCCCAGCGTTTGTCATTACTTGATTTTTGATGATGGCCGTTCTTCCTGGGGTGAGATGGACTCTCAGTGTTGTTTTAATTTCCATTTCTGTAATGGCCAGCGGTGTTGACCATTTCTTCATGTACTTATTGGCTGTATATACTTCCGTGAAGCCTGTTCATTTCACTTGCCTATTGTCTGACTGGGTCTTTATTTGAAGAATCTAACTTTTTTGAATTCTTCTGTTTTGCTTTTGAGATAGGACCTTGTTATATAGGCCAGCCTGGCTGGATTCCAACTCATGGCAACCCTCCTGCCTCAGCCTCCTGAGTGCTAGGGTTACAGGGTGCACCACCGCGCCCACCCGATGTCCTTTTGTGAGGTCCTTTTGGTCTCCATGTGGCGTCCTTAGTTAGGTTAATTCCTACGCACTTTGTTTTTCCTGGCGTCATGGATGGCGTCACCTGCCTTTCTTCTCGTGGCTTCCTCGGAGACCCCGGGCTTGGTGTCTTGGTGTCGTGCTGGGTTTGCTCCCTCGCTCTGTGAGTCCCTGCAGGCAGGTCTTTCCCAGGTGCGGATGCTCTGTCTTCCTTCCTCCTCTTCCTGGCCTGATTGCTCTGGAAAGGCCTTGTGCTGTGCTGCCCGGAGTGGGCCGGGGGACGTGTCCAGCTTGGTCCTGGTGCTAAGGGAAGGCTCTGAGTTTTCCACTTGCACACCATGCTGCAGCGGGTTGGCTGAAGTGGCTCTCGCCAGACTGAGGGAAGGGCCTGTGTGTGTGCTTCTTGAGTTTTTCCGCGTCATGAGTGGATGCTGGAGTCTGCCAGAGGTCTCTAGGTGAACGGAGGCCCCCAAGGCCCCAAGGCGTGGTTTCCATCCTTGCTTCTGTTTCCATGCTGAACCACCCTGCACCCTTGTGGGAAGCCTGCTTATTCGTGGAACATTTACAGGGTCTTGTGGAGGCCCTTGTACTCGAATGTGTTAGAGACAGGCCAGAGGTTCTCCTGCTGGGTTGGATCCTCATGGTCAGGTTATTGGGAGCTTCCAGGAGCGGCTTGGGAATGTCCCTGTGCCCTAAGTGTCTCATGGGCTGGAAGGTTACCTTCAGACATGGGGCTGCAGCACCCACTGGAGGACGTGGGGCACGAGAGACACCAGGATGGCGACAGTGCCACCCTCGGCCCCAGCTCCAGGCACATTGGCCTGAAGGCAGTGAGCGTGGGCTGAGGCTGGGAGCCAGGCTGTGCATGAAGCCGAGCACAGGCCCAATGGGCCTGGCAGGCCAGATCTGGATGTGCTGGGGGGCGGGGCACTCGGGTCATCTGTCTGGTCCCACCTGCCCACCTGTGGGCAGCCCCATCAGGCCTCGCCGTGCTGCCTGCTGTTCCTGCTCCAAAGAGCATGTGGCAGGAGTGGGTGGGGGGCCGGTATCCACAGGGATGGGCTGTCACAGGCTGAGGTCCTGCTGGGGCAGAGAGGGAAGGGAGGACACCCGCAAGGCTACGTGGACCCGCACCAGCCCCACACTGTCTGCCGGGAGGGGCTGTCACCGCGCTCACCTCCAAGCAGTCTGTGTGTGTGTGTGTGTGTGTGTGTGTGTGTGTGTGTGGCGTCAGCACGTGCGACCAGCCCCAGTCTCGTGCCTTTGGCCAGAGTCCAGGCCCTGGGCTGCTTTCGAGTCCCTGGGGCCCTGGGGCAGAAGCCGGTCTCCTGTGCCCCAGTGGAGGTGCTGTACCCACATGCAGGCTTCCTGAGAGTGACAGCCCTGGGACCCTGGGGGTCTCTGTGACTGGTGACAGGTTTGCCTGTGGCCCCCTGCTTCAGTCTCCCATGAGGTGCTCGGGCCTGGGATTGTAGCCTGGGGCGCAGCTGCCACCTCTTCCATGGAAGGGAGTCATGGACTCCACGCCTGTAGCTGTGTCCTGACCTTGAGCTGCAGGTCTGGGTGAGGAGACGTCCCCCTGGGGCCTCCCCTCTGCCTCCAGCTGCTCCCGGGTGGAGGCACCAGCTCTGGCTTCTCTGGATTTTGCTCACTACGCTGTCTGGGGACTTTGGATGCCGGCCTGGGCCCCTGGCCATGCCTGGCTCCTGGGCCTGTGGCGGAGTTGGAGGCCCTCTTGGCCCTGGCCGGGCCTGCGTGGCGGGGTGGGGGGGGCTGCTCTTTGCAGCTGGTTCCTGTGCTCATCCCTGTCCTCGGGCCTCCCTGGCTGTCCCCAAGCCCAGGCCCAGGGCGACAGGCTGGGCCCAGCCCCACAGACAAGGACGCCGGCTGACCTGGCTCTTCTCTGCACTCAGGCTGTTGTCCCCAAGGCCCAGCCTCCTCACCCCGGGCGGCGACCCCAGGGCCAGCGCTTCACCCCAGAAACCGCTGGACCTAAAGCAGCTAAAGCAGCGGGCGGCTGCCATCCCCCCCATCGTGAGTGCCCAGAGGTGGCAGGCTGGGGCCCAGGGTGGGTACAGGAAGCTGGAGAGGCAGAGGGGCGGCAGGTTGTCTCCCTCCTACACCCCAGTGGCCTCCTGAGCCCCCAGGCCAGCAGGGGTGGAGGAAACAGGAAGCCCCCTTGGCTGGAGGTGTGAGCACCCTCACCTCTGACCATGGCTGCGCCTCCCAGGTGCAGGGCAGGCTCACATCCCCTCAGGGATTCAAGGTACAGGGAGGGAGCTGGCCAGCGAGCATGGCCTTTCTGAGTGGGTGACTCCCTCCGTGCTGAGACCTCTGCCCCCAACTGTGACCAGACTCTGGCTGCCCCTGGACCCCAGTCTCCGGGCGGCCAGACAGGCGCATGCTGACGTCTGTGACATCTGCCCCCCAATAGGTCACCAAGACTCATGAGCCCTCCCAGGAGGATGCAGCACTCCCCCAGCTGGCTCCCGCCCCTCCACCCCCTGCACAGCACCTGCAGCCTGAGAGCGACGCCCCCCATCACCCCAGCAGCAGCCCACAGGGCAAAAGGAGCCCCGTGCCCTCTGCTGAGAAGGAAGGTGAGGGTGGGCTTCGGTGCGCTGCAGAGCCGGCGTGCTGCCCCCGAGCGGGGCCTGGGCCTCTGGCTCGGCGAACCCACCTTGGTTCTGCTACAGTTGAGGCCACCAGGTCCCCAGGTCTCGATGGGGGGATGGCAGCAGCACTGGGTCATTCTCAGAGCTCAGTGTCCCTGGGTCCTGACCCCTGGACCCACTGGTTCAAGGCCTCCCCAGCCCAGGTCACTGCTGGGCCGAGCTGCCTAGGTTGTGTCAGCTGGCACAGGTTACCGAGAACAGCAGGACCCGGGCTTCTGGGTCCCAGCAGTCAGAGTCTGGGCAGCTGCCCCACCCCCAGCTGGTGGCTTTGTCCCTCCAGCTCCAGTAGGACACCTGTCCCAGGACGGACAGCAGGGCTGTCTGCAGCTCAGCCCCTCGCCTGCTGCAGGAGACTTGAGGCTTCCCACACAGGCCTCTTCTCAGCACCTGGGGTGGACCAAGGTCCCTGGCTGGGAGCCTGTGATAGCCAAGCCCTCGGCTGGGCATTCAGCCCTTGGGCAGAGCGGGCTGGGACGAAAAATGGGAAGAAGGCAGGTGGTGCTCCACTCGTCAGCACAGCATGTGCAAAGGCCATGGTAGGGATGGCGTGGGCTATGGGGAGGTGCCAGGGGATGGGGTGGCTGAGAGAGGTTGGCAGAGGAGCACAAGGGGGAATCAGGGCCAGGTGCTGCAGGGCTTTGACAGCTGTAGGAGAGAGGGTTTCCTGTCGGGAAGTGCATGCTGCTGGAAGCTGTGCTGGGGGAGGGCCAAGCAATCTGATCTGCCTCTCAGGAAAGTCTGTAGTTCCTGCCAAAGCCAGTGGACCACAGGGGGTGCAGCGTGGGAGCAGAAGCCCCTGCATTGTTTTTGGGCAGCAGCAGCAGAGGAAGTGGGAGGGGACAGATCTGGAGGTAGAGCTGGAGCAGCAGTGCAGCGGGCACGGGGCTCGGAGGAGCGGGCACGGGGCTCGGAGGGATCCTCTGGAGTGGGAGGGGCGGGCGTCAGCGCCAGACCTGGCTGGAACCACCTGGGGCCTGTCAGAGCCTGCAGGGCCAGCCCAGCCCCAGCAGGGGAATGCGAGCCCCAGCCCTGGGTCTTGCGTTGGCCCTGGGCCCACAAGGTCAGTGAGGCCACCGTGCTATTCCCTGGATGCCTCCCCTGGGCCAGCACAGCTGGCCTAGGGTGGTGGGCCTCAGTCCCGTGGCTCCAGGCCGCCAGGAGCTCACACCTGGTTCTGCCGCTCTGCACCCTGGAAGTGCCCGCCTGGCTCCCCTGTCCTGCAGCTCCCCTTGGTCCTGCTGGAGTCAAGGCTGTCCCCAGGCTTCTGGCCGGCTGCCCAGCCAGCCCTGATGCTCTGGTTGTGCCCCCTGTGCTGAAAGTGTCTCCCAGCCAGTTGGTTCCCAGCATGCTCATTCTGGGCGCCTCCAGGGTGGTAGCAGGTTTCCCAGCTATGTCCTCAGGATCCCACATCCCTGCCCTTCCTGCAGCAATGTGGCTGCGGCCTGGACCACTGGCCGGACCTACCTAAGTTCCCACCTGTCATATAGGACCTCCTGGTGGTCCCCAGGGTGGAGGGGGACGAGCCAGTGAACACAGTGGCCTGGAGAGCTGGGTTCTGGTCACCACTGGCGGCCAGGTTGCGTTTAGGTCCTGACTCCCCGGACCACGTGGCAGGGACATGTTCTGAGGAGTTGGTCTGTACCCCTCGTCCTCGGTAGCTGTGCACCCGAGTGCTGCCCGGGACCTGCTCCTGTGTCGTCACAGCATCGCAGGGACACGGCAGTGCCAGGTCATTGCACGCCTAGGGGCCAGTCGAGTGCCACCTGACCTCCTGCCCACCTCATGTCCTCAGCAGAGAAGCCCACGTTCTTCCCAGCCTTTGCTGCCGAGGGCCAAAAGCTGCCTGCAGAGCCACCATGCTGGACGTCGGGCCTGCCCTTCCCCATGCCCCCACGTGAGGTGATCAAGGCCTCCCCGCATGCCCCGGACGCCTCAGCCTTCTCCTACACGCCCCCTGGTGAGTGGCTCAGGCTGGACAGCTCCTCAGTGACCGTGACCAGCCTCCCAGCCAGTCTGCCCTAAGCTGCCAAGCAGGCAGCTGCCCCGGGGCCTGGCCCTCGCCTCCGGCTCCCTGCTGCCCTTGTGGCCACTAGCCCTGAAGGGTTCTGAAAACCTTGGCTCCATCCTCCCCATCCTGGCGTGGTCCCCGGGTACCTGCTGTGCTGGGAGGCCAGGTCTGTGGGCATCCCAGCTTCTCTAGGCGGACTGGACTTTTCACTAGCGGATCCAGGCGGAGGAGGAGGCAGGGAGTCTAGAGGAGGACAGCAGAGCACGCCCTTCCAGCATGTGTACAGGCCCAGAGGTGGGGAGGAGCAGGCGAAGCTTGAGGGCCCTGACCGGGCTGCTGTGGCTGTTGCCTGGGAAAGCCCAGGACCCATTGTGAACACTCAAGAGCCGAGTCTGGCAACCCTAAGGGGAAGGCAGTAAGGAGCCATGGATGGTTCACAATGGGGGCGAGTGAGCTGCAGACTTGGTTGCCACGAGGGAGCTGGCTCCTGAGAGGGGGAACAGGATATGGGCCTGAGCATCTGACTGGGCAGAGGAGGAGTCAGGGCCCCGGAGTCCAAACAGGGACCTGGTTGCTGGGCCGGGTGTAGAAATGCATGCAGGGCACCCCTACAGGCACCCCCTTGCCCTGCAGGTCATCCGCTGCCCTTGAGCCTGCATGAAGGGGCCCGGCCCGGCCCTCCTCGCCCACCCACCATCTCCAACCCACCACCCCTCATCTCCTCTGCCAAGCACCCCGGGGTCCTTGAGCGGCAGATGGGAACCATCACCCAGGTGAGTGGCCCTGGAGAGCGGGGTGGATCTCTGCCCATGGGAGCCAGACGTGGGCCTAGTCCCAGAAGTGCCCAGAGCAGGCTTCAGCTCTCTAGGCCCCCGTGGAGCAGGGAAGCCAGCGTACAGAGCCCAACCCATGGCTCCTACTCTGCCTGCCCGTCCTTGTGCCAGAGGCTGCTGGCTCCCCCAGCCGGGACCAGAGCCTGGGCCCTCGAAGCCGCTGTGACCCACCTTTGCCCCTAGGGAGTGTCGGTCCAGCTGCATGGCCCCTTCTCCGAGCACGCCAAGGCCCCAGTAGGCCCCGTCACCATGGGGCTGCCCCTCGCCATGGACCCCAAGAAGCTGGGTAAGGACTTGGGCCCAGACTCAGGGTCCTACTGGACTCTGGCTGCCCATGCTGGGGGTAGGGGTAGAGTGGGGTGCAGCGGGAGCCCCAGCTTTTGTGGTGGATGGGGCCCTGGGGCATAGACTCAACCCTCTTGCTGCCGCCCTCAGCGCCCTTCAGTGCCGTGAAGCAGGAGCAGCTGTCCCCTCGGGCTCAGACCGGGGCCTCCGAGAGCCTGGGCATGCCCACGGCCCAGGAGACATCTGTGCTTCAAGGTGAGGCTCGAGCCCCTCTGTGCCTGGCCCCACACCTGCCCCAGCTGTCATCCCTGGGGACCTGAGCAGGGTCTGCGGGTGGCTCAGGCCCGAGGCATGGGGAGGGATGCAGGCCCTGATACCCTCACCGTGTGTCTTCCAGGGACAGCTCTGGGCTCTGTGCCCGGCGGCAGCATCACACGGGGCATCCCCAGCACACGGGCACCTCCTGAGAGCCCCGGCACCTACCGCGGCTCCATCACCCACGTAGGTACCTGGCCCTGCAGGCAGTGGGCAGGGCTGGCACTGTCCCATGCTGTGCCCGGCATGGCACAAACTTTGGTGACTGAGCAGGGTGATTTTGGAGGGAACAGCTGCAGCGGCATCCATTAAGTTCTGTGTCTGTGGAGCCAGTGGGAGGGTGACCACGCAGGGGCCCACATCAGCCTGCGCTCCTGAGGTCAGAGAAGGGGCAGAGGTACTTCGGGCCTCGGGGACTCGGAGTCGAGTCTCCATTGTACAAGGGTGCAAGCCGAGGCCCGGGGGTGTGGTACTGGGGGCGGGTACAGGCTGCCAGGGAAGTCACTGGCGCGAGGCCACACCGCACCACACCATGTGACCACATGTGTTCAGCTTGGATCCAGCTCCTGATAGTGTGCTCTCAGTGTTGGGAGGTCTCAGTGTTCGGGGACACAGGGCACAGCTAGTGGCACAGTTTGGGGGATTAGAGGGTCCCGGCTAGGGGCGCCCTAGCAGAGGCCCCAGTGTCAAGGCCGAAGCTCAGTGAGGGCTGTTTTAGTGCTGATCCCTACAGGGCTCTGGTCCTGGTTTGGGAGAACCAGAGTGTGTGATGTGAAGTCCCCACATGTGGCTGACACCATTAACAGTGAAAGCCCTGGCAGGGGCAGGGACAGGGTCACAGCTCTGGCCCTCAAGAGCCAGACCAGTCCCTCGGCCCTCCCTGCACTCCAGTTTCCCTTCTGAAGTGCGCCTCAGGACGGTGTCTGCCTGGAGGCTGCTCTGGGGGTGGAACTGGAGCAGTCCCTCCCTGTGGGGCTGCGGGCTGGCAGGCTCCCTGCTCACGCTCCCCCCTGACAAGGGGTGCTGGTCCCCCTGCAGGGCACGCCGGCTGATGTGCTGTACAAAGGTACCATCACCAGGATCGTGGGCGAGGAGAGCCCCAGCCGCCTGGACCGTGCCCGTGAGGACAGCCTGCCCAAGGGCCACGTCATCTACGAGGGCAAGAAGGGCCATGTGCTGTCCTATGAGGGTGAGTGCAGGGAGCACTGGGCTCCTGTGCCATTTATGGGGACTTAAGGCAGACCCTGTCCCCAGCTCACTTAGCCATCAGGACCAGTGCACCTCAGCTGTCAGAAAGGAGGCCTTGGGGTTCCTGGCTGGGGTGGCGGCCATTCCTGAGCCAGGTCGGGTATGTGAGCCCACGAGGAGGAGGAGACAGAGGCACAGAGACGGTGGTGGCCTTCTGCACGGGACATGGTGTGAGCAGTGGTGACTGTGTTGTCCCTGTGGGATGCAAACAGGCTGCAGTCTGTCAGCCTGGGTCTGGGTTCCAGATCTGGGCAGCCCCAGGGCAGGGGAGGGGATCAGGCAGAAGAAGTGAGCTTGCCTCAGTGTTGGCAGCTGTGAGCTCAGTGGCCTTGTGCCCATTTCCTGTACCTGTGGTCCCCTTTCCTGCTGAGGAAGTGGGGTTGGGCCCCCAGCAGCCAGCAGAGTGGGCATTTGGCCTGCGTCCTGAAATCCCAGGTGAAATGGCCCCTCAGGACGTGGCAGTCTCGAAGCTGTCACCTTTGCAATGGCTGTCACTGGGGCCATGCTCCTCTTGGGGCTGCCGTGGGGTGTCAGGGCCGCAACAATGTGGGGACTCCGTTCACACCAGGTCTCTGATTCCACGGAGAAATCCCTGGGCAGCTTAGCCGTGTCCCACCCACTGGGCCCCTGCGTTCAGACAGCGCTCAGGCCAGGAACCAAGCAAGAGCTCGGCCTTGGGCCAGCTGCGGCTCCCAGGCTGCTTTCCAATACCGGACTTGGGCACACAGGAGGAGAAGGCCCCGGGGAGTCCCCCACCTGACGGCCCCTGAGCCAGGATCTGGCGTCCCTGTGCATCGTGGGCCAGGCCCTCACTCTGCTATGTGGTTGCAGGTGCCATGCAGGTGTCTCAGTGCTCCAAGGAGGACGGCAGGAGCAGCTCGGGACCCGCCCATGAGCCTGCTGCACCCAAGCGAACCTACGACATGATGGAGGGCCGTGTGGGCAGGGCCCTGGCATCGGCCGGCATCGAGGGTGGGCACCTCCCTGCCCACCGTCTCCCTCCCTGCGGTCCCCTCCATTCCCCATCCGCCCTGGGTCCTCAGCGCCCCCTGGAGGGAGGAAGTGGGATGGTCGGTTCCTCTGGGGATGGTGGACACTGGCTTGCTGGGTCCTGTGCTGCCTTCACCCATGATGGGCGCTGGAGTTGTCCTCAGCTGAGCCACAACGCTGTGCTCTCCTGCCAGGTCTCATGGGCCGTGCCATCCCACCCGAGCACCACAGCCCGCACCACCTCAAAGAGCAGCACCACCTGCGCGGCTCCATCACGCAAGGTGCCACCTCCCGCATTGCTGGCTGGGGACCCTGGATGGGAGGCACAGTGCTCGAGTGTGGGTGGAAAGGGGGGCAGGTGTGATGCAGAGAGATGGTAAGGCAGGGCGCCCCCTGGCAGCGTCGAGGGACGGGACCTCGCTGGGCCGGTGCCTGTAGGTAGCGGGCAGCTGCCTGGGCTGGCTCCGTACCTCCAGTGCCCCGCTGCTACTCGGAGCAACTGCCACTTGTGCTGAGCCAGGGCCGTGGGGTGGGAGGGGCAGCAGGCCCAGGTCCCTGGCAGAGGTTCTGGCCTGGGGCAGCCAGGCAGTGAGGAAGCGGGGTCAGTGCCACCCAACTGCTGCCCACAGGGACACCGCGCTCCTACGTGGAGGCCCAGGAGGACTACCTGCGGCGTGAGGCCAAGCTGCTGAAGCGGGAGGGCTCCCCGCCGCCTCCGCCGCCTCCAAGGGACCTGGCTGAGGCCTACAAGGGCCGGCCCCTGGATGCCCTGGGCCCCCTGAAGCTGAAGCCGGCCCACGAGGGCCTGGTGGCCACGGTGAAGGAGGCCGGCCGCTCCATCCACGAAATTCCACGGGAGGAGCTGCGGCACACGCCTGAACTGCCCCTGGCGCCGCGGCCGCTCAAGGAAGGCTCCATCACCCAGGTAGGGTGCCGTCACCCACATGGGGCTCCGTCCTCCAATACAGCCCACACGCTGATGGTGGGGGTCTTTCCTTGTCCCCACTGTACCGGCTTAGGGCCACACAGCAACTCCTGATGGGCTATGCAATCACCCTAAGTGTGCGCCACCTGTCCTCAGGGCCCACTTCCCCCACCTGCAGGGGGCACCCTATTCCCCAGACCCATGTGGTAGGGGCCTGTTACCACGGGAGGAGAACCCCCTGGGGGGCACTGCTCTGCCTGTGGCAGAGGTAGCCCAAGGGGAAGAAGAAGAGGGAGCCTGAGGGTCTGGGCAGGAGCTCCTAGCTGCTCAGCACAAGCGGCCACGTGCTGGGAGAGGTGGGCTCTCAGCCAGGCTGTGATGCAGCCGTGGGCTGTGTACACCATGCTCTGAGCAGGCCGGGAGGACACTATGCATTCCCTGGAAAGGACAGGCCATCTCCTCTTGAAGGTGGCAGCACAATGTCCCTGTGCTGCCAGAGATGGACAGTGGCAGTGGCAGTGGTGAGACGTCCTCCTGGGCAGCCTGGCTGCTCAGTGCACCACAGTGCCCAGGACTCGGCCTCCAGAGCCAGCACACTCCAAGCCCAGCCCCAAACTCGGTGCCCAAGGCCAAGGCCCGGGTCAGGGAGCCGGGCTCTGCTGTAGGATTCCCTAAGGAGCCGCCCGGTGGGTGCCACTGCACGGGACGGTCAGTGCCCACAGGGCCAGCACTGCCCCACAGGGTGACCCTGCAGCAGCTCTGGGTCGGGGCAGTGTGTCCCTCTTGGTGTCGGCAGGGTCTGCTCCCCTGCCCTGGGGGTAGTAGCGTGTCACTCCTGTGTTACAGGCAGCAAGGGCAGCTGGGCCAGTGTGGCTGGGGAGGCATCTGCAGGCTTGTGGCTGTCACCTTGCTGTTGCTGTGACTCAAAGGAGAGAAGGGACCTGCCTCACTGTTCCAGTGGATTCAGTCCCTGGTAGAGGCTCCAGAACAGGAAGGACGAGGCAGGGCCAGGCTGCCCAGCTCAGGACGCTGGGAGGCAGAGAACGGGCAGCACACGCAGGACCCGGGGCACAGCCCTGTGACCACTTCCTGGCCGGGGGCTCTGCCTCTGCCGTCGGCCCTCTGGGGGCCCCCTAGCACACTGCCATGTGACGGGGTGCTCCTGCCTCACCATGACCCTGACCCCCAGGGAACGCCGCTGAAGTACGACACTGGCACATCCTCCGCCAGCTCCAAGAAGCACGACGTCCGCTCCATCATTGGCAGCCCTGGCCGCACCTTCCCACCTGTGCTCCCGCTCGATGTGGTGGCCGACGCCCGCGTGCTGGAGCGCGCCTGCTATGAGGAGAACCTCAAGGGCCGGCCAGGTGCCGCTGGAGGCTCGGGGGGCTCCATCACCCGCGGAGCACCCGTCGTGGTGCCTGAGCTGGGGAAACCCAGGCAGAGCCCACTGACCTACGAGGACCATGCTGCTGCCTTTGCCAGCCACCTGCCACGAGGCTCACCCGTCACCACGCGGGAGCCCACACCACGCCTGCAGGAGGGTGAGTGGGCAACCGGCGTGTCAAAGGCAGGAACAGCGCCCCCTGCGGCTCAATCCCAGCCCTTCAGCTTCCTGCCGCTCCCAGATGTTTTTAAAAGTGTGATGGTGCGTGCTGGGTATCCCAGCTCTCTGGGAAGCTGAGGCAAGATTGTGGGTTCAAGCCCAGCCTGGGCAACTTAGCATGACACTCTTGAAAGAGCTGAGGGTGCGGCTCCATGTGAAGGTCCTGGGTTCAATCCCCAAGACTGAGGAACTTAAATGATGCTGAGCCTCCCTTCCTTTCTTTCCAGCAACTTTATACCTAGATAAAATACTAATAATAACCACGGCCTGGGCACCTGCTCCGCCTCTCCAGGATGCCTCTGTCCAATCCTGGTGCCCGCAGGCTTTGGACGCCCCGCCCCTTCCCCCAGGCACCCCAACGTCAGCCCAACACCTGTGTCGACCCCGCCTTGCACATTGGGAATTCACTGGCCCTTTTCAGCCCTATTGTCTCTGTCACTGCCTTGGTGACGTAGGATGGACAGACAGACACACCCCCATCTGCTGCCCAGCCCTGGGCGCATCCTGTGATGTTTTAAGTTTTCCTTGGGCACATTTATCACTGAAATCCCGTGTGTTTACTGTCTCTGACCTTGATGTTGTCTCCGTGGGACTCGAGGGTTTTGTCTGTTTGGTGCCCTGGGGTGGCCCCAGCCCAGCTGAGCACTGCACACTGCTGCTGTCACTGAGTGGCTGAGTGAGTGGTGCGTGAGCTTCCTAAGGAGCAGAGAGAGCAGATGGGGAAACGGGAGGGAGGGGAGGGAACCCGGGAGCCCGGCATCGCCCCGGCCTGCTGAGCCTGCCTGGGTCTGTCCCCACAGCCAGCCTCCTGTCCAGTAAGACATCGCAGGATCGGAAGCTGACGTCCACGCCCCGTGAGGTCGCCCGGTCCCCCCATAGCACGGTGCCTGAGCACCCCCCGCACCCCATGTCCCCCTACGAGCACCTGCTGCGTGGCGTGAGCGGCGTGGACCTCTACCGCAGCCACATCCCACTGGCCTTCGACCCCGCCTCCATCTCCCGGGGGATCCCACTGGATGCAGGTGACTGGCCAGGGCACTGCGGCCTGGTTCCAGGCAGGGGGCCTCCCCCACCCCGGTAGGCTTGGAGCAGGATTCGGGAGACAGTCTTAGTGATGATTGCCTTTTCCTGCAGGACTCCACAGAGTCCTGAGGGATGCGGCACATCAGCTGAGCGCTCGTGTGTGTGTCAAACCAGATGGGGTCTGTCTGTGTCTTGTTGTACCAGGACTCAAACTCAGGACCTCGTGCTTGCCAGGCAGCCACTTATGCCCCTGAGCTCCCCCGCTGGCCCCTGTGTCTTTCACAGTGATGCACTGCTCGGTTTTGTTAGTGATCTGCTTCGCGGTCCCTGCGTCTGGAGAGTCTCTGTGCGGTGAATGCTGGGGACACTCCCACGCCTGCCACCCAGCTTCCACTTCCGTTTGGTCGGACCATTTTATTTCAGCGAGAAAAAAGAAAAGGAAAAAAAAAAAACCTGAAATTTCAAAACGTATGAAACAGGGCAACAGTGGCACGGGCCCCAATCCTTCATCCAGAGCTCAGGATGTCTGCACTCAGCTGTCCGAACACCAGCACAGGCCTTTCCTCCAGCAAACTCAGGGAGTCAGTGGCATAACTGCCTTTTTTATATACACACAGACGTGTGTGAATAGTCTATCTATATATGTTCTGTTTCAGCTTCTTATTTTAGTGAGACAGTGCAGTGTTGACACGGGTGTCTGGTTTATTCCACTAATGGGCTCAGGTTGCATCCATTTACCTGTAAGCATCTGCAGTACCCTTCTTTATGGCTGAGCAGTACTGCATTGTGGAACAGTACCGAATCTTTCTATCCATTCCTCAGTGATGGGCATTTAGATTGTTCCCAAGATCTGGCTATTACAAACCATGCTGCTGTACACGTGGGTGCGCATACATCACTGTGGTGTGATGTTTTTTAATTCTCCTGGGAGGATACCCAAAGGGGAATGGCTGGGTCAAATGGGACCTGTAGTCCTAGGTTTTTGAGGACCCCACTCTGGTTTCCGCAGTGGCTGCACCAGTCTGCACTCCCACCAACAGTGGAGAAGGCTGCCTTTTTCCCCACAGCCCATCCAGCATTTATTAGTTGACCTATTGATAGTAGCCATTCTTTCTGGGGTGAGGGTTATTTTAATTTATGTCTTTCAAATGACCAGTGATGGTGAACATTTTTTTCACATGTTTGCTGTTTGTGTGTCTTCATCTGAGAAGTGTGTTCATCTCAGGTGCCCATTTTTGGATTGGGTCTTTAAATCTGGGAGGACTGATTTTTTTGAGTCCTTTCTGTATTCTCAATAGTGATCTGAGGAACAGCTGGCAAACATTTTCTCCCACATTGTGGGTTGTCTCTTCACTCTGTTGGTGATTTTCCTTGCTGTGCAAAAGCTTTTCAGTAGGGTGAGTTGATTCAGTGGTTGATTTTTGTGAGAGTTCTGTGCAATTGGGGTTTTGTTCATGAAGTCTTTGCCTACACCAGTGTCTCCAAGAGTTCTGCCTACTCTGTCTTCCAGCAGATTTTTGTTTTAAAACTAAGATCTTCGAGCCATTCTGATTTTAGCTTGGTACATGGTGAAAGACATGTTCTATCCTGGGCATGTGTAGAGCCAGTGTTTCCAGCACCGTTTATTAGTCTCCCAGTGCATGTGTTGGCTCCTTTGTCAAAGACCAGGTGGCCGAGTGTGTCTGCAGTTGTCTCTACGTCTTCTGATCTATTTCGTTGATCTTTGGTCTGTTTTGTTGTTGTTGTTGTTGTTGTTGTTGTTGTTGTCTCTTTCCTTTTTATTGGTACCGGGATCAAAGTCACGACTGCCTGCTTGCAAGGCAGGCGCTTATGCGGCTGACCTAAATCCCCAGCCCCTGGTCTGTTTTTTGGCCAGTGCCACACTGTTCTTGTCAAAGTAGCTTTAACGTATAATTTCAAGTCAGGGATTGTGATGCCTGTGTCTTATCTTTGTTGCCCAGGATCGCCTCTGCTATTCTAGGTCTCTCCTAGTTCCAAATGAATTTAGGGTTTGGCAGGATATTTTAAAAAGTGCTTTTATCATGGGAAAAGACGCATTGCCATTTTGTCCCTGCACAGTCCCTTCCTTGGGCCACACCCATCCCGCCGCCCCGGAGGGCTCTTTCCTGAGTGTCCTTATGAAGAGTCATGAGAAAGGCACTTGAGTGCTGCTGCCAGTGACTCCAGCAAAAAGGCAGCTCACAGAAATGCATAGTGCATCCTCGGCTGCCCTGCTCGCTGGATCTGGCACTGTGACACTTCTGACTCCTCCAGAGTCCCAAAGACCACGGGAGAGCATTTTGCATGGACTCGGTCCTTCTGAGCCTTCTCAGCCAGGGCAGTGCAGTTAGAGCCTCTGGAAGGACTCGAGAGCTGCTGCAGAAGCAGCGAGGCCATGGGCTTCATGGAGGGTGGACTGTGGCCTTGCATCCCCACCGTGGGAAGCGGGGTGTGTCGAAGCATTGATTGCATTTTCAGTCTCACCCCGGAGGGAAGAAACCCCGAAATAAAGTGGGAGGCTCAGGACAGGGGCGGTGGCCTTGTGGCCGATCCAGGGTCACCGACCTCACACCCTGCCCTCCCACAGCAGCCGCCTACTACCTGCCCCGGCATCTGGCCCCCAACCCCACGTACCCACACCTGTACCCGCCATACCTCATCCGTGGCTACCCCGACACAGCAGCCCTAGAGAACCGACAGACCATCATCAACGACTACATCACGTCGCAGCAGATGCACCACAGCGCTGCCACCGCCATGGCACAGCGTGCCGACATGCTCCGCGGCCTGTCGCCCCGCGAGTCCTCCCTGGCCCTCAACTATGCCACTGGCCCTCGAGGTGAGTGTGGCGAGGAAGCCAGGCTCTGTCGCCTGCAGGTGCCCAGTGAGCGCCCCTCAGTGCACCCAGGCGGGCTGAGGGTCGGGTGCCTGTGGGCCTGTGTGCTGTGTGCCCTGGGGTGGCTCCCGCTGGCTCCTGGCTTGTGGTGCCTGTAGGTGTCCACATCAGAGCACGAGACTCCTGGGCCCCCAGGGCTGGTGCCACTTGGCGCCAAGTGGTCAGGGCGCCTTCTGGACTCTGCAAACAGGCCGGCACCTCAGGGCCATCGGTGACACCCATGAGTGAGATGCCCTGTAGCACAGCAGCAGCTCCAGGGGAGCCCTCACCCGGGCGGGGCAGCTGGGGCTGAGCTTGGGAAAGGGTCCTGGGCGGGCTCTGGCCAGGGCGCCCTCAGTGGCTGGCAGTGCCCCTCTGGCAGCAGCCAGGCCTCCCCCAGGAGCAATGGCTTTGGTTTCCTGTGCCCTTGCAGGCATCATCGACCTGTCCCAAGTGCCACACCTGCCCGTGCTGGTGCCCCCGACACCCAGTGCCCCTGCTGCCGCCATGGAGCGCCTTGCCTACCTCCCTGCTGCACCCCAGCCCTTTGGCAGCCGCCACAGCAGCTCTCCGCTGTCCCCAGGTAGCTGCCTGTCCCCGGGGTCCTCACCTCTGAGCCGTGCATCTTGCTGAATCTCTGCTCTGGTCCCCCAGGCGGCCCTTCGCACTTGACAAAACCCACTGCCGTGTCCTCATCGGAGCGGGAGCGGGAGCGGGACAGGGAGCGGGACAAGTCCATCCTCACCTCCACCACCACCGTGGAGCATGCACCCATTTGGAGACCTGGTAGGTGTCACTCCTGCCCTGGGGCCGGCAGCCACACCTGCTCCGCTCCCCTGACCCAGCTGCCCGTCCCCAGGTACAGAGCAGAGCAGTGGCAGCGGCAGCAGCGGGTCTGGGAGCAGCAGCAGCCGCCCGACCACCCACACCCATGCCCACCAGCACTCGCCCATCTCACCCCGGACCCAGGACGCCCTTCAGCAGAGGCCCAGCGTGCTGCACAACGCCGGCATGAAGGGCCTCATCACCTCCGTGGAGCCCAGCACACCCACCGTGCTGAGGTGGGGTGGACGGTGGGTGGGTGTAGGGGGTGGATGCTGGGTGGGTGGTAGGTGAGTGGGGCGGGTTGAAGAAGCAGGAGGGTACCCAGGGAGGTGGGTAGATGAGTGACTGCCAGATGGCTGGCTGGGCAGAGGGTGAACTGCTAGATGAAGGAGCCTGGCTGGACAGGGGCAGGGGAGTGGGGCAGCTGAGGCTGCGGAGCTAGAAGGGCGTACTGGTGACCTCTGTCCTGTGCCCGGGGGGCCTCCTGTCTGCCCTGCTGGGCCTTCTCACTTCCGCTGACCCTGCCTGTGGCCGTGTGGCCAGGAGCAGTCAGTGTGCTCAGGTGCTGTCCTCACGGGTCTGTGAGCGCATGCACAAGGCGCAGTGCTCTCCTTTGTCCTACTCGCTGCCAGATTTTGGGGGCCCCCGCAGGACCTGGCACCTAGTGAGGTGATGCTCCCAAGTGCCTGGATGGATGGGGACAGTGAGCCTTGCAGGTCAGAGGTAGGGGCAGATGTGCTCAGGGAGCAGCAGAGAATCTGGGCACCTCTCAGGCCTAGGCAGGGGGTTCTCAATGAGACTATGGGAGCGAGGGGCAGCCCACTGGTCAGCAGCCGCCTGACCCTGTTCTCCTCCCCGCAGGTCCACCTCCACCTCCTCTCCTATCCGCCTAGCCGCCACATTCCCACCCACCACCCACTGCCCGCTGGGGAGCACCCTGGATGGGGTCTACCCCACCCTGATGGAACCCGTCCTGCTGCCCAAGGAGTCCACCCGGGGCACCCGGACAGAGCGGCCACGCACAGACACTGGCCACGCCTTCCTCACCAAGCCCCCGGCCCGAGAGCCTACCTCCTCCCCCAGCAAGAGCTCCGAGCCCCGGCCCCTCGCGCCCCCCAGCTCCAGCCACGCAGCCATCACCCACACCCCAGCAAAGAGCCTCGCACCCCACCACGCCAGCCCGGACCCGCCGGCGCCGCCCAACTCAGCCTCCGACCCGCACCGGGGAAAGACTCAAAGTAAACCCTTTTCCATCCAGGAACTGGAGCTCCGCTCTCTGGGTAAGACCACCCTGACAGCGGCCACCTTCATAGACGCGATAATCACGCGTCAAATTGCCCACGATAAGGGGCCTCGAGAAGGAGGTTCGCGGGCCGACTGCTCCCCTCGCCATGGTAAGAGTCCCGGCCCGCCGCCTGCCCCTCTCGTGGCCTACAGATACTTCCAGACCTTTGCTTTTGATTTTCCCCCGTCTTCCGTTGGTTCTGGTGTTTTGGTCCCTGTCAATCTGCACGTGCTGGTGACTCCGGCCGCACCCCCCCGGCCCAGGCTCCTCATTATTTGCACATCATTTGATCGTGATTTTTTTCTTTTCTTTTTTCTTTTTGTCTTTTGATTTTTGCTTTTTACCTTTAGTGAATGGATCTGTGATTCGGACTCCAGCTGCACCTCCCATCTGCCCCTTTTCGCCTTTGTTGAGGGAGCAGGGAGGGCGTGGGGTGGGGTGGTGGATTATGCCTGTTGCTGTGTGTGGATTTGGAGGACACAGAGGCAGGGAATCGGGGAAGGGAAGGAGCACCCACACTGTCCAGGAAGAGCCAGGAACCCCAACCTGCCCAAGAGAGCCTGGGGATTCCAGTCCTCAGCCACCTGCCCCCAGAGAGGAGCACAGCCCCCCATCCCCATGCTGAGCAGGGGTCCAGGCAGGCCGGAGGCAATGTTCTCCTCCTCCCCTGCTCTCTCCCCCTGTCTCTGTCCCCCCAGATCTGTGACTATCCCTTCTCTCTGCCTCACTGTCTGTCTGCCTATCGGTTTGCCTCTCTGCCGGATCCCTTTCTTTGCCCTTTCTGTCTGCTCCCAGCCCTCTGGTTCACAGGGGTTCACACCCAGTCTCATCTGCACCCCCTCCATCCAAGAGCCCCAGCCAGCCCAGGAGGGCAGACCCTTAGGCACAGCCCTGGCTCTGGCCCACCTCTTGTAGGTTACAGGGCTACAGCCTGGGAGGGCAGCCCTGGCCCTACCACTTGAAACCGTGGTTATAGCCAGGAAGGACAGCCCCGCCCCTTGGTGCAACCCTACCTCTGATCCTGGCTCCGCCCCTTGTAGGTTACCATGGCTACAGCCCCGAAGGTGTGGAGCCTGTCAGCCCAGTGAGCTCCCCCAGCCTGACTCAGGACAAGGGGCTCCCCAAGCACCTGGAGGAGCTGGACAAGGGCCACCTGGAGGGGGAGCTGCGGCACAAACCGCCAGGTACTCCCCTGTACTAGTCAGGGACAGCCACGACCCTTCAGGAGGACTGGGGAACCAGGCATCCCTCATTCTCCCCACTCTTCCCACAGGCCCCGGGAAGATCGGAGGGGAAGCCACTCACCTCCCGCACCTGCGGCCAGTGCCGGAGAGCCAGACTGCGTCCAGTCCACTGCTTCAGACTGCCCCAGGGGTGAAAGGTCACCAGCGGGTGGTCACTCTGGCCCAGCACATCAGTGTAACTACCCATCCCCCACACAGGGAGGGTGGGGTGCACATGGTCCCTTGGTCCTGGCAGGTGGCTGGGTGGGTGAGGGCCCAGAGGTAGGCGCTGGGACCCACTCTTCCAAGGGCACCCCAACCTTCACAGGCCTTGGGGTGCAGGCCACTCAGGTCCAGCCTGACGGAGCCTGCAGTGGAGGCCGCTGTGCTGCAGGAACCATGTCTGACCTTGCCCTCGCCCACAGGAGGTCATCACACAGGACTACACGCGCCACCACCCCCAGCAGCTCAGCACGACCCTGCCCGCCCCACTCTACTCCTTCCCTGGAGCCAGCTGTCCAGTGCTGGACCTCCGCCGCCCACCCAGTGACCTCTACCTCCCGCACCCTGAGCACAACACCCCGGCCCGAGGCTCCCCACACAGTGAGGGGGGCAAGAGGTGAGCCCAGGGCGGCACTAGGCAGAGGGCGAGGCCTGCCTGGTGTATGGCAGGGTGGGGGAAGGTGGTGGGGCTGGGGGAGATGGGAATCCATGAGAGCAGGCCCACAGCAGTGACCGAGGGGGTCCCGGTGTTGCCCCGTGCCACAGGTGAAGAGCTCGGGGCCTTCGCAGGACCGCGTTGCCCCGGGACATAGCCTCCCCTTCCGTGTGTGTAGTGCCTGCCGCAGGTAGCCTGCAGGCAGGGGTTTGGGGTGTGTGGGGCTGAGCTCTGTGCCTACGGGAAGGGTGGCTGGGGTGGCGCAGTATTGGTACCTCCAGCCCTTTTTAATTTGTGGTCAGTGTTACTAAACCACCAAGTTGCTGGGGCTGGGTTTGAACTCACGGTCTTCCTGCCTCTGCTGGCAGGAAGGAATGGTGGGGAAGGACGGGCAAGGCCCTGTGGGGTGAAGGGGTGCTCCTGCAGGGCCAGACTCTCACCACACCTGGGACCCTCTCCGCCCAGGTCTCCAGAACCCAGCAAGACGTTGGTCCTGGGTGGCGAGGACGGCATTGAGCCCGTGTCTCCGCCGGAGAGCATGTCGGAGCCAGGGCACGCCCGGAGCGCCATGTACCCGCTGCTGTACCGGGACGGGGAGCAGGCAGAGCCCAGGTACAGCACCTACCACCCACCCACCCCCAACCCCATGCAGAGCCTCCCAGGCCAGGCCTCTGGGGCACTCTGCCACGGGAGTGTGTGGGCTGCTCCTCGACTTCCCGGTCAGCACTGGGCGAGCTGACCAGGGATGTCTGATCCTCATGGCAGGATGGGCTCCAAGTCTCCAGGCAACACCAGTCAGCCACCTGCCTTCTTCAGCAAGTTGACAGAGAGCAACTCCGCCATGGTCAAGTCCAAGAAGCAGGAGATCAACAAGAAGCTCAATACTCACAACCGGAACGAGCCGGAATACAGTAAGGTTCTGGCATGGGCAAGGCCACTGTGCAGCCTGGGCTGGCCTCAAACTCGAGCTGATCCTCCCGCCTCAGCCTCCGGAGTGCTGGGATTACAGGCGTGCACCACCCTGTGTGGCTCGGGGCTTTTGACAGTCTTCCCATGGTGGAGTCAGCATCTAGTGCTGTGCCAATGTGGCGTGGGGCCAGGTGCTGGGCCAGGCCTCGCCCCGGGGCTTCCCTCCCGTCACTCTGTTGCTTGCTATGAACACCCATCCTTAGCACAGTGCCCGGCCATGATTGGGCACAGCCTGGACACAGTGGTGGGGTGGCCTGGGCAAACAACACAGCTCCCCCGATCCTGGGCCCTGGGAGTGTCCTCCCCAGCAAGGTGGCCCAAGACCAGCAGCATCAGCACCCCTGGGAGCGGGTTGGTCAGGGTCACCAGATGGGCCGAAAGCCCCAGACACACAACAGTGCTGGGTCGGGACAGATCAAGGTCACCCAGGTGTCCCACGTGGACGGGTGGTGGGTTAGCTCAGGGACTGTGCCCTGGGTCTCACCCACCCTGTCCCCGCTGCAGATATTGGCCAGCCAGGGACAGAGATCTTCAACATGCCGGCCATCACCGGAGCAGGTAACCAAGCCCACCCCTGCTGTCCCGGGACAACAGCCTGTCCTGGTTCAAGGACAGTCCCTGCCCCTGGGCCTGCAGCAGGAAGGCCAGCTGTGCGCTCCGCAGGGAGAGCCCTAGCCGCCTACACACCATGTGCAAGCGAGACCAGGGCCGGGCTCGGCGGCTCTGGTGGGCACAGCGAAGCTGCCTAGGATCTGGGGCAGAACTGCGTAGCCAGGGGACCACATTTTATGTTTCGCCACATCTAATGCAGATGCAGCAAGAGGCAGGCATGAAACCCAGACACGTGGAGAAGCCCAGAAGTGAGGCTTCGCAGCCTCCGAGGCACCTCGTATTTCTGCTGCCCCAGGAAGGAAGCGGGTGGCATTTGCAGTGGGGCCTGTGGCCAGGCGGATGACACTGTGGGTGCTATGGGGTTGGGGTGCTGGTGCAGTCTGTCCCTAGAGTTGGTGGTGCAGGACACTGGTCCTTCCTGGAAGCTGCGGCCAGAGGGGGTCAGCGGCCTCCCAGGTGGGCATCAGGGACCTTAAACACAAGGCAACATGCCGAGCGTGGGACAGCCTTTTGGACCTTACAGGAGGTCATCTGGGCCTCAAGGGGCAAAGGGGAGACAGGACATTAGAAAGCATTCCGGGATGGGCCCAGGCCTTGGCATGGCCACCTCATCGCCCGGCAGTGAAGATCCATGCCAAAACTTGGATGTAAATTTTTGAATTTTTTCTTTCTTGTTTGGTGCTGGGAATTGAAATCACAACCTCACGACCTCAAGCGCTGTGTGGCTGAGCTAAATCCCTGGCTGGGTGTGGATTACACTGGATTTTTGTTTTCTGTTTATTTTTTGTGGGCCTGGGGTTGAACCTAGACCTTCGCACTGAGCTGCCTTCCTAGCCTTGTGTCGTGTTTATTTTGAGATCTGGTCTGACTTAGTTCCCCAGCTGGGGTCAGATTGGAGTTCTCCTGCCTCGGCTTCTTAGGGGTGCTGCCACGTCCAGTTGATTTTTTTTTTTTTTTTTTTTTTGTTAAAGCAGTTTAATGAACAAAACAAGGACACCAGCACTCAGGCGCCCCCTCTGTGGTGCTCAGGGTGGAGCCGCAGCGGGTCTGCCGGACCCTGGGCCTGTGGTCACACTGTGGCACCCGTGCTTGCCCGTGGTGGCTGGATGTACAGATTTTAACTGTGTTCTTTACCCGTGTTGGAAATGCTGGCTTTTCTTGATGAACATGGTTGTTTCTGATGCTGATGGGAGGCGACATGGGCAGCATGCAGTGTGCAGCCCTGGGTGGTCACAGCCTCCCAGAAGTGGAGCTTTGAAGGGTGCAGCTGATTTGCAAACACTTGCGCTCCTGCTGTCTGCGGAGAGGCGTCAGTTCCCTCAGATCCTACCTGAGGGCAGGCAGGACAGGCTGGGGCCTCCTTGCAAGGTTCTAAAGCTGCATCCCTCCGGGTAGCCAGTGCCTGGAGAGGTCTTGCAGAGGCCCCATGGTGCTTCGTACAGCAGAGAGAAAGGGAGCCCGGGAAACAAGAAGGGGAGCTTGGCAGGGTCACTCAGGTCTGGTAGGAGGCGTCACGAGGGACTGGTCCGCTACTTTGTCCTTCTCATAGGGCCAAGCCAGCCGGGGCCAGGCGGAGTGGCGTCAGCTGTCTCTAGCTCTTCCCTGTCCCCGCATGCACTAACTGCATGGCTGTGAACCCCAACCCATCCGGCTCTGCACCTCTTTCTCCTCTGGCTCCTGGATGGGGGGCGGAGAGGCAGGCTTAGCTTAGGGCCATCAGGAACACTCGGTCCATCCCTCGCCCAGAGGAGCCGGGCTGCATCTCCACCCCAGACCCTGGGCTGCATCGCTACCCCAGACCCTGTCCCGCCCACACAAGCCTCAGCCACCCCGGGGTTCCCTCTGCCCCGCCCTGAGGCCACTGGGGCTGGAGTCAGGCAGGGGTTCCCGACTTCCCATGGCAGGGTAGAAACGAGGCTGGCGGGGCTGGGGATTTAGCTCAGCGACATAAGCACCTGCCTTGCAAGCAGGCAGTCATGAGTTCGATCCCTGGTACCGATAAAAATGAAAAAGACAAAAAAAAAAAAAGAAATGAGGCTGGGGGTCTCCCTCCTCTAGCTCTGCTGCCCGGGAACCCCCAGGGCTTCTGAGGAGCCCCCACTGCCCCCAGCACCCTGCAGGACGAGGGGGAGGGAAACGAAGAGATGGATGCTTTGCCAAATGTGCTCACTGTGTATTCTCTCCCCTCCCCCTTCCCTTCTCTCCCCTGCCCTCCCCTTCACCCTCCTCTTTCCCTACTCTGTACCCCTCTGGCATCTGGCCCGGCCCATGTGTGTTGTCTGTCTGTCTGTCTGTCTGTCTCTCTCCATCCCAGGCCTTATGACCTGTAGAAGCCAGGCGGTGCCGGAGCATACCAGCACCAGCATGGGGCTGGAGGCCATAATTAGAAAGGCGCTCATGGGTAAATATGATCAGTGGGAAGAGCCCCCGCCACTCGGCGCCAATGCTTTTAACCCTCTGAATGCCAGTGCCAGCCTGCCCACGGCCGCTATGCCCGTAACCGCCGCTGCTGACGGACGGAGCGACCCCGCGCTCACCTCGCCAGGTCTGCGGCCGCCCCGCCCGCCCGGTGTCATTAACCCTGGCTCCTGCGCCCTCTGACCCTCCAGCTTCGGCTTGCGGTTCTGTAGTTTGCTAATCCCGAGCTGGGCGACACCTGGTGTCCGCCTCCCCCAGCGCTGCCGCTGCTTCTGCAGACGCTGATACCGCTGCCCACGCCCCGGCCTGCCCCGACCCGGCCGCCGGCTGGCTCCCGGGGTCACTGGGTGGGGGAGAGGACCCAGCTGTGCCACAAGCACTAGGTGTGGGGTGGCAGCGGCCAGTGCCTGGCGCCCCTGCTGCCGCTGAGCAGGCACTTCAGGCTGGACCCTTAGTGGGGCCTGACTTGGCCCTGGAGTCCTGGCTGTTGCACAGGGTCACAGGCCAGCAGGCCCGATGCCATCCCTAGGCAGTGTGCAGGGCCCAGCCGAGGTCCGTGGTGCCACGCTGAGGATCAAGACCTCAGGGCCTCAGAGCTGCAGGGCAGCCAGGGGTTGTGGCCCCTTTCCCAGCGCCAGGCTGGGTCCAGCCATCTGGTCACCCTCAGCAGAGGGCCCAGGTGGCAGTGGCTTCCCGTGGCAGGACTCGGCCCACCCTCCCCACCGCCCCCTGCAGCATTGGTGCCGCTGCCGCCATCCACCACAGCCCCGTCCCCTCTCCTCCCTGCAGGCGGTGGTGGGAAGGCCAAGGTCTCTGGCAGACCCAGCAGCCGGAAAGCCAAGTCCCCGGCCCCGGGCCTGGCGTCGGGGGACCGGCCGCCCTCCGTCTCCTCAGTGCACTCGGAGGGGGACTGCAATCACCGGACGCCGCTCACCAACCGCGTATGGGAGGACCGGCCCTCATCCGCAGGTGGGCACCGGCAGTGGGGGGCAGAACGGGTTGGGGACGTGGACCAAGGTGCATGGGTGTGCATGGTGATGTCCCTGGGCCGGCGGCCACTGCACACAAAGGCCGGAGTGGGGGGGTCACCTGAACTTTGCCACCGCCTCCCCACAGGCTCCACGCCCTTCCCCTTCAACCCCCTGATCATGCGGCTGCAGGCGGGCGTCACGGCCTCCCCACCCCCGCCCGGCCTTGCCGCGGGCAGTGGGCCTCTGGCTGGCGCCCACCACGCCTGGGAGGAGGAGCCCAAGCCGCTGCTGTGCTCGCAGTATGAGACGCTGTCCGACAGTGAGTGACCGCCAGCACCGAGGAGGGGTCCCGAGTCCGCCCTCCCCCGTGTCGCCTGGAGCCGGCACCCTCACCTGTCTAAAGCCTTAACTACGACCCCACCCGGGCTGGCCCTGTGCAGTGACCTTTCTCAGGGGACGTTCACCTGGTGCTCGGGATGGGGGAGGGCGCCGGGCTGGGGAGAGGCACGGTGGGCATGTGGGGTCGCATGCGCACGGCCGGGCGGCCAGGGACCCAAACCAGGGCGACCACGCACTTCCACACCACTGCCTCCCCCTTAACGCATTTGGAACCAAAGTCTAATCCGAGCTAGTGGCCCCCGCGCCCTCCTTCCGCCTCACATCCCGCTCGATGCTCTGGACAGACGCTCTGGACAGATGGACACAGGCCCCGCCTGGGTCCTGGGGCTCACGTCTCGCCCTGCAGGCCGGCCAAGCCCACAGGACTGCTGGAAGCTGGGGCAGGCCGGGTGGGCAGAGGCCGCGGCCCTGGACATGTCCCCGTGCGAGGCCGCGGCCAGGAAGCAGAGGCGTGTACGTGGTGTACTGGTTTACAGGGTATATTTTTGATACCTTCAATGAATTAATTCAGATGTTTTACACAAGGAAGGCTGTCCCAGTATTACTGCTGCTCCGCTTCCCACCCGCTTACCCTGCAGGGTCGCGCGCAGCTGTCGGGCAGCGATCCCGCCGTCCACAGGACCGAGGGGCCAGGGCCACCCGCTCGCGAGCCCCACCTCCTCCCTCCACCTTCCTGGGCAGAACGAATCTGACGCGTCCTCTGTGGCTGCCACCTGCACACGGCGGTGGCCCTCTGTCATTTACACATGTTGTTCTAATTAAAGCAAATTATACTCGGGTCACCGAGCTTTCTTCTGTTCTGGGCTGGCCGCCAGGAGGGTGGGCAGTGTAGGGGGACCCCATCGGGCATCCGCTGCTGGGCGGGTGTCCCCAGGGGCGGTGGGGCCCCACGCCACACTGAACATAGGAATGTCCACGGCTGCGGGGCCGAGTCAGCTCTCACACACAGTGAGGGTGTCATACACGTGTGCCCCAGTGAGGGTGCCCAGTGGGCCCTTCCGCCGCGAGTGGTGAAGCAGCAGTGTCCTTGCAGTCAGGTGCCCAGCAGCCACTGTGGGAGGTGCGTTGCACACACCCAGGTGAGGCGCCAGCTCCTGTGAGTGTGTCAGTCACAGCCCGTGGAGCACCTGCCGTGGTGCCCGGGGGGCGTGTCCAGCTGGCAGGTCCCCCCCAAAGCACGTTGGACATCACTCCGCTGTGGTGTCCGAGGCTGGGACACACCCCGCTGTCCCTCCTGCTCCAGACCACGGGAGAGGCATGTGGCTCTGCCAGCTTGGGTGGAGTGCGGCTGCCTGCCCAGTGGCCCAGGTGTGGTGTGACCTGTGTGGGGTGTCCTTGCCCAGAAGCCGGGCTCCCCACCCTGCTGTGTCCTTCTAGGCTCTGGCACCCGACCTGCACCAGCCCCACCTTGAGTGCGTGCCCAGCCCGTCCCCGTCCAGCCACCAGGGGCCTCCAGGAGGGACACAGGAGATGGCCACCTACTCGTAGGCTCTGAGCCAGCCCAGTCCCAGGGCGAAGACCAGAAGCCAGGAGGTCACCCCACCTGAATTATTGCGAGCCCCAGGACCCCAGGGTGCTGTGGCTCTGGTGAGCACGTGTGGCTGTGGCCTGGAATCTCCAGCCTTGCAGTGGACACTAAACTGCAGAACCTTGGGGGCCACTGGGTAGGGGCCCGGACCACTGAGGTGCAGGTCCAGCTGCCGGCCCAGCTTGGCCCTGAGGGTCTAGCACCCAGAGGGCAGGCCTGGGTGTCCAGGCTAGGGACCTGGATTCTGAGGGAAGCCCAGGGCTGCCCCAAGCTCACCCTGCAAGCTCTGCTCTAGGGCAGGAGCAGCACAGGGCCTCAGAGCCTTGCAGGAGGTGTCCCCAGGGCTCGGGCTGTGAGTGCCTGTCTGCTGTGCTGGGGCCCAGGTCCATGCTACGTGGCCCTGGGCCTGCATGCAGTACCGAGGTTGGCGCCAGGTGGCAGTGTGGGGCCGGCCACGGACCCGGTCCTAACCAAGGTCTCTGCACGCTGACACCTCAAGGGGTCCCCTGCCCCAGGGCTGACACCCAGGGCCCCTCCGACTCAGAGTGCGGTTCAGGGAAAAGGACTTCCTGTGTAACTGCTCCCCCTTCCCCATGCGGGGGATGCAAAGGTCCCAGAAACAATCCTGTTTGGGTCCCATATTTTATTATAGTAACCTTAATTACTTAAGCCTTAATTACTTGGTCACCGCATGGCTGGATGCACATCTGTGCAGGTGGCCACCACTCAGGACCCTTCCAGCCCACTGAGGGGGCTCATGCCCAGTGCCCACCTTTCCCCACCTGCCGGGGGCAGGGGGCAGCCCCATGGACACTCGGGGGTCTAGTGCCCCTGCACCCCCACCTTCACTGCTGTTGAGTCTCTCCTCCTCCCTCGAGATCGCCCAACGCGTGTCCAGGGTGGACTCCGTCACAAGCAGGAGCTGGTGGCCGGAGGAGGACGTGGGCCCAGCAGTCCACTGGAAGCCAGGCTGAGCTGGGGGTGCTGCCAGCAGACTCAGTTTCTGTGTGGGGCAGAGCATGTCCAGGAGCCCCTGGCAGATGGGCTCTGGGTGGGGGAGCTTCCAGAGAGCTAGAGGGGTGCCCTGAGGGTGAGGCTTGGGCGCTCTGTCCAGCGAACCCCCCACTTCAGCAGCACGGCTGCAACCCTTTTGTCCTGGCAGCCACTGGACACTGACACCCTAGTGCTCCAGTCCCAGCTCAGCTCAGCCTTGGCCACCATTCAGGCCCCAAGGTCCTCCTGGCCCCCAGCCCCCCGGGGTCGCTCTGCGTGTCCTCTTCTTCCCTACTGTGCAGGCTCTGAGCCCAGCCGAACTGGGAGGCCACTGTCCTGGGGACGCTCAGGGCTATCCCTGGCTCGCAGGACACCTCAGGTCTCGGAGCTCTCGCCAGTGGGCAGCACCACTGCCCGTGGGCCCCCTTTGGCCTCTGCCGTGGGGTAGAGAGAAGCGGGCACATCTGCTGGCCCCGGCCCCGGACGGCCTCGCCCAGGCCAGCCCTGCTCAGGGCGCCACCGGCGAGCCACACAGCCGCAGCTGCACGCTGGCCGTGAAGCTGCACCGCGGCCGGCCCAGGCTGCAGCACAGGGTGGTGCGGAAGCAGCTGCGCGCGCGCTTGGGGAAGATGATGGTGGTGCTGCGGAAAAGCAGCGCTCGGGGCCGCGGCTCCAGGGTCAGCTGGCTGCGGAAGCTGCGCCACGTGCAGTTGGGCGCCGCCACGATGGTCTCACTGTAGCCCGTGACTGTGGGCACCTGGGCGTAGAACACCTTGTCCTGGAAGTGCCTCTCGGACGCATACTGCACCTCGGAGTTGCAGCTGGCAGGGAGGAGGGGTGTCCGTGAGCCCGAGAGGGGACCCTGGCGGCTGCCCTGATCTTGAAATGGTCAGGCTGCGGTGCTGACCCAGTTCGGTGTTGACCCGGAGGAAAGAGGAGAAAACACTCCCAGTACGGCAGGAGGCTGAGGCAGGAGGATCTCCAGTTCAAGGCCAGCCTGGGCAACTGAGTGATTTAGCAAACCCTACTTCAAAAAATTGTACAAAGGAGAGGGCTGCAGATGGGGCTCACTGCAAAGGCCCTGGGTTGGATCCCCAATACTGGCCAAAAAATAAACAGGAGACACCTGAGGGCAGCTCTCGGTTTGCGTCTGGACCGGGGTTAAGAGACAGACTGGGACAGTATTGGGGGTGGGACGGGATAGCAGGGCCATCGGGGCGGAAGAGCAAGGTGTCACCAACCTTTTCTCTAATGGGTCCCCCAAAAGTCCTTATCTGTGAAGAGCCAGTGGGGGAGCCCAGCAGCACTGGGTGACTGGGGGTGCTCGGGCTCCTCCTGCCCTTCCCATGGCTTTGCAGCATCCAGGGAGGGTTTCCGGGAAGTCAGCACCCCTCGGTGCCTGTGGTGACTGCTGCTGGAAAGTCAGCCAGCGCCCACCTGGGGCCGCACCTCGGGCCACCCTGTCCCTGCCCCCAAACCACTGCCCACTCACCGGATCTCATGGGTGGGTTCCGGATCCACCTCGATGGTCTCCCCGAACACTACCGGCAGCATCCGGGGCCTCAGTGCAAGTACCAAGTGGTTGCGGAATGGGAGAGGGGGCTGCGGGGAGAGGCACAGACGGCCAGGGTGACGCGGCCAGGAGCCTTAGCTCCTCCGAGCCCTCCCCACCTGCAGCCTGATCCGTAGACGGCTCTGTGGGGAAACCTGGGAGTGGTCTCGGTGACGGCCCTGGCCACACCCAGGAGTACAGGGACCAGAGGTGACAGGTCCAGTCTTGCCCACATTGCCGATGGCCGAGATCAAGCCATGCCTGAAGCTGCCGGTTTTGCCAGACTGATTCTAAAAGCACAGCCGGCCCTGCACCCGCAGCCCAGCCTGAAGCCAGCATCCCCTCTGACATCCTTGGCCCCTGGTTGGCTCTGGACCCCAGACTCCACTTTGGGGCCTCCTCATCCCTTCCATGCCCCAGGAAAATCCCTGTGCATCCGTCCCTGAGAGCCCTGAGGGGACCTCATGTCACCCCCTTATCCTAGTCCCACGCCCAGCGCTTTCAGCTACCCATGGTCAGCCTCGGCCTGAAGGACACTGACCGTCTGAAGTAACCTTGTTTCCGGGTCCTGCTCTAGTTCATCACCACTTGTGTGCCTGCCCGACATGTGAGCCTAACTCAGGATTGAGGGTGCATTCTGCCGCCAGCCCCACCCCAGAACAGCCACTCCGAAAGCTCAGGCCCTGAGGCTCCTGTACCCCACATCCACGAAGAAGCCCGGCTCTGCCTGCCTGGGATGAGGATGGGGGTGACGGGATGGGACCCAGGTACGGGGACACGGTCCCCCACGTCACAGCAGCTGGAACCTTCCAAAGGGCCCTCGGTGCAGCCAGCCTGGGCTCCGGGCGCCACTGGGGCGGGAGCTAGGGCCCTGCCAGCGCGGGAGGTGGCTCCGGTTTCCAGAGCTGTGTGCGCTGTGGTTCTTTGTCTTTGTGCGCTGGGATGGCACCCCACAGAAGCCTGCGGTCCCCAACCATGGCGGCAGCCTCTGGGGACACCGGCCCTCCCTCCTCAGGCCCTGGGCCTCTTCCTCTTCCAGGCTGCAGCCTCTTGGGCATGAAGGGCTCTGCCACCTCCACCCTGGTACAGTGTCACAGAGCCCAGGCCCCTCCTGAGGGGTGCCTGAGCCAGGGCGCTCCTCCAGAAGCCGGGGACACCAGGGCCCCAGGAGGCCAGGATGGAACACAGGCTGGGCCTCCTGGGGCTCAGGTCTCCACAGAGTCTGCTGTGGGGGCTGCAGGCAACCAACAGGCGGGGTCCCCGGGCCCCCATCCCACCTGCACCAGGAGAGCACATTTCAGGATGGCCCCTGTGGGGGGGCTGAGGGCCGCAGCCAACCCCACGTGACTCACACGCCTCCCCGGGGCCCAGAGCAGGGCCAAGGCAGCTGGGAGGAGGCGCGCAGGGCACGCACGACGCCCACAGATACGGCACGGCAGTGAGGAGCTCGTGCCAGGCACTGCCAGCCCCACCCAGGTGAGGACACTCGGGGAAGGTGCATGGGATCCTGCAGAAGCCCCCACCCCACTGCCCTGGAAAGGGCAAGATGGCCAGGGGCCCGTGGCGGGTGACAGGTGTCTGCCACGAAGCCATATAGAGAGACAATTACAGACCAGGTGCCCAGTGGAGGGGGCAGAGGGTAGCCTCAGAAACGAGAGTCCAGTAGGCAGTGTCCTTCAGAAGGGGACACAAAGGATGAGGCAGGCGACTGGACAGCGCTGACCTGACCCTCTACGAGGAGCCTCGGGCTGAGGAGCCGAGCTGGTCATCACGCACCCTCCATTCCCACTGTTGGGCCCCTGGAACCTCGGGAGGGGCCCCCTGGCGTCCCAGGACCCCAAGTAAGCGCCCCGTTGCAGCTCTAGGAAGCAGGGCCAGGGGCCCACGAGGCCTCTGGCGGTAACGGACACAGGGCCACCTCTTGGAGGCTGACGGGCAGCACGCTCCCTCCTTGTGCCCCTTTCCTGAAGGCCCAGCTCACAATGGCCAGGCGGCTCCAGACGGTGGCCACTTCCTGTCCCCAAAGAGCTGGCCCTGCCCTCCAGGGGCCCAACCCAGAGAATAGCCAGAGCCACCTCTGCCCGAGGTCAGGGCCCTGGGGCCGCAAGGCTCCTGGCCCAGCGGGTGGGGAAGGGAGCTCTGCCCTCAAAGGGGCCTGCATAGGGGGAGCCCACTCCCCTCAGCCTCCCTCCCAGGAAATGGGTCCTCCCACCCCGGCCACCCAGGGTGACCACGCCACATGGACCCCACCCTCACCCCGGCCCATCCCTGTCTGGGCCCTGTCCATCTTTTCTGTCTGTCTGTGTTCCCACCTATCTACCCATCCACCCTTCACCCACTATTTGTCCATCTGTCCATCCATCTGTCCATCCATCCACCCTTCCCAAGCTCTTTTGGCCTCTTGTCTTGGACTGGGTTTCACCATCACAGAGCAGAAACAGAAATGAGAAAATCCAGTGTCAGGGGTGACAGCCTGGACCCCGAGAGGCAGCAAAGATGGGAGACAGCACTGCTCATCGCCACCGTTCTCCAGATGCCACCCACTGGGGTCCCCAGGGGCAGCTGGGAGAGGAGCTGGCAGGGCAGAAGTTAAACCCCAGGCCAGGAGCCATGAGCACCCCACTGCTGCACAAAACTGTGAGAGCTCCGTCCCAGCCTTCTCAGCCACTCAGGCCCTCTCTCCTGGCTCCAGCCGCACACTCTCCTTGCTGACCCCCCAGTTCGGTTCCTGTCCCAGGCCCTTTGCACCTGCCCTTCTGGCCTGAGACACACTTCAGCCCTACAAGCCTCTGGTTAGGCATTCGGGCTTCTGCTCAGCATCACTTTCTGGGCCACCTGTCCAAGTGACTGCCCACCCCCAGCTTTCAGTCAAAGGGGTGCTGTCACCCCACCCGACGATGCATCACGGATATAAGTCCACAGCGTGTCTGCCTCCTCGGCATGCCGGTTTCTTGGAGGCAGGAACCCTGAATTTCTAGTTTACGGCTGTGTCCCCGGCCCATTTGTGCGTGGCACATGGTGGGTCTCTGTGACTTGGAGCTGTCAGGGTCATTCCTGCCTTTGCTCCCAGAGTGAACCCCAGGGCTGGGACCATCGGGGAGTCCCTGTGTCCCCACGCTGGTCCCTGGCCCCTGCCTCTGACACCTGGAAGCCCCATGCCCTCGGGAAACAATCCCATGGCTTCTGGGGGCTCCGAGGAGCAGCAGCTGCTAACCCACCAGGCAGGGCCAGGGCCGGGCTGGGGCCATAGACGCTGGGGACCTGGGTGGCTCGGGTGGGGAGACAGGGAGATGGCGCCACTGACTCGATGGGGAGTGGTGTCGGGAGCCGGCGTCTGCAGGGACAGAATGACAGCCCATGTGACACCAAGAAAACCTGGCCCAGCTCTTCCAGGGCGGTTGACACCATCGGGCCTGAGGGGCCCCCCAGATGGGCGCCATGAACCCCAAGCGGTGACCTGAGCCTCGAAGCAGGGAGCGCTGCGCCTGGCATTGGTCATGGGAGTGAACCTGGCTACACAGGGGTTGCCATGGCAACCACCTGCTTGTTCAAAGTAGCATCTCAAGTTCTGTAGGTACCTAGTCACTGCAATTTTCATCTTAAAAACTTTTTAAGGTAATCAGCTCTACAGTGAAAGGCGGGAGAACATTCCCGGGTTCTGTCCCCACGCAGCCAGGGACGCACTGCAGCAGCAGCTTTGGGCGAGCTGCTACGCTTCCATGTGCCTCAGTTTCCCCCTCCAGGAAATGGGGATAAAGCATCGAGGACAGGCAAGGGTGTACCGAGATGAAACCAGAGGGTACCAGGAAAGCTCAGGCCCCTCCTGGCCTAGCGGCTGGACTCGGGCCACCAGGTAAATCACCTGTGCGGAAGGAGCCCAGATGTCCTTCCGGGGAGACCCCGTTCCAGAGGTGGCACCTGGGGACGAGGAAGGGAAGACTGAGCCCGAGGCAGGGCCCAGACAAGGAGGCCAGGCCCGAGGAGGTTCAGGTGGCCGCCACCCCCAGCCTGGGAGTCGGAGGAGGCCCCAGCTCGCGGGGCAAAGCGGGCTCTGGGTCAGGCAGGGACGCGGAGGACGCGGAAGCCTGTGGTGTGCAGGGGTGCAAGCGGCTGGGATCGCAGCGACTGCCCGCCTTGCGGCCAGCCCCCTCCCTGGGTCACTTCCCTGCACCCCGCCAGCCGTCCCCTTCCGCCTGGACTAAGCCGAATCAGCAGGAGGCCCTGCTGCTGGGCCCCTGCAGCTGCCAGTGCTGTCCAGTGCTGTCCCGGGCCCAGGCAGCAGCCCCCGGCGGGAAGGAGCTGCTCCCTGACTGCTCAGAGGAAAGTTCCACCCGGGCAGCGGGCAGCGGGCAGCGGGCAGCGGAGGGACCTGCGGACAGATGTCGCCCTCACGGCAGCGGCCTCTTTGGGAATGGCAGACGCCGTTCCCCGCCCCCCCCGCCCCTGCACCCCCACCCTGCCCCCTGCACCCCCGCGCCCCAACAGCGGCTCTGCAGAGAAGCCCCCGGCCGGCCCTGGTGGGCACCGCGGGTGCCCAGGTCAGGTCAGGGCGGAAGGGTCCCCGCCAGCGGAGGTGGCTGCCGATGGCCACTCCGCCGTGAGGTTCAGGGGGCGCAGCTCACCCCCGTCTGTCCCCCGTTTTGCAGGAAGGGGCGCGTCCTTACCGCTCTGTCCTCAGCCGGGCCGGGGGGCTCTGAGGCGGGCCCGGGCGCCCCCACCTGTGCACCGTGGACGCCGGGCGCCTGGGCGTCGAAGGGCGGGCTGGGGCTGGGGCTGGGGGGCAGCCCGGAGTCGGGGCTGTCCAGCTGGCCCTCGCGGCTCTGTTCCCTCAGGCTGCCCATGCCCTGCAGATGCAGGTGGCCCACCATGTCTGGGGGCGCGGGGCGCGGGGCGCGAGTGCCCAGCTCCCGGGGCGCGGCTCCTGCACCTCCCTGGGTCGCGGCGGAGAGTGGGTCGGCCCGAGCCAGCACCCCGCGCCCAGCCGGCCCGGGTCCCGCTCCGCCGCCGCACCCCAGCCCGCGCCTCCTTTTCTAGGCGCCGCCCCCGCCCCGCCCCGGCGCCGCCCACGCGTGTCCCCGCCCCGAAATGGGGGCGACCCCGCGAGCCGAGCCTCCGCCGCAGGTCGCCAGGCTCCTCGGGCTCCGGGCCGGGGCCCAGCGAGGTCTCCCCGTCCCGCCCCTCCAGGCTGAGGGTCGGTAACTGGCCCTCGGGGCGTCGGGGCGAGGTGCTGGGGCGCCCACGCGTAGTGCACGGTCGCGGACGTCGCGGTCCGCCCTGCGCTTCCGGTGGAGCAGCGGGTTTCCCTCGGGCTCCCCGGGCTGCCTGGCCCGTCTCCCGCACACACACACTCCTTTCTGCCCGCTAGCAAGAGGTCCCCCCTCCCGCCCAGCCTTCCACTGGAGAGCAGGGAATGTGGGGACCTGCAGGTGTGGAGGAGGTGCTGTGGGGCTGGGCTCAGTGTTTGCACTCACCCCTGGGTCTGTGGCAGGGGTGCTGGGCACCCCTAAACTGCCCTGCGGGCTGAGGGTCTGTAGCTCACCGTCAGGGCAGCCTCCGGACTTGGGCGCTTCTGGTGGACGCTCGCTGAGTGCTGTGTGCCTGCCGGGCCGGGGCAGGCGTTGGGCTGCCAGCCCTGCCCTGGAGGAGCAGGAGACCGCGGTGCCAGGGAGAAGGGGTCTGAGAGCCCAGGGGAGCTGGCTGGGCCTCGGCAGGGGCAGCGAGCCTCGAGACCAGGTGAGGGCGGAGATCAGACGCTGCTGCACAGAGCCGGGCAGAGCTGTGCCCCTCCAGGACCTCCTGGAAGAGGAGGCCGGACACAGCTGCGGGCTCAGCTGGCTCCGTCTGGGCCAGCGAACCAGAAATGGGCAGCTGAGCTGCCACCTCCTCCCAGGACAAAAGTGAGGCCTCTGCTTTCCAGATTCGGCCGATTGGGGTTCAACCTCTAGTACCCATTTGCCCGCCCGAAGTGGCAAGGCCATTTAGCATCAGGGGACAGTGGGCAGGATGGCCAGCAAGGGCCCCAGGGGCAGGTCCTCTGGTGTTGCGTAAAATGCTGGTAATTTGTTTTCACTTTGACTTTGAAATCTTGCAAGAAAATTTGTCACAGCACTGGGCGTGGGGGCACATGCCTGTGATCCCAGCACTCAGGAGGCTGAGGCAGGAGGACCACTTCGAGTTGGAGACCAGCTGGGGTTACAAATTGAGCTCAAGTCCAGCCTGCACTGCATAGATAGACCCTGTCTCAAAGAGACAAAAGGAAAGGAGGGGAGGGGAGGGGAGGGGTGGGGAGGGGAGGACAGTTGTGGTGAGTCTCTGGTCTGAGCTCTGCACTCTGGGTGACTGGCTCTCCTGCCTGCCCAGCCTGGCCCTGTCCGGAAGCTCCCCGGAGACAGCCAGCACCGGTGCACAACAGTGCTGGGTACCCATGTGTGAGTGCGGGAGAAGCACAGCCTTACAGAGGTCAGCTGTGCACGTGTGCCCGTGACTGAGCCCGTGACCTGTGCCCCGTGGGGCCCGTGGCTCCAGGGCTGCCCGTGGACTGACAGGAGCTGGCTCTGCAGAGCCCTCTGTCCCTCATGGCGCCCGTGGCCTGCAAATGTCAAAGGGGCTGAAAGGGCCCAAGTTTCCATCACGTTTCTTGGCAAGTGCTGGTGTGGGGGGAGGCCAGGAGTTCAGGGGTCCTCCAGATCTGAATGTCCGCCCAGGCCACGGGAGGCGGGTGCCGGGACAGCTCGGGGTCGTGGGGGCCCCTGGAGCCAACTCTGGGCCAGATTACCAAGAGGAGAGTTCGGAGGTGGAGAGAAGCGGGCAAAAAGGAGGCTCTGGGGGGAAGAGGACATGGCTGGGCACCCGGAGAAGGGACACATTCACCGCCCAGCGCGTGAACTCATCTGCTTTCACCAGCGCTTGATAAGGACGAGGGAAAGTGTCCCAGTGTCCAGGGCGACTGAAGCCGGCACCCAGCGTCGGATTTCCCAGGGTGCTTTGCAGGGAGCCGGTGCTCAGCCTTTGAGAGAGAAAGGTCAGGGGTGACGGAGGTCGTGCAGAGAAAGGGCTTTTCAGGGACAGCGTTAGCCGCTGCTCTGGACACCAGTGTAGTGATGCTTGTGAGCGTGAGTCAAGCCCCAGTGCACAGCTGTGGAGGCCCCTGCATGCGGGCCCCGCCTCAGGGCTTCTGCTTGGAAAAGAAGATGGTGCCTCAGAGACCAGAGAGGTTAAGTGAGCCCCCCAAAGTCACACAGAACTGCTTTCCTGTCAGAGGTGGGGAGAGTGTGTCCCCGACTCCAGGAGGCCCCATCCACTGCCCTGTGACACACTCCCTAGCTGTGAGAAGGCTGCAAGGGAAATGACATATTTGGAAGCACACACAGGTGTGTGCACACACACAATGTGTATACATGTGTGCACACACAGCACATGCATGTGCACACGCTTATTCACAATATGCACACATAAATCTACCTGCAACTGTACATACACAAAGGCACACGCACAGGCACACACAGACAATATATATGTACGTGCTCACACAAGTGCACACACACAGTACACACAAACAAGTATGCATATACCTCACAGACATGTGCATAGAAGCAGGTAAATACACACCCGCACATGCATGCTTATACACATACACACACGGGCAGGCACACAGTGTGAATGCATGTGCACACACATATGCATGCAACTGCGTGTGTACCAGTGCGTGTGCATACATGCACACAATATCTGTGCACACACACATATGTCCATGCACAACATATGCAGATCTACACAGGCACTCACACACAATGCGGACGCACATAAACGTATACAGCTGTGTTAGGCACATACATGTACAGGGACATGCAAGCTGCACCTCGGCACATCCCAGAGAAGGAGGGGCGAGGGGGGCCTTGAGGCCTTGGGTGCCTTCTCCTGGAGCCCTGGGGACCTGGAATAGCTGTACCCATTAGAGGTTTCAAGGGGGTGGCGGAGTGGCCGCCCTGGGGAGGGGGAGGGGAGGGCCAGAGTGGGGGAGGGGCAGGGCGTGGCCTGATGTCCTCCATCCTTCCGCCTGGGCCTGAGCACCCTGGGCAGGCCCAGCCCTGCTGCCCGGCTGGGACCGATGCCCCCCAGGGTGAGCTGCAGGCTCCCCACCTGGTCCCCGCCTCAGCAGTGAGTCACCTCTGCACTTTCAGCCCGGCTTTGCCGGCCGTGGCTGCCCTGGATCAGGTCCTGGCATCCACCTGGAGACCAGCCTGAGTCCCTGGCAGTCTCCGTGAGGACAGAGAATGGGCAAAAGGAGCCCAAAGTGCGGTGACCGGGAATGTGACCCCGCGTGCCCGGGGAGCCGGGTGGGGCCGGTCTGCGGGGCCTGGCTGGGCGCCGGCTCCACCCTCCCTCTGCCCAGCCTCCCGCTGGCTGTGAACCCCCGGGCTTCACACCTTGGGCTTGGGGACCCGCAGCTGAAAAGGCCTTTCTGGCCCCTCCCAGCCCTGGTAAACAAAAACCTATTTATGTCCTCAGCGAACTTAATTACAGCAGGCAAAGCTGGTGACAGAGTGTAGTTAAAAACAGGCCCTGCCATGGGGAGGAGGCCAGCTGCTGAGTGTTTGGGGGCAGGGAGGAGGTACCCCCAGATTTGTTTTGGAAATTTGAAAGAAGGGAGGCTGAGCTGGGCCAACTGCAAATTTGAGCCCGGCCGGGCAGCTGAGGCGCGTGGGAGAGCCTGCCGCAGAAGCCGAGCACGGAAAGCAGCGGGACGCGGCTTACTCAGTGTGAGGCCTTGTGTTCCAGCCGCGGAGCCCAAACACAAAGCCCCGGGCCTCGGGGACTCCGGCCCACACGCCACTTGGCAGACTCTTTAGCTGATTGAAAAGTTGGTGGCAGGCCTCGGGACCCAAGGCCCCAAATCCTCCCACGCTGCCCTCCAAAAGCCACGTGTGCGGGTACTGCCACGTGCACACAGAAGCGGGGACGCAGTCCCAGCCCCGCGGCTCTGACCGGAGTCTCTGGCCTCTGGCGGCATCCATGTGGCAACCCCGGCCTCTGCAGGCTGTGGGGTCACCTCTGTCCTTCCCCTGCCTCCCTGGGGCCCTCCCAGGGTCGGTGCTGTCACCTGGGGGAGGGGGTCCTCGGGTCTCCTGTCCCAGCTGCCTCTCCGCCCCAAGGTGCTGGCCCACTGGGGTGCACTGGGAATCCCTGGCCAGACAGTTTGGCGCCAGGAGACAGTCCCCTCTGCAGCCTAACAGGAGGGTGACTGAGTTTTCTGCTCACAACAGAGATAGCAGTCTGAGCCCCAGAACCCTAAAATCTTGGTACCCCGCTGCGTTTTTCTCTCACTGTGCTGGCCATGAAAGCAGGGCCCTGCCGGGTCCCACCGCCCGGCCACCTGCCCAGCGTTTTTATTAATTGTTGAAGCAGAAGCTCACTGAGTTCCCAGGCTGGCTACCAGAGACGCTTCTGCCTCCACCTCCTGAGTAGCCGGGCTCATGGGCACGCACAGCTCTTAGAGACGAAGCGGCTGACCTCTGTGCCCGAGGCTGTGGGGGTTGAAGAGGGAGGTTAAGGAGTAGTTTTTTTTGTTTGATTTTGTACCGGGAATTGAACTCAGGACCTTACGCTTGTCAGGCAGGTGCTTATTCTGCTGACCTGCATCCCCGGCCCCAAGGAGTCTAGTTTTAAAAGCTAGTCCAGGGTGACGTCCATCTCTCTGACCCTGCCCTGTCAGCCTCTCAGGGGCTGGTCCGTGGTTGCCTTTTTTCTCTTTTTTGGTAGCAGGGATCGAACGCAGGCTCTCCTGTGTGCCAGGCAGGCGCCTCACCACCGAGCCACAGCGCTGCCCGATGCGTTGACTTGCGATCATTTAGGTTAAATGCATTTTACCTTCAAGGCCAGCAGGGGTGAGGCCCAGAGGGTCACTGGGTCTCAGGTGACTTCTGCAAGAAACCTTGGTGTTGCTCAGTGGGTGGGAGTGGCTGCCTGAGCCTCAGGGGAGATGTCACTTGACCAAGAAGGTTTGCGGGGGGAGCCTGTCACACAACCAGGCAGGGCTCAGCTGTCACCTGGCGCCTCAGCAGGCA